GTGAACTCCCTCTTTCAATTTTGACTCCACTTGGACTCTCCTCTCATCCTTCTTTATAGCTCCGAGTTCGAGGCTCTCTGCACTCATTTCACCACCCTGTTTTGACCTTAACAAATCCCCTCTTCTTTCTTCTCTCACACGTGCAAAGTCCTTCTGCTGTCTCCATTCGCTGCTCTCTCTGGTAAATTCTATCTCCTCTCTCGTCTGTCTCTTGTCTCTAACCTCTGACTGGAAGCGCTGACTGCTGGATTTATCAACAGTAGCGTACTCGCCCATGCTCCGCCTCCTGTCTTCCTCTCTTCCCGGATCCTCCTGTGGACTGCGGCGTCTCTGAGCAGAGTTTAAATTGTGAGAGCTTTCAACAGGAACACCCACTTGGTGCTGTAAACCAGCATGTGTAGGAGAATGGGTTGCTATGGAAGAAGATTCAAGTGGAGGAGACGGCTCGTACGCAGCGGCATGTTGAAGAGGTGAAGATTTTTTTCTTGGTAAAGCTCCACCAACAAATGTTGTATGTGGAGGTGCAAAGTCACTGGGGTGAGTTTCAAGAGACATGCCACCATGTTGGGGTTCACTATCAAGTGGTGGAACATAGGACTCAAATGGCAACCCAGAATCAGGTTGCTTGCATTGATTGTCCAAAGCCCACTCCAGCTCAGCTACTTCCTCTTGTTCGACCACATCTTGTTGCCATTTCAGGATGCGCTGGGCCAGTGCTTCCTCTTCACTTACAAAGTACTCACTGTCTCTCTGCAACCTGGTTTCACGGCCCTCTGTCAGCAGCTCGCCAGCAGGTGGCCACTGATCACCCTGATCACCCCGCCGATCTTGAAAACCAGCAGGAGCTGCCTCACTCAAAGGGGACTTGTCTTTGGCCATTTTTCCTGGGGACGCCTTCCTGCTACGGACCACTTCAGGCTGTGGAACTGATTCTGAAGCAGAAGCCTCTGCGACATTTCTTCCAATTTCAGCAGCCCTCTCTGCCGACAAGTAACTGTCCACCCAGTCGGACTCTGGCTTTACAGTTTGCTCTTGTTCCATCTGAACATCCTGTTGCCATTTCATTATTCGTTGAGTCAAGGCCTCCTCTTCACTGGCAAACTTCTCACTCTCATTCTTCAGCTCGGAGATGTTCTCCCGTGACAGCTGAAGCTCACGCTCTTCTCTTGTCTTCTCAAACAACATCTTCTCAGCTCTGGGTTTTGTTCTAGGTGATGACTCAATGTCCACTTCTGCTGATCTAGCTTTCATTCTGGGAGATGTTTGTGCCAGCATGACTGATCTCTCAGTTTCCAACTCTCCTTGTCTGGCTTTCATTCTGGCTTTAAGCAAGGGGGCAGAGGACTCGCCCTGTTCCACTCTACCTTTTACTTTAGGTGACTTAGGTGTCGAGACGGTAGCATGGTCTACAGTTGCTCTTTTCTCCACCACCTCCTGCTGGGTGTAAGTGTGCCCCTCAGGCTCCATGTACTGTGTCTCTGCTGGCAGATCAGTTTCTGGGCGGGGTGTCCCATCTTCTGGCATTTGCATGCCTTGCTGCCACTTCCTGATCCGCAGAGCCAGGAGTTTTTCCTCACACAACATTCGCTCAGCTTCCAGGCTCTTCTCATACTGAGCCCTCAAAGAGTCCTCTTCATATGGCTCAACCGTTTCTGCCGCAACTTGGTCTGATGTCACAGCTTCGCTCTCTTTGAGTTGCCTTTGCCTTGATGACTCTCTGAGTCCGTCCTCAGTCCTGACTTTTGATCTAAGCAAAAATTCTCCTTCCACCTCTGCTGCTCTAGCTTTAATTCTGGGGGATTTTTGTGGTGCCTCCCCTTCCATTTCTGTGGCTGACTTTGTAAGCAAAGAGGTGGACGTTGCCACTTCTTCTCCTCCAGCTTTTGTTTTAGGTGATTTGAGTGTTGACTCAGTTGTGGCTTCAGGATTTACCAACCTTGCGCTAATTCTGGGTGATTTATGGAAAGAGGAGGGCACGGCCTCGGTTTCTACAGTTGCTCTTTTCTCCACCACCTCCTGCTGGGTGTAAACGTGCCCCGCGGGCTCCATGTACTTCATCTCTGTCGGCATGGGCAGATCAGTTTCAGGGTGAAATGTTTCCTCTTCTGACATCCTACTCCCTTGCTGCCACTTCCTGATACGCAGGGCAAGGAGTTTTTCCTCACACTCCATTCGATCAGCTTCAAGGCTCTTCTCATACTGAGCCCTCAAAGACCCCCCTTCACCCTCCTCTTCATATGGCTCATCTGCTCCTGATGTTGCTCTGTCCAAGAGTGATACTTCCTCATGAGTAGGCACAATTCTAACAGATTCCCTGCTTTCAGTGTATGTTTTATATGCCACTGTTTCAGAGTACGGGCCTTCAGGGTGAGGTAGCTCAACCTCAACCTTTGTAGCCTCCATCTTTTGGTCAGCAACCGCACCTCGACGTTCACTTCCCATCTGCTTAAATGTGACATCTTTCTGGGATTCAACAAAACTCTCACCTTTTCTATCCCCCAGTGTCTCTGAATATCTTTCACCTGATTTCCTTTCCGTCTGTGGCACCAGTGTTTCAACCAACTCGCCTTTCATGATTTGAATGGCCCTGGTTCTGGTCTGGGGCTCAAACGAATGCCTTACACGAGAACGAGAGGCCTCCCTGCTTGAGGTTTTACCTTGACTCTCCCCTGAATCAAAGGGCCGATTAAAATGCTGGACATCAGGCAGAGAGGCAGGCTTGCCCCGGAGCCTCTCCACATAATCTGCATAGCTCGATTCGCTGGCAACTGATTCAGACTCAAACTCAGAGGAGGACATGGTGGAGATAGAAAACCTCTTCTTCTGTTTGACAGCTTTTTGGAGTGTGGTAAGTTTTGTTCTTACCTCATTGTGGAGGCTCTCGGTGTCACTGAACCTCTCTCGGTAATCGTCGCTGCACCTGTCGCTAAACTTGTCACTGAACCTGGCACCGGTGCGCCGGTCACAGTAGATATCACTGAGTCTGTCGTTAAAGCGCTCAGACCTCTCAAACATGGGGGGAGGGGACGGGGCTCGCTCAGAGGCAGTCTCCAAACGTTTGGACTCTTTCTCTGACTCTTTTTCTTTTGAATGGGAACCGGACTTGAAGTACAAAGCACGCACCAGAGAGTTCTTGGATCGAGACCTTCCCTGATGGACTTTGGACATCTTGTCAAATGGAGACCCTACACATCTTAGGTCGACCCTAAACTTCCTCTCCTTCCTCTCCTGTGCCATGGTGTCTATGCTTTCATGGGCTTTGGCAGAGCGTCTAACAAAACCCAGGTAGTTAGCAGACTGCTCTTCCCTTAGCGACACCAAAAGTGATGCTGTGGACTCAGCAGAGCCCTCCGTGTTAATTGCCATTACCTTATAACTGCCCGAGTCCTTCTCTTTGATACAATCGATAACCAGACTAGTAGTGTGCATGTGCATTCTGCTGTCGGTACAGATCCTACGTCTGCGCTCTTTAGGAATAGATCTATTATTATGAAACCAGAGGACAGTCGGTGGAGGGCAAGCAACCAGTTTACACTTTAACTCTACTGGTTCTCCCTCCACAACTGACTGGAACTTGAGCTTCTTTGTGAAAGAAGGTTTGATGTTCTCCGTCCACGAGGTGATGGAGGAGGTTCTGCTGGCGCAGCGATTGGCCGACACCAGGCCGTGATCTAGGAAGTCCTCGGTGTCGGAGAAGGCTCCTCTAAGCTGTCGGGGGCCGGCGAGTTCTGTGCTGCTGTGCGCTGTTCCTTCTTTGCTTTCATGATAAAAGAGCTCTGCAAACAGAACAGACAACTGTCAGAACAACACAGCCTCCAGGGGTAAAAAGAGAGTAAGGATTTGAATGAATCATTAATGGAAATATTAAATGCATGCTGGGAGTCACAATGCCATAAGAAATAATTTCACTCACCATATTTGTTCGAATAAACGCAAGACTTGATTCTTTTTATTAGAAACCTGCAGGAAGTTTTGATCCTTCGTCTGTGGAAATTTCTTCAAAACAAATTATTTTATTATCATTAAAAAAACCAAGATGGGCTGCTAACATTCGCTTGTTTTACTTTTTGATAATTGCTTTGGCTTCATACTAGAATATTCCTTACCTGACTTGCAGACAGGAGAATAAACGCCCTTTCTAATCCTTAAACTTAAGAGGAAATAAATGGTGCACAAGTATCAATGAGAGGCAAAGCTCTCCCAAACATCTTATATATTTTATATTCCAAAACTTAAACAAATGAAGCTGTAAAATTGGGTGAGAAGGCGTTTATTCGAACTAATATAGTTTACTGGTGTTATTTAGAGTGCAAACCACAGGAATCACATCCCACTATCTGCAAGCCAGGCTAAGAAATATTTTGCAGGAGGAAGGTATCAGCTCCAGATGCAGTGAACCTCCATATCTTTTAAAGGGCATTTCAAATCTGGAAGCTTTAAAAGATACACATCCTGCACCTTTTTCTGGGAAAAGATCAGAGGAACCGTCATGCCAAAACGAAAGGAACTTTTGGATGCAAACCGCAAGTGTCAAAAACTGGTACAGGCAAGTTCTACCAGTGCTCGCCTGGGAGAACCCGTGGAATATTCTCAGAATAAGAAAAATACAGACAAAAGGAAATTTCTACCAAGACACATTAAGATGACATGCTACTGTGGACATTCAAAGATCACTTAAAGGGACAGTTCAACATAGTGACATATTTAAAAAAGCAGTCTGAATGAAGGCCAACTATAATCCAAATAACCCATGACACATGCACCCACACAGCTGTTGTTTTCTCCGGTTTCTCAACAGTGTCTCCACTTAAAAACCATCTTCAATGAGCCAAAGCTTGGATCAAAGTTACCTCGTGACAGACTACTTTCAAAATGAATGATTGAAGCAAAACAGAGATCTGGTCAAACTGTCCCTTGTCCATTGTGCCTGCTTCACATGTGCGATAATAATCTGGTGTCTCTAATGTACGTTGGTCAGAAACCTGACGGGAGATCCTTACCTTTCACTTCTTGCTCAATCTTGGCTTCAATGTGCTCTCTCACATGAGTCACTGTGAAGGAAAGAGACGACATTCATTCAGATTTCATCAGTACACTGTGAGAACATCGATCCACTGAGGGTCTTCAAACCTTCACACGTTCATTCTCATTAAGAGGTGAGTTCTACCTCTGAAACTGGATTCCCACCGCTCTCGTTTCCCTTGTCTGGAAATTTGAAAACATGAACCCTTTAAAGTTGCGCTGTCTGTTTGTTTGTCTAAGAAAGTTTTGACCATAGAAGTGTCAGTTTGACAAAATAAACTTAACTCAAGTTCCATTTACTAACTTTCATCCAGAACCTGAAACTCAAAAACACACAAAAAGCAAAAACAGCTCAGTGGATCATGAGTATATATATTCTTTAGTCAAGTGTAGCCCCGCCCTGCACTACAGCAACAGGCCTTTCACCCTAAGAGCTCTGCAGCATAAGACTCCTGACTGAGAATAACACGGCAACCAAAATGACCTTTAACAGTGGTCAGCAATAGGCCTAGAACAACACTTTGGTAAAATAATCTGAACTCGACGTTTCCATGAGCTGTCAACCACGTCTGTGTGGACTTGTGTGGACACTTTATCTTGTAACAACACTGTTTCAGTTCCTCTCCAACTTGTTCTTTCGTTACTCGCAGTGGTAATGGCCTACTGTGTAAGAGCAACAGAACTAAATGATAAACCCACGTCTGTAAGACGACGGTGAAAAACGTTGTTACGTAACACAGAGGCACCAAGTGAAGCAGCCAGAGAAGGGTTTGAGTTTCCTGGAGGAGGGAGGGACAACAGAGAGGGTCTACATGTGAGTTTCATGCATTTCCCAGAGTTTTCCTGTGAGGGAGAGGAGAGGAGGAAGATGGAGAGGATGAAGGAAGGTGGAGGGATGAGTTTGTTCCTGTGGGGAGTGGTGATGAAGGTGGAGCAGAGGGGAGAGGTGATGATCCCACCATTCAAACAAACCGGTGCATTCGTGAACAAAGTGCTTCCTGTTTCTGGAACTGTGGGGTTAGTCAAGTCCAGAGGAGGGCGGAGGGATGTCCCGACCAACTGTAGGCTCTCCTGCTCGGTGCTGATCTCTGGAAGTCTGCCAGTTTCATTAGTATTTTTATTATACTGGATTATTACAGATTAGGGACGAGCCACGATTATTAAATAGGCGTTAAATTATAAAAAATATAATAGTTAATGAGTCTTAAAACATTTTTTCTCCTTTGTTTTAAACAGTGGTAAAACATGTGTGGGGCTCGATGACGGGAGACGGGCTGGATGCTCAGGCTGCAGCCATGTTTCCATCTAACTGTCACGCAAATTTTAAGGAGACTTTTGAAATGTCGCAAAAAAGGGGAAAAAAGGCAATCAGCTGGTTTGGAGCAAATAAATGGCTGAACCTGATGACCACAGATCTTAGAAAAATGGAGAGAGGTCCTCAGGAATGTGTTTCAAGAGGCCAAACTGCTACCAGCCATGTCTCTGCACGTTATGGGAATATCAGGCGAGACGCCGACAGCAGAAACAGCTGATCAGACATAAGATCGCTACGCCAGAACTTATTCGGCATTTCCATCTCCCATTTAGGGCATTAACTCTTTTTCAACAAAGGCAAAAACCACCTCAAGTGACCTTTTTGCGAAATTAAGGATTTTGACATTTCCGTCAACATCTTTCCAATGCGACACTTCAAAATGTGCATAAAAAAGAAACGGTGATGGAAACACGGCTATCGTTCAGGCCGTTTTGTTTTGTTTGTTGCTACAGAGGAAATAAAGTTCCTCTTTACAACATGTCCCATCCTTCATCAGCAGAGCTAGTAGTCCTGTTATACCTTAGCAGCTATCCAAGGAGGGGTAAACTCAAGTGGACTCGGATGAATTCCTTGAAGCAGCAGCTACGAGCTAAACGAAACCTTTGCGCTCACGGCTCAAGGCCAAACATCTAGAAGAGGTAACACAGGTAAACTAGCAGATTTACACGTCTACAACCGGTATTCATTCTTTACATCGATCCGTATCGAACAGCCTTTTGCTACATTATTCATGGAGTCTTTTTGTTATCAGACAGATAACTTGTTTTTATTGCTTCATGAAATCTATATATTTTTTTATCTTAAAGAGACTTTTTCTGGCAGAATAAACGCTCGGAGCGACCTGATGTTCTGCAGATTGCTTCGGGACATCCCTTCAGGTGTTTTGTCTGGAGATGGTCGGAGGTTTGAGGAGGGTGAATTAATCTTGCAGGAAGAGACACAGGTTTATTTTAGTGTGCGGTTTCAGGGGGAGATCCAGAAGTTACCTTCTTCTTCTGTGGTTACCGTGAGGGTGGCCGAGCACGCGGCCTCTCCGGCGGTATTGGCCGCTCTGCAGGTGTACTGCCCCGCGTGCTCGGGGAAAGCATCGACCACGATGAGCATGGCGGTGTTCGTCACCTCGTCGAAGTGAAACACCACGTTCTTGGTGGGCCGAACCGGCTGCCGGTTGTGGAACCAGCTTATCTCTGGCTTCGGCATGCCGGACACACATGCGTGAAAGCGGGCCACCGCTCCGTGCGGCACCGTGCAGCTCGTGATTGGCTGGATGAAAACTGGCTTCTGGCCGATGGAGGGCTTCTTTAGGCTGGTGAGGCTGGTGGAGACGTGCCACTGAGGCGCAGCAGGGCTGCTCGCTGTTTGACTCTCACCTTGAAAGGAAGCATGTTCGTTGACTTTATGTGCTTTACTTGATTTAAATTCATCCCAGTCAGCACCGTTTGGGTGATTTTCAGTCTGAAACCAGTCTGTGTTTGGTATAAAGAAAGATTTTTAGAAATTGAATCTGCTATTAAAAAAATGTCTAAAACAAGCTTTTTTAAATGATTTCTGAATGTGACCTCTCAGGTGGTGAGAATAATGACTGTCCTGCTCTCTGAAGCAGAGGAGGAAGTAATATAATACCGTTACAGCAGAAGAGGTCGGGGTTTTATCCACACAGAGTTACATCCTTGTTTGGACTTGTTGGCTGCCAACACAGTCATCAAATCACCGAACTGGTGCTCACTGGGATCCGTTAAAGTTTCAGTCAAGAAGAACAGCACTGTGATCGGCACACGGGGGACGCATCAGATCCAAAACAAAGAGAATTCCTTATTTTGTGCTTTGATGATAGTTTAAGACTTTGCTGGGTTGAGATCTGGTGGCAGTGACGGCCGTAGGATTTGATTCCTTCTCAGTGAGCTCCGAGCCTGTGGGAAGCATCAGCATTCATTTTCACTCCCTCATTTGTCTCTGCAGTACATTAACAGGCGGCCGCGGCTGTTAAACAGCTTGTAGAATTTATATGATACGGTGATAAACTTTGCTGCAACATGACAAACATTTTATCCACTCCTGTGTAAACTGTTTTCTGTTATATCTGTCAAATCTGTTGTAAAAACCTATTTAGAAGTACTCTTCTAAACCCTCTCCCTGTAAAACATTTAAATGGCCGTCCTTGTAAATGCAAAGTTGTTCTTAAGCGGGTTATTAATAAAGTAATAAATAATTAAATATTTGTGGGTAGATCTGTTGTGCTGTGATGAAATAATTTAGCTAATCTCAGAGAAAAAGGGTTAAAAGACGTCCGTTATCTCCAGGTGACACAACAATAAAGACCTGATCAGGAAATAACACCTGACGTGTTGAAGATAAGATGATAAGTGATAAATATCATCGGCTTCTGTCGTTTGCCGTTCTCAGGGGTAAAAACAGCATTTCACAAACTCACCGTCCAGAGTGAGCGTGGCGGAGCAGGACACGGTTCCGGCGCCGTTTGTGGCCACGCAGCTGTACTCGCCCTCGTCCTCTGGGTAAACCCTGGAGATCTCCAGCTGACAGCTGTCGTCGAACTGAGACATCCTGAAGAAGTCCGACTGCTTGATCTCCTTCTCCTTGTGGAACCAGCTGATCTTCACATCTGGACGGAGGTCAAAGGAAAAGCAGGAGCGTGATGACAGAGTTATTATTAAAATGATCGTTTGTAGCCATTTTATTCAAGTCAAGTTTATTTATAAAGCACATTTTAAAAAAAGAGAGCAAAGTGCTGGACAAAGTTATACATTAGAAGACATAAAAATTTTAACCAGATAAATTAAAACAGGCCAAACATCAGGAGTTCTGAAATCCAGTCCATGTCGCCTTAAAAACAATTAACAGCACCTTCAAATCGACTCTATATTTCACTGGTAACCAATGAAGAGTCGCCAATATCGGGGAGACACGGTCCCTCTTCCTTTTACCAGTTAACAATCTAGCAGCTGCATTTTGAACAACCTGCAAGCGTGATAAAGATGAGTAACAGATGCCAGAGTACAAGGAATAGCAGTAATCAATTCAAGAGGATATAAGAGCATGTGAGACAGTTTCAAGGTCCTTTACTGAGAGAATGGATTTCAGTTTTGCTGTGGTCCTTAAATGGAAAAAGCCACCTTTAACAACAGAGTTTATATGTTTTTAAACATATAAACTCGAATTTTAGGCGATCCAGGAGGATGTCATGATCAGCGGTGTCAAAAGCCGCGCTGAGGTCAAGCAAGAGTAAAACAGCACAATTTCCAGAATCACCAAACAGCAACAAATCATTTAGTACCTTAAGCAGTGCAGATTCTGTGCTGTGATGTACCCTGAAACCTGACTGACCGTTATCCAGCACATTGTTTCAGATAAAAACGAGGAGAGTTGAGAAAGAATGACCTTCTCCAATATTTTGGACATAAAAGATCATTTGGAAATGGGCCTACAATTATTAAAATCCATAGGGTCCAGATTGGGTTTTTTAATGAGAGACTGAACCACAGCATATTCCATTTAAAAGAGAGCTATTTATTACAGACAAAAGGCTAGGACCAGGAACATCTCAGACCTCTCTCAGAAGACACGAGGTGAGATCCCAGATCTAATGACGTCAATCTTATCAATAAAGAACCTCAAGAACGTCTCTGTAATAAGGAGTTTAGTTTCCTTACCGTCTCCGCGGACTCGGCACTGGAAGCGAGCTGGCTCTCCCTCGCGGGCTGAGGTGCTGGCGATGGGCGAGATGACGACAGGAGGAGCGACGGTGGCGGCGGAGTCCGGAGAAACCACCTCTGACACTGCAACACACACAAACCTGCATCTGAACATGTCCTGGTGAAGATGTTCGTCTTTGTCCCACAGGTGTAACATCCCGTCTTACCTTCCACGTTGAGCGCCGCAGTGCTCGTGGCGGTGCCGTAGTCGTTCTTGGCCTCGCAGTTGTAGACGGCGGCGTCCTCGGGGAACACTTCAATCAGCAGCAGCGAGTGCTCGTTGCCGTCGTGTAGGAACTTGCACTTGAAGCCCGGGGACAGGGCCTGGGAGTTCTTGTACCAGAAGACCTGAGGCTGAGGGATGCCGCTCACCTGCACCGAGAAGCGAGCCGGTTTACCCGCCTCCACCGACAGGGGCTCCATGTGTCGGAGGATCTGAGGAGGCTCCGGGACTGAACGAGACAGGAAACGAAAGATTTCGTGAGCCCGGACAGAAGAGAGCAGCCAGATAGCAACAGCCCAGCTGGACTGTTTATAATCAAACCGTGATGAGGGGTCATGATCGTGCTGCTGGACTCACTGTTGACTCGGAGGTTCATGGTGCTCCTGTTCTTGCCGGCGATGAAGGTGTACTCCCCGGCGTCGCTCCTGTAGGTCTCGGAGATGGTGAGGCGGTGCAGCTTCCTGATGGCGACGTAGCTGAACCTCTCCTCCACCGAGAACTGGATCTCCACCCCGTTCCGCAGCCAGCGACCCTCCACGTCGTCCTCGTTCACCTCGAACTCGAAGGTCGCTCTGTGTTTCTCCAGAACCTGCGACAGAAAGAAGGTTTCTGCTGTCTGCTTCCTCTGCCAACACGTCCTCACACGTTTCACAAACCATCACAAACACAACTGTGAGAATTTTCCTGCTTACTCTTATTTTAAAGTTCTCCCACGTTCAGATGGACGTCTGTTTTAATCTTTAATTTACTCATGAAGCTTCTCAAATATGACGACTTGCTCCTTTTCCCTGTTTCATGTTATTTTAAATTGAATATCATTGTGCTCATATTCATATTTTTCACTATTTTTCGACTGTTTAAATTCTAAATAATGAACTGATAATAATAAGTGGATAATAATCCACCGATGAAACGATGCTGAAAATAATATCTTCTTTTGCCACCATTATCTTCTTTGGGGTGTATATGTATGTCTGCTTCTGCCTTGTAAATATAATTTAGTTTTCTTTTTGATTTCTGCCTTTAGTGCTACTTGTTTGTTTCATTCAGATGTAAATACCTGAATATCTGGAGGGTGGAGGACGCTGTAAAGAGTTCACTGACTCGACCCTCGAAGCTCAGTGACGAGTTTCATTTGACTAAAATGTTGTTTCTTGTTTCTTGCGAGTTCTTCAGAACTCAAATAAAATCCACGTACTAACAGAAACTTTCCGGGTGAAGTCATAAAAACATATAATCCATAAATAAGTTAAACATTCATATGTAATATTTCTGCATGTATAAATGGCCCTAGTTATCATAAAAAAGACGTGCAACATCTCCACATGCCAAGCTCTGAGAGTGCGGTCCTGAAATAAAGAGGTCCTTCCTCGCTGTTGGAGGACAGACGTGTCTTTGATGATTGTGAACCTGACCTGACAACAGTGTGGAGAGGCTGACTGTTAACTGAACATCCGTCTCACCGTGATTTCCCGCTCGGCAGGTTCGGAGATCCGGATGTCGCGACCTTCCACGATCAGCTGGGCCTTGGAGACGCTGGATCCGGCCACCACCGAATACTCTCCGGCGTCGGACATGCGAACCGTCTGCACCATCAGGCGGTGAACGTACTTCTCTGCCGTCACAATGTACCTGTGAAGGCGACACAGAGAACGAGCTTCAGCTCAGATTCTACCTTTGAAAAGGCCTCTGCTGATGTGAGGAAAGGGACCCACCTGTCCTCGGTGGTGTCCAGCTCCTGACCGTCCTTCATCCAGATCACCTGGATGTTCGGCTCAGAAACCTCACACTCAAAAATGGCCTTCTTCTTCTCTGTGATCTTTATGTCCTTGATTTTCTTGGTGAACTCAATCACACGAGCTGAAAAGGACAAAAAACAGTAGGAGTTGTGTTTCCAAAGAGAAAAGTAAATCAACGTGCAGGTTTTCTAACAGGCTTCTCCACAGATCAGATCTGACTCCACATCAGCAGCGTTGGTTCTTTATTTGTTTCTCGTCTGTCTCACTCAACAAATATGTTTTCAGTAACTTTTGTATAACAAAACTCTCTTCACTGCCGTGCATCACGTGAATTCTGAGGGACGGACTTAAGCTGCTATATATCACCCCGGACTGACACTGGCGGCGTGTGTGTGCCGCGGTAATCACTTATTTTTAATACGTCCCTTTTGTGCTTCCACGACCTTCTTCACAGCTCTCTGTGACCCGCTTTAGTTCCGATCTGCAGATCCCACAGGGAGCATTTCAGAATAAGGATTTTGCGGACATGTTTAGTCTGTCGGTTGTTTCCAGCTCTGTGTAAGAAGCCTGCGAACACGTGAAGCGGCGCGTTACCTTCGACGAACAGGTTAGCGGCGGTGGCGGCGGAGCCGGCCACAAACTGGTACTCTCCTCCGTCTCCGAAGTGAACGTTTCGGATGGTGAGCGAGTGCGTGAGCTGCCGGCTGCGGACCTGACATCTGTCCGACGACTTGACCTCCACGCCGTTCTTCAGCCACTTGTAGGTGACGCCCTCGTAGTTGACCGTGACCTCGAAGGTGATGGTGTCCCTCTCCTGAGCGTTCAGGTCCTTCAGCATGGAGGTGATCAGGATGGCTGGAGAGGAGGGGACAGAAAACATTTACTAAACTGAGACAGAACTGAAAACTTGGTTTTCAAATTAGACAAATTGATTTTTACTGAACTCCACTTTATTTGCTATATTTTCAGTCGATGCTCTTTATGTTTGATTTGTCAAATGTTTGAATGAAATCTTGACTTATTTTATTTTAGCCATAACTTGCTGCGCTCAGAGACGAGACTTTGCTGTGATCTGATTGGAACACTGTCTTACGGCTGACGGTGAGCGTCGCAGAGACTCTGTCGTTCCCGCAGATGAAGGTGTACTCTGCAGAGTCGTCCGTGCTGGTGTTCATGATCTTCAGCTGGTGGAGTTTCCCCTGAACCACAATCCTGAACTTCTCGCTCATCTCGATCTCCACGCCGTCCTTCAGCCAGGTGGACGGCACGTTGAAGTGAGAAACTTCACACTCGAACGTGGCCACCTGGGTCTCCGGGACCTTCACGCTCTTTAAGGGTTTGGTGACTCGCAGGGCTGCAAGAGACAAAAGCAGAAAAATACGTTTTATAAAACTTAGAATATACAAAATTATATTATTATAAACCAAATTAAATTTAGTTTAAACATCATTCTTTTTTTCCAATAATGAATATAGATAGAATAATATAATAGAAAATATTATATTAAAAGGTCACTACATTAAAACTAATATTAATTAATTTGTGTGTATTTTATTTAATACTAATTTGTTGTATTACATAAAATACATATTAAATCATAAATAACATTATTTTAAAATTTAAATAAAAACTGTTATTAAAACATATTACACACTACAAATTGTTTTTAAATTTGAGTTAAAATAAAGAAAACTGACAAAAAAGTAAAATATTTATGAAAGCCGGACAGAACAAACTTGGTTTAACTTAATTTAATCTAAACTTCACAAATTCCATTCAATGTTTTCATTTGATTTCTCAGGAAACTGTACATGATTATATCTTCTAATCCTCTTTTTTATTGAAACCTCTTTATTATTCAGCTGTTTGCGTTGCGTACCCTCCACAGTGAGCATGGCGCTGCTCTGCAGGTGTCCCACCACGGCGGTGTACTCTCCTGCGTCGCCACTGTCGACATTCTGCAGGATCAGTTTGTGAGCTTTCCGCTCCGACAGTATCTTGCACTTGTCGCTCGACTTCAGCTCCGCGCCTTTAAACATCCACCTGACGGGGATGTCGTCATGTGACAGGCTCATCTCGAAGGAGGCGGTGCCATTCAGCAGCGACGTCACGTCCTTAATCTTCTTTACAATTTTGATCGCTGCAGAAACAAGAAGCGGAGAAAATTAACAGGATGACGCAGAAAAACATTGCTCCTACATGACTTTATTGGCAATGGATTATGGGGACAGAAGTCTTTTTTATTTAACAGTTAATCAGTGACACTTACTCTCCACGTTGAGCCGAGCGTTGGCGGACAGTTTTCCCAGTTTGAAGGAATAAACCGACTCGTCCTGCGTGTTGCAGTTCTTGACCTTCAGCGTGTGGACCACGCCGTCGGAGGAGATCTCGTACTTGTCGCTGTTCTGAAGCTCCACGCCGTTCTTGATCCACTGGGATCCTTTCACGTCGGTGTGGGTGAGCTCCAGTGTGAACACCGCCTCCTGGGTCTCCGTCACAGTCTGGTTCCTCAGAGTTTTCTTGATCTTCACCGCTGCAGATGGAAACACAGGACTCAGGATTTAAACAACGTACTGACAATGATGATTTTTCTGCTTTTAGAGCAGTGTGTCCTGCAGGGGGCGCTAGAGGGAACGTTAATGGGTCAAATAAGGAGCAGGAGGATAGTATAGATTCCTTCAAAGTGTGCTGAGTACAGTTTAAAATGTTCTCATGGTGACGCCACAGGAAACATCAGGGTTTCACATAAATCTCGGAAACTGTAAAACATATTTGGATCAAATGAGACTCGACCAGAGTTCTTGGTCTAAAAACAATGTAGACGCGCTAACGTGCAGCATGTGTGTGGAGAAGCCGGTACTCACCCTCCACCCTGAGGTTAGCGGTGGTTTTGGAGTTGGCCACCTGGTAGGTGTACTCGCCGACGTCCTGCGGTCTTGTGATGACGAAGACGAGGCGTCTGACGGCGCCCTTCACCTCGCTCACCACGTTCTCGTTGAAGTCCACGGGGTGACCCTCCTTCAGCCACTTGCCCTCAGCGTTGGCGTTGGCGACTTCACACTCCAGCTCAGCGGTCTGAGACTCTGCCACCGTCACGTCCTGCAGGGGCCGTGTGATGGCTCCACCTGGTGGAAACAGAGCCGGTCAATCCCAGATCTGATCGCATATCTTTTTTGTAATAGCATTTATATTGAGGCAAAGTCCTTATATAGGCATGTCCCGCCACTAAAGACCCGGGGTCTTTAGAATACCTTCATATTCTTAATGATCATGTCATTGTAAAGGTGCACTGCAGGGGTACATTTTTAGGGCTTCAGTGTCACACTCAAAGGCCCTTTCTTGAGCAAGACCCTGACCATGACGGACACAAAAGCCGCTGTTGAAATTCAAGCTTGAACCCTTCTGTTAGGACAGGACAGTCCCTGTAAACACAGTGTCACCCTGCTGTAACCTGCACTGATGCAAGTAAAAGCAGGGAACTGAACTGAAATGTTTAACTACTATCTTAGTCACACAATTGGGTCTTGAGAATCAGTGACTGAGTTGAGCTGAATGTCATTTGGGCAACTCAGTAAGAGTTTGGACCTACCGGAGACAGAGAGCTTGGCGCTGGATGTCTTTTCACCGGCGTGGAACATGTACTGGCCCTCCTCGTCCTTCATGGCGTCAATGACCGTCAGAGAGTGAGCCTTGCCCTTGGACTCCATCTTGTATTTGGGTCCAGGTTTGAGCTGCTGGTTCCTGAATGTCCAGACTGGGTCGATTCCGGGGTGAGAAACTTCGACGTTAAAGGTCACGTTCTGGGACTCGGAGCACACTTTGTCCTCCATGTGCTTCACAATGTGTACCTCTGCAAAAACAACACCGTGGTTACAACACAGAACCGGAACCAAAAAACAGGATCTTTGGAAAATCTGTCTTACTTTCCACAGTGAGGCTGCAGCTGGTGTCGACCTTGCCGACCACCAGTTTGTACTGTCCCTCGTCGGAGGCGTAGGTCCTACTGAAGACCAGACGCTGCTTGGATCCCTTTGCCACCATCTGGAATCGTTCACTGGGCATCAGCAATTTGTCGTTATGGTACCATTTGACCGAGGTGATGTCCTGAGCGGAGATCTTGGCCTCCAGAACAGCCTTGGTGCCTTCGATGGAGGACACGTCCTTCAGTGGCACCACAATGTCAATCGCTGTAAAGAAAGATGATAAAATGATCAGAGAAGAAGAGAGTTCAAGGTGTTCCAGAGATGGTTAGCGGTAGGTATCACGAAGATTTCGTTTTAATTCTGACTCCTACTTTGAACATTGAGTTTTCCCGAGGTGGAGATGTCTTGGGCGGGAACCACGAAAGAGTAGGAAGCAGCGTCATCTCTGGTGACATTCTCCACCAGCAGCTTGTGGACCAGTTTGTCGATTACGATGTGGACGCGGTCCGAGGCGGTGATGGCCTGGCCGTTCTTCATCCAGGTTCCTTCAACGTTCTCCTGGGAGAACCTGACCTCCAACTGAGCGATGTCACCCTCGCACACTGTGAGGTCGGTCAAGGGCTGCATCAGGGTCACCGGGCGCACTAAAGGTGGAGAAACCCCATTATTATCACATTACAACACAATGTAAAAGGACAACGATCAGGTGGGTGAATTCTAACTAATTTACTCATTACACTTTAAAGTTGCCGTAGAATTAAAATTTCAGATTCATACTTTATTATATACTATTGGCCAACTTCCCCAAGCACAGCAGAGGGGCGGGGCCTAGCTGTGTGGCCTGCTACGCGAGACTAGGCCTCACTGATTACTGTACAAAAAGACAACTGTTTTTACTGAAACTGGATCAGAACTGATGGAGAAAATATTGTCTGATTTTTCTTCTGATGTCCTCCGGCAGCTCTGCCTCCAGAGTTTGTTTGTTAGCAGTTACTTTAGCCGCTAACTACTGCTAACAGCAGCTGCTGCTAGCTACTCAGTTAGCCGTGCAGCTAGCCGTCCTGTTGCTGATTCAGCCCGGACTGGAAGCTCGGTGCTCCGGGGGGGGGGTTGGTGTTTCCACCTCTAACATCAGCACAGAAGCTTTGGACCGCTGGTTCAGAGCCATTTGGTAACAGCAGCTACTCTGTTAGCTTTACAAGTACTTGTTGCTAACGTTACAGTAACCGCTAGCTGCTGCTATCTGTCCATCAGGAAACTTCATAAATCACAGAGTTGAGGCAGAGCAGCAGGAGGACATCAGAGGGGAAACCAGAAAAGACTTCCCTTTCGTTCAGAACCGTAAAAACACTTTCGCCGGCATCCTAAAAGTGTTCTCTTGAATTCAGAGAATCACTAAATTCACTCCTGTTGAGAAATTCTGAGAATGCTGCTATAAGCAAATCTGTAAACTTGCTCACATTTCATCTTCAGTGAGGCGCTGGTTGTCAGATCTCCACATACGAAGGTATATTTTCCCTGGTCCACTTTCTTGACATCCTTGACGGACAGGGTGTGTCTTCCTCGGCGGGAGGACATGATGTATTTACTGCTGGGAGAGAGCTCCTTGTCTCCGAAGAACCAGCTGCCCTCAGCGTCCTCACGAGACAGCTCAACCTCAAACTCTCCAGTGTAGGTCTCTGGCACCTCAATGTTCTCCATGTGTTTGATGAGCTCCAGGGTAGCGCCTGGATACAGAAGGGTATTAATGAAACATTATCTACAAATCCACACTTATAGGACCAAACAGAACAGTAGAAGGAAAGATTATGGGTGTAAAGATTACCTTCTACATGGAGCCTTGCGCTCGTCCTGACGCTCTCATCGTCTACAATTACACAACTGTATTCGGCGTCATCCCTCATCTCAATTGTCAGCACAGACAGGAAGTGAACCTTTCTGTCTGAGTGCATTCTGTATTTGTCTCCGGAGAAGATCTCCATGTTGTTCTTAAGCCATTTGACTTTGACGAAAGGTTCATTAGTTTCACACTCAAAAGTCACCATGGTGTCCTTCTCATTTGCTCTAGCGTCCTCAAGGTTTTGTGTAAAGCTGACTGCTGCCTGGGCTGCAATGAGAAAATACAAAGTGAGACACTGACATAAATCAGCAGATAGCTAATGAGTATAATACTGGTTTGGTGCCTATACCTTGCACAAGCAGGAAGGCATGGCTTGAGGCCTCGCCAGCAACATTCATGGCTTTCACCATGATGCTAGCAGAATCCGCCACCGTGACATCTCTGATCACCAGCTCGCACAGATGATCTTCAGGCCAGTACCAGTAAATCCGGTCAGACTTCTCCACCTGAATGCCGTTCTTAAACCACTGGCACTCAGGTTCTGGTCTGCCAACGACTCTGACTCGGAAGCGAACCTCATCCATTGGAGCAACTGTCTTGCTTGCAATGCGTTCCAGGATCTTGGGTGCTTCCATGCTTGGGGACAGCTGGACCCTCTCCGGTTTGATTGTGGGGATGGTAACTTTTCCTTGTTCCTCCAACCTCTTCCTCTCAGCTTCTTCTTTCTCCTTCAAGTGATGAAGCAGCTCCTCCTTGGTCTTCTTCAGTAGATCCTCATAGGAGTCGTCCTTCTTGCGAGACTTGAACTCCACAGCAGAGATGGACTCATAAAACCCTTCCTCGGTCCTGCGCTTGAACTTGCTCTTCAGTTCGTCTGACTCCTCTGACGTTTTCTCGTGAACAATTCTCTGCGTCTTACGCAGCTTAACAACTTCCCTGTCCTGTGCGGACTCGCCAGGTCGGTCGACCTTCACAACATCAAATCCAATTCTGCTGGGCTCATGCGAAGCCTCTGCCTTCTGTTCTGGAGCACGACGCAGCACGGATCTAAAGTCCTCTTTCTGTTGGATCTCGAGCTTCACAGTGTGCTCAGTTGTGCCTAGAGGATTGTCTGCAACCACCCTGACCTCTCCTGCATCATAGGACTTGATGTCGACAATCTCCAAGTAGTAAATACCATCATAACGAAGTCTGTATCTCTTGCTTTTGCGGATAAGTTGTCCGTTGAGGTACCAGTTAACCTTGGGTGCTGGATAACCAGTCACTCTGCAGCGGAATCGGGCAATGTCGCCTTCCAGCACTCTGGCTGGTTCAGGAAGCAGAACAATTTCAGGTTTGGTCTTTTCAAATTCATCATCAGTGCTGACTCCTGCAGGTCCTCCCTCGTGAGCCAGGCGCTCCATCTCGTCCATCCGGTGCGCTCCCTTCCTGCCTTCAGGAAGCTGTGTTTCCTCAACAAGGCCCTTCTCATCTTTCACAATCAGGGTGGCCGAGGTCTGGTCGACTCCAAACTTGTTAGTAGCTCTGCAGGTGATGACGCCGCTGTCTCTAGCGTAAGCAACTTCATAGTCAAGACTGCAGTAGCCAAATTCATTGACCATGCGCAACCTGTTAGCAGCTTCCAGGGGTTTGCCGTCATGCAGCCACTCCACTACCATCGTGGGGTCACCGATGGGGGTCAGTCTGCACTCGAAATGAGCCGGACCAAAGCGCTTCATGCGGACAGAGGTCAACTTCTTCTTGAACTGTGGTTTCTGCTGCTTCTCTTTGTCATAAAGGTCGCCCTCCTCCCACTGCTCTTGACCATATCGCATATGAAGGGGCTCCAACTCTGGAGCAGCGATCTCCTTGGCCTTGTAGGTTCCTTTGGTGATAATGAGCCTTCTCTCAGCTTGAGGAGCAGCAAAGTCCACCTCTACATTGACTCTGCAGCGTGTGGTGTCTCTGCCAGCCCTGTTGATGGCTGTAGCAGTGTACCAGGCGCTGTCTGTGCCTGCAGCTGAGGGAATCTGGAATTTGGCCTCTCCTTTAGTTCCATCAATCCTGAAATATATTGATCAGGACATTTAGTTTCATATACCTGTGTCAAAGGATCAAAAAAAAACATTCGTAGCTAAAATAAAAGATACATACTTGATGTGTGGGTGTTTGTGTGGGCTGATAATGTCACTGTTTTTCAGCCAGACAATGTCAGGCAGGGGGTTTCCAATGGCTTTGACGGCCAACTCAACCAGAGTGCCCTGCTTTACACTGATGTTCTTCAGCTTCTCAACAAACTGAGGGCGTGCCAGGCTTTCTCGAGCTGTAGATGATGAAATATTATAATGACAGAACAAAACAGCATTTAATAATATGGTTCATTTTTTGAAGCTGCAACCCTCCAAAGATGTGGACTGTATATACACTGAACAAAATTATAAACACAACCCTTTTGTTTTTGCCCCCATTCATCATGAGCTGAACTCAAAGATCTAAGACTTTCTCTATGTACACAAAAGGCATATTTCTCTCAAATATTGTTCACAAATCTGTCAAAATCTGTGTTAGTGAGCACTTCTTTGCCGAGATAATCCATCCACCTCACAGGTGTGACATATCAAGATGCTGATCAGACAGCATGGGTATTGCACAGGTGTGCCTTAGGCTGGCCACAATAAAAGGCCACTCCAAAATGTGCAGTTCCATTGCACAGCACGATGCCACAAGTTTTGAGGAAGCGTGCAATTGGCATGCTGACTACAGGAATGTCCACCAGAGCTGTTGCCCGTGAATTGAATGTTTGATTTTTTTCCATAAGTCGTCTCCAAAGGCGTTTCAGTGAATTTGGCAGTACATCCAACCGGCCTCACAACCGCAGACCGGTTAACCACACCGGTAACCACACCAGTACCTCCACATCCAGCATCTTCACCTCCAAGATCGTCTGAGACCAGCCACCCGGACAGCTGCTGCAACAATCGGCTTGCATAACCAAAGATTTTCTGCACAAACTGTCAGGAATCATCTCAGGGAAGCTCATCTGCATGCTCGTCATCCTCATCGGGGTCTTGACCTGACTGCAACTTCGCACAGCCATTGAAGAAGAGTGGACCAACACTGCACAGGCCACAATCAACAACCTGATCAACTCTATGTGATGGAGATGTGTTGCGCTGCATGAGGCAAATGGTGGTTACACCAGATACTGACTGGTTTCAGGACCCTCCCCAATACAGTGAAACTGCACATTTTGGAGTGGCCTTTTATTGTGGCCAGCCTAAGGCACACCTGTGCCATACCCATGCTGTCTGATCAGCATCTTGATATGCCACACCTGTGAGGTGGATGGATTATCTGGGCAAAGGAGAAGTGCTCACTAACACAGATTTTGACAGATTGGTGAATATTATTTGAGAGAAATAGGCCTTTTGTGTACATAGAGAAAGTATTAGATCTTTGAGTTCAGCTCATGATGAATGTGGGTAAAAACAAAAATGTTGCCTTTATAATTTTGTTCAGTGTATAAAAGCTGTATCTGACTGCATGCGTCACTTGCATTAAACTGTGGTCGAAAACATCAATAATAAAATTATAGTGTGTGGTCATCTCATACATATTTTTATGCTAAAAGAAAGCCATCTGATTAAGTATAATACATTTAGCACAAACTTACCATCAACAGTAAGAGTTACAGAGACAGAAGTCCGTCCAGCTCTGTTCTGAGCGACAACTGTCCACTCTCCAGAGTCTTGTGGCAAGGCTGGGACGATGATCAGGGACTGGGTACCGTCCTCTTTAATCACTATCTTGTGGGTGTAGTCGTTGACCACTTGTTGTCCTGAGGAAAGGATGTTAAAATGGTTTTATAAGCGGCAGACGGGACAGATTAAAGTGCGTATCTAGAATATTTTGAACATTGTTTCTCTTACCGTTGTGGAACCAGTATGTGTCGGGCATGGGTCTGCCAACAACCTTTAAGTCGAATCTGGCAGTTTGCCCCTCAGAGCATTTTATTGAGGAAGGTTTCAGGACAAACACAGGCTTGTAGAGTCTTTCCAGCTGAGCCTCATCTGTCTCGTCAAGCCTGCGGGCGGGAGAACGGCTGGGAGAACGGCTGGGAGAACGGCCGGGGGAGCGGCTCATAGAACGAGGAGATGTGGATCTTAGATGATGAGGAGCAGAGTCGTCAGTATCAAAGTATTACGGTAGACTGGTATGTGATATCTGTCAAAGTAACCTTACCTGATCCTCTGCATAGCTGGCTGTGGTGTGTATCTTTGAGGGGTTACAGCTCCGGACGGCTCCACGTAGAGCTTCCCAGAGCTGACGGCATTTCCCTTCATGTTGGTGGCGAAGGCGGTGTACACGCCCTCGTCCTCCGGCAGGACCACGGGCAGACGAAGGCTGGCTCGTCCATCCTGAAGAACCTCCATCTGGTAACGGCCACCAGGCCTGATGCGCTGGCCGTCTTTGTACCAAGCAATCTGGCAAAAGACAACATCATTTTATACAACTTCTCAGTGTTAGGTCCTACAAGGGTTTGACGTTTCTTCAGTCTTCAAAGTCACGTCTCTGCTGTTTGCAAATACGCAGTTACATTGACATCTATTTAAGGACAGGCAAGGCTTTAAAACAAGCCTGCAGAGGCATAGCCACAAAAATCAACAGAGCTACAAACCAAATCATGCTGATGAAATTGAAAAAAGATATTTATGAACCATCTGTCAGAGGTATACCCAGCTTTGAGAGATGTTGAAGTCTGTACCTTTGGCAGTGGGTTTCCACCTGTCTTGCAGTGGAAAATGACACCCATTCCCTCCATGATCCTGTAGTTTTTGACCGGCGTGTCGAAGGCCGGCTGCACCGCCTCCTCCTCTGCTGCAGTCACAATCAGCTCTCCGTCCTCAATCACCAGCTCTCTGTAGGTGATCCTCATGATACGGAGCTCAATCTCCTGGATGATCCTCTCTTCAAAGGCAGAAATAAGAAATTCCTGCAAAAAAAATAAATAAAAAAAAGACAGTTTGTAATGTTTAACACTACATATGAACCGGGAGACTTCCTTATACTCATGGGATCACAGAACTGTGGACGCACCGTTTCTGAGACAAAGCTCATGGGGGTGGTCACTCTTCTCTGTTCCAGCTCATATTGACTCACGACCACAGAGGGCTCCTGAACCACCGTCGTCGTCACTTCAGTTTTATAGGTCACGTCATGCTGCTTCATGTAGGCTTCATATTCCCCTGGAAACATAGATGCAGAGATACTGTGAGCCCAACAAGGCTTTCCTTAATGCATTCAAATGTTTCTAAACAGAAAAAGTCTTTCTGAAGCTCGGCGCTCCGATACGATAAACCTGCACGGAGAAACAGAAGGATTTCGGATACCTTCCTCCAGCAGGCTGGCGGAGGCTGAGGCTTCTCCATGTTGATTCTTGGCAAAGACGGAGTATTCGCCAGCATCATCAGCGAAGGTCATGGAGATCTCCAGTTTGCATTCTCCGGTCTCCTTCTTGTAGGCGACTTTGTATCTGATGGAGAAAAAAAGAGGAAACCTCCTTGTGAAAACATAAAAGTAAACATGACGCTTTAGATCCGACTTTACCACAAGATCAGGTTCAAGTTTAGCCTGATACTCAAACTGAACAGCCAATTCATTACCACCACATCCGGCCCACAGATTGGCCAGTGATGAAAGTATTGCAATTTTTATTTATTTGCAGTATTATGAACTGTGCATCTTTGTCAAAATTCTGTATTAAGTTACTGCTGATGCAAACTGAACATTTCCTGCTACTGAAGCATCAAATTAAAAGCATTTAACTGGCGAAACACACTTTACTTATGAAGTGGTCACAGGAAATGTTTTTTGTCAGTGACACCTCCACCTTCTCAGCCAGGTTTCCAACTCCTTTCACTTTTACTGTTTGCAGACTTGTGCCATGTGCAGAATAAAGTCAGATCATAACTGTTCACATTAATATGGAAAAAGACCAATTAATGCCTGACAACAGTTTGTTCAGCTGCCCCAGACTTCTGTTACCACCAGTAAGTACAGGTCATAACTGCATCAAAGCTATAGACTGTCTAAAAAACAGTGGTTGATTAATTTCCTGACTATTAGGGTTGGGGGGTCAAGTATCGATCTCTTATTATATAAATTGTACATGAGAATTTTACTTTTCGATACTATGATAATAAAATCAATTGCTTTTTCAGTCCATGAGAAAAAAGAGTTTTCCTTTGAAGACACAATCTGAAGTTAGGAAAAAGGTAATAAATTGCAATATATTTAAAATCGCAATAATATCATATCGTGGGGCCTCTGGAGATTCCCACCCCGACTGAACTTGATTCTGCAGTCACACATTTTAACCATCACTCCTCAGTGAACAGTCTGCTTGGCGAAAGTCAGACAGCATTTTCTAATTAAGAAGGCTAGTTATCATTATGGATTTATCATATTTTTAGGAGTCTGTTCACAGTGACATCGGCAATTAAAAACATTCATTTTGCGAAAGTGAAAAAAAATAATAACTAATATGCTAATTAAACCTAAATTTAAGAAAGTCCGGCACTGACGGTGTCTGCTTAGAAAAATGCTGTTAATTAAGCACATGATGAGGAGTCCTGAGAAAAGATTTTTATAACACAAAATAAAGATATTGCTGATACATGAACGTTTAAAATATTGTTTATTGTAATGTTTGAAATATTTATATACTTTCAGGTGGTTTAATCAACAACAAATCATTATATCTTATAAGCTCACCATACATCTGTCTGTCTGTCTGTGTAAAATCCGTAAAGTAACTGGATTAAAATTATGACGTGGCATCAAACACAGACAGTTACCTGCTGACCAGGTGTGGGTGATTTAGGGACACGGCTATGGAGAGCTTAACAGTAATAACGGTGTGCACAGACCTGTATCCAGTGGTGAGCGGCACTCCGCTCTTCTTCCAGATGATGTGAGGTTTGGGGACTCCTCCGATCTGGCATTCGAAGACGACGCTTCCCCCCTCCACCAGCTTCTGAGCGCTCGGCTTCTTGATGAAGAAGGGAGCGGCGGCCTCTCCGGCACTCACCTCCGCCACCACCTGTTCCTTTGTCTCCACGGCAACACTGAAAGGAAACAAACAGCTGGATCAAACACTGCAGCTGTGGAAACTCACAGGGAATATGACGGCGGCTGATTCGGACTGCTGAGTAAAAATCCATCAGACTTTCACAACTCACGTTTTCTCCTGAGTGATTCCAATCTCAGTGACGGTCGTTTCCTCTCTGCTCTCGATTTCTTCTGAAACTACAACAGAGAGTAAAAGTGCTGGATAAGACCTAAAAATCATATCTACAGTTGTTTTAAAGGAGACATATTATGCTGCATTTCCAGGCCTATATTGTAGTTCTGTGACTCCTGTATGGCAGCTTTGCATGATTCAAAGTTCAAAAAAATATATTTTCTATCTTATACTGACTCTTCATGTAGGCCTTCATTTCAGCCTCTGTCTGAAACAAGCTGTATATGCTCCTGTCTCTTTAAGGCCCCCCCTCTCACAGCCCACTGTCTTCTGATTGGCCAAGATCTGAAGCACGTTACCAGGGTGTTGCTGTCGCTGGCCAGAACATGCAGACTCAGCGGAGCAAATGACCATATATGGAACAGCGGCTCTGTATTACGTTGGTAGACAAAGCAGTTGAAAGCAGTGAGGTTTTGGCTCACAGGGATTTCTTTTAAATACTTACTAACCTCATTATTTGAATCTTTGGCCATGTTTAACCCGAACATCCAACATTATAACTTTGTAGATCAGTCATATAATGTGAAAAAGCATAATCTCCTTTAAGATTGATTTCCTACGTTAAAAATTTCAGTAACGTTAGCTAACGTAACCGTTTCTTGGAAGGAAAGATTTGACAGATTTATGGACTAAATTCATCGACGGGCCCACTGATAAACTGGGATTAGCCACTAAAACATTGACAATGAGGTAAGCTAAAGCTAACGTTGATCTAACACTAGACATCAGTGTTACTTGCTAGCTCTCGAGTCTATAAGCTAATGGTTTTCTGGGTAACTGAGTGCAGGATTCATGTCATTAACCATCTAAATCTTCCTCTAGATGTTTTTTGAGGAAAGACATTTTGGTTCACTGGTGGTGTTTTAGCTGCTAGTCAGTGCTGTGAAGACATATAAATAAAAATGTCACAACTACAATATAATAATGAAATAAACTCAAATGTTTTTGTTGACTAAAATAAGCTACAGTTGTGTGCAGGCCTCTGCTCAGTATCCGACCACCCTCACCTTTGACGAGCAGGTAGCAGGAGGTGCTGACGGTGCCCGCCTCGCTGGTGGCGGTGCAGGTGAAGCGCCCGCTGTCTTCGGCGAACGCCTCGCGGATCACCATCCGGGCGTATCCGTTCGTGTAGCTGATCTGGAAGTCGATAGAGCTCTCGATCTTGTAGTCCTCCCTGAACCACATGATGACGGGAGCGGGGTGGCCGCTGATCTGGCACTCCAGAGTCACCGACTCGCCCTCTGTCACCGTCACATTCTTCAGGCTCTGAACAGAAAAACAGTGACACCTTCAGACACCCGGGGCGGATTTAAAGAGGTGGTATTCTGCTCATTTTCAGGTTCAAAACAGATTTACATGGTTAAGTTTTCATAAAACACCAAATTGTTTTGTCATCCTGCACATTGCTGCAGCTCCTCTTTCCAGCCTGTGTTGAAGGCTTCGTTTTAGCTATGGAGTGATACATCTTGTGTCTAAATGATCTTTGTTGGGAGTTGCACATGCTCAGTTCCTAGTTAAGGACTACTAGCCAATCAGAAGCAGAGAAGGGCGGGTCAGCGAGAAGCCGGTAAACAGCTCGGGTTCAGCCGTACGTGTTGCCGACCGGCTCGGCAACATGGACTGGAGCGAGAGTTTCAGAGCGGTGAGTTATTAATCTGTATCCATAAAGTTTTAACTGAGCTCTGTCTCTACATCACAGGAACAACTTTATGTCCACTGACTGAAAAGATTCATAACTCAAAGGAGAGGGAAAAAGCCAAAAAGCATAATACCACCTCTTTAATGGAACTTGTCACTCAGGTATAATGAGTGGAGATCTTCTGTTTTCTACATTAAGATGGAAAATGATGCTCTGCTGTTGGATATGAAGAGGATTTATTTGTTCCACTTCAAGTGTAAGTAGTTTAAAAGTCACTACTTCTAACCAGTTTGGTGGGATTGGCTTAGGGCTGTAGCCATCAGTCGTTTTCATTATCAATGATGCTGCCAAGTATTTTTGATTTATCGATTGTTTGTAGGGAAGCACCGAAATGAAAATTTTTGGCCGAACCCGTATATAATGAAAAACTTTCCCGAATACCAAACAAGTACATTCACATTGTTTCCATTTATTTCCCCTTTTTTAACCACTGCATAAATTAAACAGTCAAAATGTGCTTTTTCCTCAGTGTTTCCCACAGGATGTGGAGAGACTATGGTGGGGGGACCGGGGCCCAACAGGGTCCAGTAAAGTAAATTATATGAGTCCACGTACTTCTAATGGACACATGTAATATGTTTTATACTTCCTGTGAATATAATGAAGTTAAAACTTATTTCCATCCTGTACAGACGCCTTATTTTGAAAACCGGACGTTGTCACATGTGTTTCCTCCTCGCGCTAAATTCATCCAGTCCGACCCGGTTTGATAAATGCTGTTTTATGTGGTTCTGGTCTTCAGAGCCTCTCTTCATACTAAAGAGACAAACTGTCTCTAACCTGCCTGTCAGCTCGCTCTGGGCCGCTTCACTTACCGTAAAGGCTTGAATACGTGTGCACTCCAAATTCAGGTGCGGCTAGCTTAACCTCCTTCTCACAGACGAGTGACAGTAACACAGAAGCGGTTCTTTTCTAAGAAGTCAGCCACAGATGGAGCTGATGTGCTGAGTCAGTTCAGCAGAACAGCTGAGCTAACAGCAACTTTAAAATGCTTCCACACTGTCGACATGGCAACGTGATTGTTCGTTAAAATGTTTTTGGTCTTTTGACTCATTAGGCCGAACACAGAAAGTGCTTTTTTTGCTGTTTTCGGCTGATTAATTTCGGTAGCTGAATGTTCGGTGCATCCCTACTTGTTTGGTCTATAAATGGTCATTAAAAAAAGTGAAATAAAAATTTTCTCAAGCCCATCTATGATCTCCAAATGTCTTGTTTTCCGCAGAAAATTACAGTAAATGTAGGATAATCAACTCTGAGGTTTAAACATTTTAACCTGACTGAGAGTCGGCAGTCAGACTAGCTACAATACCGGTCAAAGTTGTTTTTTAGTTCTTCTGTAAAGTTCAGTGAAAAACCTTAAATGATCCCAAAGTCAGAAGTTAAAAGTTAAAAACAACGTTTACGTCACCAAAACAGAGATTTTCAGATCTAAATTTAAGGGCTGCAGAAATGTGTTTACTTTCCTTACACTGCTGCAGAATAACTTCACGTTGTTAACTCATCGCTTGATCCCTTAAAATATCTGAAATTTACAATATTTCTCAATTTTGCCGACATAAACACATTTCTACATTTAACACCTTGAACATAATTTAATTGTTAATTTTTCGATCTGAAAATGTTTTGGTGACGTAAACTCTCGTTACTCCTCACTTCCTTCTGACAGTATTTAGATTTTGGAGGACAGGAAAGTACTCACAGCAATCAGAGTGGGAGGAACGACGGGCTCCTGAGCTCTGGTGGGAACTGCAGCCGCCTCCTGAGGAAAACAACAACAACACGAGTCAACAACGACAAACAACAAGGTGTTTCCCAGAGATGGCGTTCTGTGAGGATGGAGGGGGGGAAGCCGGTTAGGACAGATAAAAACCCTGCAGAGAGGACAGAGGGGAGGAGGTCAACAGCTCGGGACAGGAAGAGGAAGAAGAAGAAGCAGCGGAGGGGTCTTCGTGATGATGATGATGATTGGCTGCTGCGTTACAGTGAAGAAGGTCAAACGCAGGTGACAGTCCACACGGGGTTAAATTAGGGGGAAGTGAAGGGAGGATGACGGCGACGGGGGTCGGACCAACCTGTGGCTCCCAGTCCTCAAACTCCTCCTCACTCACTGCATAAGCTCCGCCCGGCTGTAACTCAAACTGACTCTGGTATCGGACGTCTTTAAACGGCGGTGGGAGGGGCTCCGACGTCGCCCGCACCTCCACCGCTCTGCGTGACGGACTGGGAGACTTGACGGGCTTGATGATCTTCCTGGGAGAGGAGGATCTTAGCTCTTTCTGCAGAGTGGCGATAGCAGAGCCAGCGATGGACACCTGATCGAGCCAAACGAGAAGAGCGTTAACGGAAACAAACGCTCTCAAAGTCCAAAGAGCGGCGGAGAGAGACTCTGAGTGAAGGCAGGAAGTCACAGCAGGACTCGAGACATTGAATTATATTATATAAAAAAAGACATAAATATACAAACATAAATAAAGCAAAAAAATAACTCATCGCGATAAAAAATGTCTTATCATTAGATATCGATATTTATCACGATAAATGTAAAATCATTATTTCCTTCTCAGAACAAACACTTGATTGAATATTATAAAATCTTTTTTCAGTTCTTTTTCCTCAACAAAATAAATATCTTAATAGAAAAAGTAAGTGTTAAATCATTTGTGGGTCAAACATTTATTTTGTTGTTATGGAGGAAAGATGTATTGCGATAAATATCATTATTGTTTCATTGTCCAGCACTAGTTTGAGGGCTTTTACACAAAGTATTGTGTAAAAAAAGAAATCAGTTTTAACGTCTACTTTGTAATCTGTTGCATTTAGGATGCTGATATTTTATAACTGAGATGAAATTAGATGAGGATAAAAATATGTAACTGGGATTCCGCATATATGTAACTACAGTTACAAATATTTCCTGTTTTTGTTCCTGTTGTGTTTTATTGTTAGTTTTTAATATTGAGCTTAAATACAAAAACACAATATTCGATATTGTCAGGTGTTGCGTGGTGATCAAATAACACACAATTTTGTAAAAAAAAATTAAAAAAGATAAAACAAAACAGATTTAAATTTTAGCACAATTTTGAGTAATACATTTTTTTTTAAACTGTAGATACTGTTTTTAAAATCTTTTTCCAAATTGCAGCATGTAAAGCCTTCAGATCCAAGACCAAACACCTCAGAGTCTCCAGCCTCAGAGAGCACGTAGCACGCTGTGGAGGCATCAGGTCAAATGGTTCCGTCTCAAAAGACAAGAACCAGTGCAGTAACATCCCTTTCCACAGGATCACACACAAACCGTGATGAGTGAACGGCGTGAAAGTTTAGCGTGTCGGATGCTGTGAGCAGGAAACCAGAGTGAATCACACCACAGAACAGAGTGGAGTCCGTGTGTTAACATTTGTTAAAGATGAAATGGCGGGTTTGGGGATGACGGCGGCCTGCAGCTCCCCTTCCTTACCTCGTGGCTCGGTTCATGTTTAGGAACAGAAACTTTAGAAACTGTGAAATGTGGGACTGGAGACGGGGCGACGCCGGAGTCCACGTGGGTGGAGATCTCTGTTGTTGTCTGAATCTGGAGCAGAGTTTATTCAGCGGTTAAGAAGACTCGACTCTTATTGTCAGACATAACATCTGTTATGAATTCAGCAAACTCCTCCGACCTGGGAGACCTGGACCCGGCGCTGCTCTGAGGCGGCAGCGACGGCAGCCGGCGGTTCAGCAGGCAGCGTTTTAGCTACGACGACATGTTTCACTGCAGTCGCCGCCGCCTGCTGCTTCAGCTCCGCCTCTACGGCCTCCTCCTCCTCAGCTCGCCCGCCCTCCACACGCGCGGGCAGGCGGACCCGAGCGAGGTCAACGGCCGCCACCACTGTGGCCACCGCCCCGGCTTTCACCCCTCCCTCAGCCTGGAGACACAAAAAGCAGCACATAGATCTGAGGACAGGAAGTCGGGAGGAAGATGTTCAACGAAAAGCCCCGAAGACTGAAAGAAAATACTTCCATAATATCCGAGGAAGGTTCAAATCAAGGGTCAGATTATCTACACAGGAGAAGAAACAAGAATGACTGAAGCCATGAAGCCGAGCGGCATGCAGCTCTGCAGAGACACGTGCAGTTTACTCTGCCAGTGAAGCCAGAACAAGATGGAGAATAAGATACAGACGGAGGGAAGAAAAGCACAGTGAGGACCTTTTAAACAAACCCCATGACTTCAGCAGATTTATGCAAATGTATTTTTTGTCACATATAACTAGGGATGGGAATCGCTGGTACCGACAGAAACAGCCCAGTATCGAGTGGAATCCAAACGTCAGAACTTCTTACTTACTTTTTGGAACCAGATCGCGGCAGAAAGTGACTATTTGTCTGGTTTTTCTTGCAGCCAAACAGGCAAGCAACACACCGAAAGAAAGAGAAGAGCTCGGCTTTTATTTCTCTTTACGTGGCTGCACCATAAACTGTATTAAAAAAGGCTGCACGCGCTCAGTCCACGCTGATTTTAACAGCCGCTCACCTTCGGCTGCGTCTCGGACACGTTCGTCACTGCTGCAGGTTTATCAGCACGAGCCGGGCTTCCCGTTGGTTTCATCTCCTGGGATCGTTTAAAACGTGTCTGGACATTTTTATTAGCTGTTCACATCACTTGTCACTGATCGATCAGCTGATTTTACTGGCTTGATGGGCTGGACGTGCGGCCTCTCTTTACTCTGTGAGTCTTTAGTTTAGAGACTCATTTTATACTCGGGTTTTATTATACAACTATTGTTCCATTTGTTGTGTCGTCTACTCTCTGTAGATTATCTACGTCTGTTATCATGTTTCTTATCGGTCTTTTAATTATTTTCTCATGAGGTCTTTTATGTAACAAATAAAAGAGATAACCTCGCTTACTTTCATGTCTTAACAGAATACTGGACCTTGGCCCGTCTTCAGCCCTGATGTACCGAGGTGTCCTCCCAGGCTCCACACCTCCACTGTTTTCATGTGGTTTGTTTTGAGCATGTTTGTATTTTCCTTTGTCTCATTTCACCCTGACCTGAGGTAAAGTTTCAGTTCCATCCTCAGCAGGTGGGGGTGAATCTAAGACAACCAAAAGCTGCAGCGTTGTCCTTTTTTGGTAATAACTCTAGTCTTCTATGTCTTAAATATCAATGTCAAGGCTTCTAGGACAAGTCCTGTACTAGTGTTGGACTATACAGGCTTACAGTTATTAAATTAATAAATTCTCTGATTCCAGCGTCTTAAATGTGAATATTTTCTGGTTTCTTTCCTCCTCTGCGACAGTGAACTGAATATATTTCGGTTTTGGACAAAAGAAGACATTTGAGGACGTCAACTCAAGCTTTGGGAAACCCGGTTTGGCAATTTTTACAATTTTATGGACCTACCAACTGATTGATTAATCGATAAAATAACCGACAGAATAATCGTCAGTTGTAGTCCTGCCGCTCAGAGACTCAGCGAGCTAACCCAGCGACAGCCGCCAGAAGACTTTCACATCTTTGTTTTGTTTCTGTGGAGTCTGAATAAAGTGTGTTTTACAACAAGTTAATAATTTGTTTGGTTACAGAGATATTTTTCTGTTTGAGAGGGGAAACATCTGAAGAGAGGAACATGTGAGCGTGCGGTTAAGGTGAAAAAAGGTCCTCTCGTGGTCCGACAGAACGAAGTGACAGAAAATAAACAAACTAACAAACAGGAAAGAGTGAAAAAATATGAATGAAGTGACAGTTTGAGCAGCAGTGATGGTGGCGGACTGTGGCGGTCTACCTGCTCTCCGGACACGGCGGCCTCATGCGGGCCCCGGCTGCGAGCCTGATCCACGGCCGCCACCACGGTAGCCACCGCCACGGTCTTATGGTCCTGGGGAACATGCTCGTCCTGACGCATTCACATCACAGCAACACGTCAACACATGTTCACGCTACACCAACAACACACAGGCAGAGCCGGGCCGAGGTACTGAGTTCACTGCTGACTCACTAGTCAAGCTCAACAACACGTTCACACCAGACGAGTTCACCCTGACTGTGTTTCACTGAGCGAGCCTGAATAGTTTGGATGCACTGAATAAAACCTCCTCAGCCTGCATGCAGCTTCACATTAAAGAGGCGGCTCCACCGTCCTCACCTCTCTGGTGGCGGTGACCTGCTGCTCCCAGTGCTTCTCCATGTGAAGCTGGGCGGCGCTGCTCACGCTGGTCATGCTGGACATGCTGGACATGCTGGTGTAGCTGGCTTCAGCCACGTAGTCGCCCTGCTTCCAGGGAGGCAGGACCTCCGCAGAGGCAGAAATCTGCAAGAGGAAGGCAAAAGTTTATCACACCTTTTCCTCAAGCCAATCATACATGTGGCGCTGCACTAGTGGCAACCTGCTGCTCTCACAAGTGAAGCCAGTGCTGAAGCACCTTAAACCTGCGTCCTCTCCAGCAGCCAGCAGGGGGCGACTCCAGCGGCTGCAGAAAGAAACTGTTGCTACTTGTCAGCCGATTTATTCCCTCAGTAAACACTTTCCTGATGAGTTTATGGTCTCAGTCGCTAGTTTCAAGTCTTCTTCAACACAGTATGATGTTCATTTAGTAAATTATGGTCCCATTTAGAGGAACAGAGACCAGGAAGCAGGGGAGGCTTTAAGGCGGGGCTACAAGCTGATTGGCGACCTGTCAATCAGAATAGAGGCGACTCGTATCCGCTGCTCTGTGTACATTTAACCAGCGCCGCTGAAAAAGCTCATCAGGAGTCGGCTGCTCATTTTTCAGTAAGTACGTTTAGTTTTAAGCCTGTTTGTCGCTAGCTAAACTGAGCATCCCCCGCCAATGCGTCTTGCTAACCAAGCTAGCTAGCTCCACCCTCATGTCCAAATATGGTCACGCCTGGTTCCAAAAAAACAAGATGGCGACCACCAAAATACCAAACTGTAGGCTTTAACATGACAGAGTCCACAAACCAACGGGGGGACATCACTTCTTTTATAGCGTCGGCGCTGTGATCGCATTGTCACAGAGGCTGTTTACATGTTTACAGGACGAGTAGAAATGACGTTCAGAAGAGATTTGAAATTCATAATAAAGCTAAAACCCCACAGGATGTGCCTCAGTGGCAGGTACGATACTTTTACCTACAAGGTGGTGGCGTCAACATTTAGCGATAGCAGTGCGTTGGAAGAACTAGCTTGTGTGAACACTAGAGCTGCAACGATTAATTGAATAATCAATTAGTTGTTCACTATTATATTAATCGTCTATTTTGATAATCGATTAATTGGCTTGAGTCAATTTTTTTGGGTGAAAAAATCTCCAATTCCAGCTTCTTAAATGTGACTATTTTCAGGACAAGACATCTGAGGACGTCGCCTCTATGCTTTGAGAAACACTGGTCGCCATTTATCACATTTTCTGACATTTTATAGACCAACTAATGCATTAACTGATAAACTAATCTGCAGATTCATCGAGAAAGAAAATAACCGTTAGTTGCACCCTTGGTGAGTCAGAGTGTTTAAAGTCAGAGTGTTGACTTCAGTAAACATGTCACATCAGCTGGTGTGAAAACGGCTGCTGGGCGTTAGAAGTGTCGTTGACCTGGATGTGAACTCACCTGTTTGCGGGTCATGATGGGGGACTTGACCGGTCTGATGGGAGAGACGGACAGTCTGGCGGAAGGAGAGACGGGTCTGTGGAGGACAAAGACGACACACGATACTTAAGTATTCTGTTTCATGAATTCTCCGACAGATATGCTGCTTCTGAGATTCTTTGCCAGCGTGGATCACCATCTTGCATGGCCTGCTCAGGGGCCGCGGTCGTACCTGACGGCTGCGGGCGTCGGCCCTTTCACGTGTCTGACAGGTGAAGGCGACTGCTGGCGTCCTCCCGCCACCTTGGAAACGAAGGACGGCGGGGACCTGGAGGTCGGCTTCGGGGGAACCCGCGGGGGAGTCTTGTGAGCCAAATGCTGAGTCATCATTCCTCCTTCCACGTGCATCTCCATCATGGTGGTGGCTTGGAAACTCGCCTCCACCTTCTGAAGGGGAAACGTCACGTAATGAGCGATTTGTTTTATGGAGACATCTGTTAATGAATCCTTAAAGTAAGAACGTCTCACCCTCTGTGCTCGGGTCTGGGAAGTCGTCATCTGGGATGTGGACACAATAGTCTTGGTTTTCTTAGCAGGTACAGCTTCTTCACCTGCAGCAGAAACACACGCAGGTTTGGGATGATCCAGATACGAAACTAAACAACAACTAAACTTTGTCTTTAAAGATGGTGGATCTTAAATTTGCTGATTGAAAAAGAGTCTGGAGGTCCTCACCCTGAACCAGCAGCTCGGCGGTGGACGTGGCCCGTCCGCTGCTGTTGGTGGCGGTCACAGAATATGTCCCAGAATCCTCTGGGAAGGCCTCAGCGATCAGCAGACTGTACAGGTCTCCTTCCTGGAGGATCCTGAAGTCCGCCGAGCTCTGGATCTCGGCTCCCTCTCTGTAGAACTTCACCACAGGTGTTGGGATTCCTGTGACTCGGACGTCCAGCCTCACCTGGCTGCCCTGTCGCACCGTGGAGCTCTGCAGTCTCTGAAGGAAGTTTGGAGGCGCCGTCTCGGCTGCAGAGACAATAAACACGTCTCATTAGCCCGGGTTTACTTAGTCGTAGTTTCACAAGACATTTTTCAGACAATCAATCAACAAAAACTGAATTTAAAAGAGTAAAAAACTGTAAAATGTGATGTCTTTAAATGTCTAACTGTTCAAAACCCAAATATTCAGTTTAATCAGGTGCATTTAAACTGTGTCATCATTGTGGGAAAACTACACAGCTGCAGCCAGAAAATCCATGTTGGAAATTAAACAAAATCTATTTCACACACGAGGATTGAATGAGAGTTAAGTTGTAAAGATGGCGAGTCCGAGTCCAGGCCAGAAACAAGTACCCAGTACGGCGTAAAGATGAACAGGATAAACTCTGATCCTGAACCAGTTGATGTTTGGAGTCTTGTTCCTCAGGATGTGAGATCCTTACTGGCTCAAGTTCAAGCTGTTAATCACGTAATAAACTTGTGATTCCTCTTAAGGAAAGTTATGCTGCAGCAGCTGCGTCTATTTTGGGTTTATCACTGGGTTAAGTAACAGGCCACGCCCCCTCGCCTGACAGCGGGACAAATTAAGACTCTCATCACTCTCATCTACGGAGAGTGCAGATGAACGATTGTGTTGTCATTGCTATAATACGTTCTTTGTATTTATTTGATTGATTGCCCCTTCAAACCCTGGATCCCTGGGCCCCTGGGATCCCTGGGCCCTCTCTCACCTGTAACCAGGAGTTCTGTATTAAAGTCTACCTGAGCGCTCACCTGGAACAGAGAAAATAATAATAAGATAATACTAAAACAAAGACGGTTAGCTCCATGGTATAATACTGAAACTCGCAAATTAAAGCAAATATCGCAGAAAATTCTCATTCAATTTGGCAAGATAGTCTTAAAACTTATAGGAAGGCCCTCCTTAACGCTAGAGCAGCGTACTACTCGTCATTAATAGAGGAAAAGAGGAACAACCCCAGGTTTCTTTTCAGCACTGTAGCCAGGCTGACAGAGAGTCACAGCTCTATTGGGCCAAGTATTCCCATAGCTCTCAGTAGTTACGACTTCATGAGCTTCTTTAATGATAAAATTCTAGCTATTAGAGACAAAATTCACCAAGACCTGCCCTCAACTGGCACCAATTTATCTCTAAACTCAGGAACCTTAGAAACAGCTGTAGAACCAGATATATGTTTAGACTGTTTTGCTTCCCTCAATCTTTACCAACTAACTTCAATAATTTCTTCATCTAAACCATCAACCTGCCTCTTAGACCCCATCCCGACTAGGCTGCTTAAAGATGTTTTACCCTTAGTCAGCACTTCTATACTAGATATGATCAATCTATCTTTATCAACAGGCTATGTACCACAGTACTTTAAAGTAGCTGTAATTAAACCTCTTCTGAAAAAGCCCAAACTTGATCCGGATGTTTTAGCCAACTATAGACCTATATCTAACCTTCCATTTCTCTCTAAGATTCTGGAGAAAGCAGTTGCTAAACAGCTGTGTGACTTTCTACAGAGCAATAGTTTATTTGAGGATTTTCAGTCAGGATTTAGAGCTCATCATAGCACAGAGACAGCACTGGTGAAAATTACTAATGACCTCCTTATTGCATCAGACAAAGGACTTGTCTCTGTACTGGTTTTATTAGATCTTAGTGCTGCATTTGATACCATTGACCATCAGATCCTATTGCAGAGACTGGAATATTTCATTGGCATTAAAGGAACCGCTGTAAGCTGGTTTAAGTCCTATTTATCAGATCGATTTCAGTCCTCCATGCACGCCAAAGTTACTCATGGAGTTCCACAAGGATCTGTCCTCGGACCAATCCTCTTCACTTTATATATGCTTCCCTTAGGCAATATTATCAGGAAACATTCCATAAGCTTTCATTGTTATGCAGATGATACTCAGTTATATCTATCGATCAAGCCAGATGAAACTCATCAGTTAGCTAAACTTCAAATGTGCCTTCAGGATGTTAAAACCTGGATGACCTGTAATTTTCTCATGTTCAACTCCGATAAAACTGAAGTTATTGCTCTGGGGCCTAAGCACCTCCGTGACGCATTATCTAAAGATATAGTTTCCCTGGATGGCATCGCCCTGGCCTCCAGCACCACTGTGAGGAATCTTGGAGTTATCTTTGATCAGGACATGTCGTTTAAGTTTCACATTAAGCAAATTTCAAGGACCGCCTTTTTTCACCTACGTAATATTGCGAAAATCAGGAACATCCTGTCTAAAAATGATGCAGAAAAACTAGTCCATGCATTTGTTACTTCTAGGCTGGATTACTGCAATTCCTTATTATCAGGCTGCTCGAAAAAGTCCATTAAGACTCTTCAGCTGATTCAGAATGCTGCAGCACGTGTTCTGACAGGAACCAGGAAAAGAGATCACATTTCTCCTGTTTTAGCTTCTTTGCATTGGCTTCCAGTAAAATCCAGAATAGAATTTAAAATCATTCTTCTTACCTACAAAGCTCTTAATGGTCAGGCACCATCTTATCTTAAAGAGCTCATAGTACCTTACTACCCCACCAGAGCACTGCGCTCCCAGAATGCAGGGTTACTTGTGGTTCCTAGAGTCTCCAAAAGTAGACTAGGAGCCAGAGCGTTCAGCTATCAAGCTCCTCTCCTGTGGAACCAGGTTCCAGTTTGGGTTCAGGAGGCAGACACCATCTCCACATTTAAGAGTAGGCTTAAGACTTTCCTCTTTGATAAAGCTTATAGTTAGGGCTGGCTCAGGTGAGTCCTGAACCATCCCTTAGTTATGCTGCTATAGGCCTAGACTGCCGGGGGATTTCCCATGATGCACTGAGCTCCTCTCTCCTCTACTTTCTCTCCCTCTGTTTGCAACCTCATCCCATTATTGCATGTTACTAACACAACTTCTCCCCTTTCCGGTAGTCTTGTGCTTTCTCGTCCCTCTCCTCTCTCCTCCTATCACTTCCTGCAGGTGTTTCTGGCTCTGGAGCTGTGGAGTCTGGATCTGTGGTTGCGGGTCACCTGCTGCCCCCGTGTTCTACTAGTCCTATTATTATTATTATTGTTATTATAATCATTAACATTACGATTGTTATCATTAACACTACTATAAATATCTGTACCATTTTTCATTTAGTCTATATCAACATCACCTTTACTGTCTGTACCTCCATGTGTATTATCCTTCCATCTCTCTCTCTCTCTCTCACCTGTAACCAGGAGTTCGGCGGTGCTCGTGGCTTGTCCAGCGCCGTTGGTGGCTCTGACAGAAAATCTCCCGCTGTGTGCGGCGGTCACAGCGGGGATCCTCAGAACAGCGCGGCCGTCGCTGAACGAGATCTGAATGCCGGGCAAAGCGGCGGCGGAAAGAACCTGGCCATCACGGAACCAGCTCACCTCAGGAACTGGAGAACCTGCAGAGGAGAGAAGAACCCGACCGGTCTGATGTCAGAGTAACCAGAGATCCTTACTCACTGAGGGGACGCTCCAACATTCATCAGGAAATAAAATTAAATGTTAAAAAGCCCAGAATCAGATGACAAGAGGGCTATCTCTTTCATCTCTTTGTGTCCAGTACAGAGATAGAGCCAGGACATGTTTAGCCTAGCTTAGCAGTTTGCCCCTGCTTCCAGTCTTTGTGCTAAGCTAGGCTAAAAACATTTTGGTATAGCAACAGTTAGCTACAAACATCTACCACATAATAAAATCCAACACCTAGTTTTAGCTAATGTTAATATTTGTTAACGTTAGCTAATAACACTCCACTGATTATGCGTGCAGTTTTACGGCTACACTTGTTAGCACTTACCGCGTGCTTTCAGTCTTTGTGCTAAGCTAGGCTAAACACATGTTGGTATAACACCAGTTAGCTACAAACAGCTACCACATCATTAAATACAACACCCGGTTTTTGCTACACTACATTGATTATGATAGCGGTTTTGTGACTACACTTGTTAGCAGTTTCCCCTTGCTACAGTCTTTGTGCTAAGCTAGGCTAATTACATCTTGGACTTCTCTCTGTACTGTACAGAGATTAAACTGATATCCATCTTTTTATCTGACTCTGAAGAAGACAAGAAAAACAAGAGGATTAAGAAGCAAAATGTTAATTTAAACAAATATTAACCCTCCAAAATGACTAAAGCACTTTTAACACTTATTATTAAGCTAGTTCAATATTTCTGGATTAGCTGATCCATTACACCACGAGACTTTAAGTAATATTAACAATTAAAAAGCTTTGAGGGTAAGAATAAAATGGACTGTAACATTCTCCAACTTTATTCCGTCACTCTTTTTTTTTACAAAAAGGTTTTACATTTAAAAGGGAAATAAAAAAGTTTAGAAACAACATCAATTTGACTTTAGGGCTAATCCTCAGCACAGAAAGCTCTAGAAAAACATTTGAGCTCTGGAAAACTTCCTTACCACTAACTTGAGCCTCGAACGTCGCGGCACTACCCTCTAGTGCCACGACGCTCTGCAGCGGCTGTGTGAACGTCGGCGCCTGTGTTGACATGTTGGTCGGCACCCTGCAGAGACAAACAAACAAACAAACATGGTCAGAACAAACTTTTAAAGCAGGAGCACGAGAGCAAGAACCTTCTAGATATCTCACTCGGAAACAAAAACATTACCCTTCTACTTCCATTAATAATCAATTTTATATACATTTAATTATGGCACAGTTGTATTTTTCTGACCGTCTTTGTTGCAGTAACCAACAACAAACACAAGGGGTGCTCCCACACACTGACTGGACACAGGAGCATGCTGGGAATTATACTTTAACAATAGATGATGGGTGGGCAAAGATCTTTATGTTGGAAGAGACAGAATATTTTACTTTTTAATGAAAATTAGAGTGACAAAGTAGCTTCTATAAATTGACACTGACGACTCATTTCACTCGAGAAGAAACCACAACACTTTCAAAAAGGATCACTTCTCTCAGCTGCATCACCACACGATCAAAACATGACTGAATCATTTTTACCATCCAGAGTGAGATTCCAGTTTCTGTATTCTGTGGCCACGTATCTCAACTAAAAAACCTTTTGGTAGCAACTTAAATGAGTCCGTGCAAGAGGACTGAAAACGACAAAGAATACAAAAGTCTGATCAGATTCAAGGTTTTCATTGTCAGACAACTTAGTTTTTAGGCATTTGCCTCAGAATCCAATCACCCATAACACATAAGCCCCCTGAGCCACTGCATGCATATGTAGATATCTGGTCTGGGGCAAATAAAATTTGCGTACAAAATACAGTTAAATACCGTATCAGTAAAATACAAGTTACACTTCAGCAGTAGTACTTAGTGTTTTGCGTTTGTAGCTGCATCATCATCGTTTGTTGTTAACTTTGATCATAGTTCCAGTTTTAGTCCAACTCTGGACATCGACACAGCAGAACCGAAAATATCCTTTTTTATTCTACACTTTCAGACTGTGTTGTATGACACAGTTCTTCTGCTTTTGACAACACGTGTCCAGGACTGATCCCCAGCGTTGTCCCTGACGTTTACACCGTCCACCAACTGTTACCAAGTTGGACAACGTCTGACATGAAGATAAAAAAAAAAGAAACTAAGAATTAGAAACTGAATCATGAACTAACAGCGGCGGGAATGAGCTGGACGATGCTCTCCTGTTCAAACAGCTCAACAGGAACTATGTGAGCACCAAAACACAAAGACGTGTGACGTTCTTTCAACGCGTCTGAAGCCAGACCCGGGTCATGGTCGTCCTCCTCCAACTCTGAGACTCACGTAGTTTTATTTCTATAAACTCAGCAAAACCTTTAACCACAGGAGATCAAAGCCTCGTGTGTGTTGGGAAGAACCGTCAGCTTCTCCTTTAGCCTCACGTGTTGCTGAAGTCTGAAGGAAAGTAAAGAGGATTTGTTGGCTGGATATCAAACCAGTTTCTCATTTAAATCATAATTTTATTCAGACAAACCTTTCGAACGGCTCCCTGTGTTCAGAGAACACTTAACATTTGAGGACTTTTTGTTTTGTAGAAGAAACATTTATCCCCAGTCCTGAATCCGTGGCCACATCACATGATTTATTGGTGATCACTACGTCAGCTGATCAGTAGACAGATCATCTGTCTCTGTAACAGCGTCTGTCCACCAGAGGGCGCTGACAAGTCGATTTTACACTGTGACACTACAGATCTGGGTCACTATTCTTAAAAAAACAACTCATTTCCATCTTAAAAGCGTTTTAACATGTAAATATGTGTTTTTTACGTTAAATGTTAATGAACTAATACTGGCTTATATATTTATACGTGTATTTGTCCAGAACCGCTCGGTACAAGACGTTCAGTTCAAACATGTCATTTATGTTCTGGTTTGTAAAGTGTCCCTGGCTGCCTCCAGAGGTGCTTAATATTATAATTCTTAATATTAACAATAATTATCACAGCTCACAGCTGATTTGCACTGTGCCAAAGTCTCTACTAATGCTGTAGGAGTGTTTATCTCTGCAGACAAATATTGCACATATTATTAATCTTTGTTATTCTTCTATATTTTGTTCATTTACATTTATATAAATACAACATCCTCTCCCGCTGCAATCGTCTGCACAACACAAACCCAGAGTAATGCACATGTAAATATTCTCTGCACATAGTGGAAGAATTATTCATTCTTTTATAACTTGCATTTGTCTAATCCATATTTATATATTTCTACATTTATTTGTCTGCGTGTCGCATCTTATCACCAGAGCAAATTCCTTGTATGCATAAAATACTACAATGCAATAAAGCTCCTTCTGGTTCTGGTTCTGTTTCTGAGACCGTGCTCATCGAAGAGAATACAGGATTTAAGCGTTTGGTCGTCAGTAGCCGCCTTTCCATCTAAAAAAGAGAAAATGTGAATTAGCGGTGTTTCCTTCAACTGGTTAGGTTGGACTTAAAGACCGTGGAGGTCTTCAGGAATGTTATGAGAACATCTGGGAAGACGCCGACAGTGGAAACAGCTGATCAGTCATGTGAGGTAAATGTTCCCATCTCCTGTTTAGCGCTTTAACTCTTCTTCTTCAAAAAAGGCAAAAACCACCTCAAGCGAGTGTAAAAACTTTTGGAAAGCGGCGCCGTGCTGCAGCTGCGGCGTGCTGCCTTGGTAAAGGAGCTGCAGCTGTTCACAGTCATCTGCAGGTCTTATCACCGAGCCTTGCTGACATCTGCTCGGCAATAATCCAGCATTTCAGAGCTTTGACTGCTGCAGTGAGACTGATATGTTATTTTCTGCAGAACTGAAAGCGTTCTGAACCGTCAACGCTGTGCACCGTGAGATCTGTGGAAACACCTAATGTCCTTTTACAAAACATCAAACCCTCTGCAGGCTCTGTGACAGCGAGACTCGGCGGTTTGATCCCCTCAGGGTTTATTTTTAGCAGCTGTCCCTGGAGGCGGACCGGGCTCCGCGGGGTCTGGCTGATAAACCACCAGCTGATCCACCGCAGACCTCGGAGCAGATTTCAACACCTGTCGACCCCTGAGGGGAACCGTTCAGATTCAGTCGTCTTCAGTTTCGCTTCAGTTTGTTTGTTTCACTTGTTCCAATTCTACTGTAGTTTTCTGTTCTAATGTATATCTGAGACATAATAAGCAAGTTTAAAGATGACCTTTTATGAAAACAGAAATATATAAAGACAGTAATTCAGCGCTAAATGTAACAAGACAGAGATTAACTCTAATATTTCATTTGTCCTGAACTCTTTATATTTTCAGCTCAGATAAAAGGTTTTTAAACAACAGGCTTCAATAAATCAACAACAACATGTCTGAAACGCTCAGCGTCACTTCGTGTACAGTAACAGCAGGTCCGAGCGACACCTCCCTCCGTCTGGTCACCGCAAAACATCTGACGAGCCAATCAGGATCCAACCTGGTCTGCAGGGACCTGGTCTGCAGGGACCTGGTCTGCAGGGACCTGGTCTGGCACCGGGACAGTTCCCTTTGCTCTCTTTCTTTGCTTTACTGACCGGCGCTCTGTGGCTGCGAGTCTGTGAATTATTTTCTCCATTAATTAATTAATCGTTTGGTTTATAAAATGTCAAAAAACACCAACAGGTTGTTTCCTTTCAAAATAAAACAGCTTGTGTTTCCTTTCAAAATAAAACAGCTTGTTACCTGAGACAATGAATTTTTTGAGCTCAGAAAATTAACTTAAAATCTGTCACAGATCAGAAACCTGATTCACACTTTCAGCACGCCGTTTGTGTTCAAAGATCAATATCTTTACTGACAGGGAGAGCGCGACAAAGTCCAGGACTTGTTTCCATCCTGGTCCCTGATGTTTCATCTCAACTTTCAAAATTCAAACGTAGCAGCGTTTATGATCAGAGCTACAGGTGGACATTAGATCAATCAGTCAAATAAAAAAAAGATATTAATCGATCGTCACTAAAACATCAGACTGGAGTCACTGTACTTAAGTCAGGGGCCAATCTTTACTGGCTCTGGTGGCCCTTGACGAACTTGTATTGGCCTGGTTATCCCTGCTTTGACCCACTTGGACCCATTTGGCCTGCACTAGACTGGGTTGGCTCCGATTGGTCCTGGTTGTTTCCTGTTTGGCTCTAAATGGCCCCTGGTGTTTCGGTACTGGCGCCAAGTTCAGTCTCAAAACATTTAGCACCGGTTTGCTGCGGTCTCCAGGTTGGACGACATAAGTAAGAATGTTTTGGTTTGGCGGGCGTGTCGGAGGCGTCACACAGAGGCTGACAGAGAGTTTCTGTCACCTTCCCAACAGCTGCTGCTTCCTGGTTATTAAAGGTTATAAACTCCTGAACATCCTGCAGGACTCAGCGGACACTGACGGACTGAAACAACAGCTGACATTTAGAAGAAATAAGTTTGTGCTCACAGTTCAAACCATCTTTTGTTGCGTTTCTTATAGAGTTTAGCTGCTCTGTCAAGTACTCAGCCTTTAATTTATTTAATCTTGCTGAAATAACCAGTTTATTCCATTAATCAATCATCAGAACTATTTTGATAATCGATGAAGTCATTTTTAAACATTTGTTGGTTCCAGTTTCTAAATGTGAAAACAAAAAGGATGAATTAAGATTAATTTAATAAACTTCCTCGTTAGTTGCAGCCCTGTTATGAAGCTAACAGACAGAGTTTATGGCTGTATGATAAATTAATGTCTTAATGAATCCATTGATGTAATGAAGGCATTTTATTTTTACTGGACTGAACGGTTCATTTAATCTATTCAAAGTACCGTAATACAAAACATGTTACAATCCAGTAATAAGAAGCGTTTCAAAAAGGTTAAAACTCGGAGAATGTTTATAAGATTTTGGGTCAGTTTATGGGTTTTCTGCCTTAAACTCTGGAGATGAAAACTCATTTTTACAATCTGTTCATTTATCCAGTGATTAACAGGAATGCAAAAACATTACTCTTTTAAAAAATGTGTGCATTTAAAAAAGGACAAATTTACTCATTAATTAACCACTAATACCAGATAAATCTGTTTTCTTTAAACACTAAGAAATCCTAAATAATATAATATATTCCAATCTGTTCTTATTCAAGGAGAAAACCCTGAAGTGTGATGAGTACAGTTACTGTATGAAGATTTCACCTCTGCTATTAATGCATTTGTCAAATAATATAAATGAACGAGTGGATTAAGAGGAAAGTTATGAAAATAAAAAGACCGTGTCAGAGCTGAGGATTCATTAAGAGTTTGGCTTCGCGTGTGCTCGTCACCTTGTTTGGGTTAATCTCCTTTAATTGAGCGGCTGATGGACAGCAGCAGAAAGAATCCGGCTGCTGCAGCAGTTAAATCCGGTTTTCAGTCTGAGTCCCTGAACGCCACGCGGATCCAGTTACAGCTAAACTTAACGTGATGACTCACCTGCGCGGCGGCGAACGCTCAACACCTCCAGGTACTAACATGTGTACAATTTAGAGGTACTTGTACTCGAGTCTACTTTTTCCTTCAGATTCGAGTTACTCTGCAAGAGACTTTATATGTTGACTGTTTTATAATCTCTCTCCAATGATGCTGATCTATAAATAAGAAACCTGCAGTGTAACAACGAGTCGTGAGACTGATGATGCTTCAGGACCTCACTTATTTGGTTTATTTATTTTAAACCAAACTGAAGGAAATTATTCTGTTAAAGCTGTTTAACCAGCAGTTTCTCACGTCAAGATTTACTCAGCTGTTTGTTTGTCTGATGGATTTATTATTTTGTCGACAGGTTTCGTCAGCTGTTTTCCTGTTTACTGTTGAAACAACACAAACTAAATCCACTGTGTTATGCATAATACACAGCACCTTCTGTTGATTTATTCAGATTTTATATTCAGTATTAAATCGTTTTTTGCTGTGTCACCATTTTTTTTAAATACCTGACTCATAAAAACGTCAGTAAAAGCTGTTTTAAAAGACAGGAAGATGTTTTTATGTTGAACCCAAACCCCGATGTGTAAATAAATACAAAACAAAAAGCTTCATTCAACAAACAATATTCTTATGAACAGGACTTCAGCCTAAATGATTCGACTCATCAGTCGTTATTTAATCAAAGCTTCAGCTCAAACTGTGACTCAGAGCCAAACAGCGCCGGTTCATCAGCTCCGACACCAGCTTCTCCCCTTCAGAATAAAATAAAAGCTGCAGGATCAAACACCGACACATCACGTGGCTTCCCTACACCAGGACTCTTCTAAGAGCTGCAGATCAGCCCGAGCCGCTCCACGCCAGGCCGCTAATATGAAAGCTAAAAATAACAAACAGACAGCTGTTGCTCGCCTCCAAAATAAAAGCTTCACTGATGTGCCCCTGCTTCCTCCTCCCAGCGCTCTGTGTAACGTAACGAGGAGGGGGGGGGGGTCTACCACAGGACACCAAGCACTAAAAATAACAACCACCCCCCAACACACACACACACCTCCGTTTGATTGACAGCCACCATGTGGCACATAGCTGGAGCAACTGATAGCCCTGCTGCTGATTCCCTTAAAAAGCCATCGGCCGCCCAGCTGACAGTCCAGCCCGATGCTATCAGGGCTATTCTGGGACGTCCCGTTATAACCTTCAGCATGGAAAAGCAGCAAAAAGCCTTCACACCTTCTGAAAAGTGCCTAAAACGTGAATGGGGTCCGGTGGGAGGGGTTGTTAGGAGACACAGGTGTGAACGCCGTCAGTCAGCTGCCGCTCGTCAATCAACACTCTGAAAACTTTAAAGACACTTACTTGTCTGCACAAGGATGCCCGGGATGCCCAGAGGGCTGTCTTCAGAAAGTCAAAAATCTCTTTATCCAGAAAAATTTAGTGGGAAATCCAAAAGGAGAACAAAGTGAGCCTCGAAGGAACCCCGACAACAAAAAAACAAAACTACAGGCCGTCAGCGCCGTGTAGTTTTGTTTTTCCTCCAGACAGCAGTTCCTCCAGCCGAGGCGTCCAGGCCGGGAACGCTGACTCTGCTCAGAGCAGGCAGCAGGGCGGCGGGGGGCTTTATACCGCTGTGACATCACACGGGGCAGGGCGTGCCATTGGTCAGCCCTGCAGGGCATCATGGGAGAACGGGGGAGCCATTTTATGCAGCCCGTCACCTGCAAGTCACTTTACTTTACTTAATCCCACAGATAATCCAGATGATTTTTATTGATTATTAATTAAACCTATAAAAACAGAGAAAGCAGCATCGAGTGGATCAGAACAGCTGAAATTATTTATTTAACTACTGACACATTTTAATCTTTAATGCTAATCGATTACTTGATTTCTAAGCAAAAAAACAGAAAACACTGGTTTTATTTTCTAATATTTGGTGGTTTTCTTCTTCTTCTGTGTCACCTGGAAAAAGAGATCATATCTCAGTCGGCTTCTATTAGTTTAAAAAAACAATAATTAAATGTAGTTCTATAGTTATATAATCACTAAAGACCAGTGATGGGCAGGTTACCTACAAAATGTAATACATTATAGATTATTAGTTACTGTCATGTGAAAGTAATCAGTTAGACTACAATAGTCTCTGAATCGTAAAGCTTTCCACTACTTTTGAGTTCCTTTCACTTTATTTAACAGGCGCATTATTCTGATGGTAAGAATGATAATGATAAGGTGATGATGCGTCTACTGATGTGCAGATCCCAGTTGTATCGTCTCCCCGTTCAGAAGGACGCTGTGCACATTTACGCACCAGGTCCAGCAGCATAACGTCTCTGATTATTTGAATCTCTGGACAGGCTCGGTCAGGATGAGCTGACAGCAGCCTCTCTGATCAGGACAGGAACTCGTTAAAGCACAAACACACACGATCTATTTACCCATTTACCCACGATCCATCAGGGGAGCTGCCGTCGTAAGAGCGTCTAGAGAGACAGAGGACAGGAAGAGACAGAGCTGCACTTTCTAACCTCAGGCCCTAAATATAAAACAGACAAAAACACTTTGCAAACATTTCCTAATTATACCTGAATTCATATCAGACTCACAGAAACTCCCCTATTTACTGGGAGAAATGCCAGAATGTCAAATAACTGCTGCAAAATAAACCTCCTCATGCCACAAACTGAGGACAACGGTGGGAACTGTAAATAGATAATTATTATTTTGATTGTTTGATATTTTAGTAATTGTTTTGTTTTTAAATTTCACATTTGATTCTGATTGTTCTAGTTTAGTTTTGTTTGTTTTTTTAAATTATTTTTTGTCTATTGATACACACACACATCTACTACTTACTATTTTATTTTAATTTGTAATATATTTTTATTTTTTACCACACACATGCACTTAATGTATACTTTATTTATTTTAATTTAATATATTATTTTAATTTTCTAACACATTTACAGCTTTATCTATTTTATTTTTATATAATAACACACACACGTTACCGTTTCATTTATTTTTGTTATTTTAATTTTTTTTATTACCACACTCACACACGCTTAATGTTTCATTTATTTACTTTTAATATTTATTTTTTTATATTTTATATACTTTTTATTATTATTTTATTTTTTATTAACAAACAAAAACACAACTTTTACTGTTTTATTGACTTATTTAATGATTGTTCTTCTGTAATCTATCTGCAGCTTTGGCAACACTGTAAAGCTGATTTGAATAGAACTGGATTTCTACCTCAGGTCAAATTAACATAAAGACAGAACAGCAGCTTCTCTGTGACAGTAAACTGAATATCCTCAGTTCTGGACGTTAAAAGACATTTGAGGACGTCACTTTCTTCAAACACTCCTCGAGGTTTTTCACCATTTTCTGGACCAAACAACTCGATGATGAAAATAATCGTTTGCTCCAATCAGCTTCAGGATCACTGATGTTGGCCTGAGTGAAGACAGGTAACTCACCTGCTGAAGTTTCCCAGCATGCACGTGGCGGCCGGAGACGGGCCCCTTTCCTCTGTGCTCGTGTCATAACCATAACCCCAGGCGAGCCAATCAGATCGCTGCTCAGCTGACCCTGTCAATCAAAGTGTCCAAAATCACAAAGCTGGTCCTGCAAATGTTTAGTACAGGACTGTCATTCAGTCCACTTCTCTCCTTCAACAGATTATAATAACCAGCCTGTTCTTATTCTTTACTGAACTATTTGTTTTTACTGTGTGTCTTTCATATTTTGTTTTTTATAGCAAGCACTGGAGGTTTCTGTCCTCAGCTCACCTGTGTGCCAGTCACACTCTGTGATAAAGGACACAGTAACACATTAAATACGTTAGCTTCTGATTCTGCAGTTAAGGGAAAGTTAATTTAACACTGCTCAGTGATGTTTTTTTGCACCTCTTACTTCTGTGAAAGACGTTGAAATGTGTGAACAGCTGTCTGAGCCACTTTTTAGGATTTCTAAAACATTTATTTTATCAGGGAAAATTAAATCCCTCCTTTTGTCTTTTCTTTTTTTGCATGTAACCCACATTAGAACAGGTCCAGATAAAAACCACTGTACCTACAGCTGTCAGATCTGGACTAGATTGTCCCAGAGAGGCTAAAGTTTCTGTAAAACACAAGTTCAGATTTGTGAAACCTTTCTTCTATTTGTGAAAATGGAAACAAAAAGGGCAACTTCACAGTCTTTAAGCTCTTAATCCAAAAAATATGTACATTCAGAGACAATACTACATAAAGAAAACTAACATAAATCACACTATTATACAGCCGAGTGGGATCCTTCATCATTTAAAGCAGTTTAAAGGTGGAAAATAAGCTAAAAACTTTAGTATCGATGATCCTGTGAACCTATTTGAAGGGGAAAGAAATTTAAATTACAGAATAACAAAGGGCGACCAGACGTTGTGTTAATCATAGACTGTAAAAGGTGTTAGCAGACCTCAGTCTCTTTACGTCTCCAGCTGCTTTTATCTGGATCAAACAGAGTAACAGCAAAGGTTTGTCTTTGTGAAACTTATAATGAGAGTTTGTAGTTTATAGCGTAACCAGGCCGGACATTTAGTGATTCTGTAGTAACGTATATTGTCTGCTATGGAGCAGAAGGGAGTTACAAAATTCAATTTCACTCTATAACTTCTTAATTGTGAGAATAAACCTGCCTACATGAGAGGAAATAAGTTGTTGTAGATGGATTATGTGTTTGGTAGGCGTGTCTAATATCTTTCTTTACATTTAGAAAACTTGCTGCTGAGTTAAATATAAAATAAGGACATCTTATACTTTTGACTCTACATTATTTAACTTCCTGTGTCCCAACCAATCCAGTCCTTTTTACCTGTTGAAATAGCTTTCGATGACCAAAACAACACATAAAATGCAGTATCCTACTTGCCAGAAAGTGACTGCAGCGTATTATTATTCTGCCTCAAAATAATTTGATTTCATTCACAAGAGTTGTATTTAAAAGATTATAAAAACATCCCCCTTTTTTATTTCATGCAAGTAATAATAACATTATATTTTTTAATCACATACTGACCACCAAACCAAAAATGTGCCCGGTTTTCATGTCAGAAATCAGGTCACCTGAGACTAACAGCATCATTTAGTCCACAGGTGTGATCATTAAATACAATAAGAACAGCTAACGTTAGCTTAATAAGCTAGCCCCTGTGGAACCTCAGCGTGACACACCAGCCTACAAGGGACAAATCGAAAATGTCTTTTTTGACCTGTAATCCAACAGGAGGATCAGAGTTTACTTATATTCTAGAGATCCCACTGATGTTTTAGTCACTTTTTGCCCGGGCCGAACCCGAAGTTCGGCTAGCTAAAGCTACCTGCTTCAGCCCCGTGCAGCGGGGGACAGGAGCGGCGCAGTCTCTACAAATACTGGATTTAAACGTCGGTCTTGTTTCGGACAAACATTTCATCATACCGGACAGAAAGCAGACATCTGTGGGATCACGTCAATACCCCAGAAGACGCAAACTGACGCTGGATAACCGGCGATAAATAATGTTTTCTCTTTTCTCCCAAGATTTCTGAGGGAACCGTTCTGTCACCGAATCACGGACTAACACGCAGAGAGCGCAGAGCTAACGCGACAGGTGAGGAAGAAGGTGAAGTGCTGCTTTCACCTTATACCGGTGCTTTTCCTAACTTACATCAGTGTAGGGTTTTTATTGATCAACATTTCATTTACCTTTCACCTTCAGCCAATCATAATGTCCTGAAGTGGGTCGGAACTCTTTTTCTGTCGTCTTCATAAAAACATAAGATCTCTGCACACATTAGAGAGAAACCACCTGTAGAGACTGACAGAAGGATTTAATGAATTAAAACAACCCACAAACATGAAACAGGAATTCATATTGTGGGGTTTTTTTGTATCTTTAAGAAGGCCATGCTTTGTAACATATAATAAATAAATAAATAAATAAATAATAGCAAGAGTTGACAAATTAATTTGTATTTAATCAAATAAATTTTTTAGGGAAAAGGCATTTTCCACATGGGGTAAGATGCCCCCCCCATGGTGTGAAATCACTTTAATTTGTGCAAATGACACTAATTACAATAAACTACAAGTAGCTGGTTAAAGCAGGAGGTTTATAGACCTGTGTTGTAGAAATAAACCTGCCTGATGTTATCAGCTTATTTCTCAGACTTTTAAACAGTGAGGCTGCTGGAACAGAAAGTCTGAGGTAAAATATGCACATGCCAGCTCCTTAGCTGTAAATGTGAGCATATGTGAGCTTCTAACCTCAGACTTTCTGATAGTGAAGCTGCTGGTTGGCTGACGGGTCTGTCCAGAGTCTAAATAACATCTAACTTACAAACCATCAACCATGAAGGGGCGCAGCGAGCGGGCGGGGGCGTCTGACCCCAAACACACTAATCTAGCATTTTACTACTTTAACCAAAAACTGTAAAAATCTTTCTCTCTGAACAAACTTATCTTAAGGCTCCCCTTAATTTTTATATATATACACACATATACGTGTGTGTGTGTATGTGTATATATATATATATATATATATATATATATATATATATATATATATATATATATATATATATATATATATATATATATATATACATACAGAACTTTAAAACAATAAAAATGTACAGGTTATTTTAAATGACAAAAAAAAATGAGATCTCTGGTCAGAGTGGCTTTGATTAAATAATTTTAATTTTAAAATTGGGATGAGACAGGAAGTTTTTTAGTTCAGCGAGACGAGCGGCAACCAGAAGAAATGTTGAGAAAAACAAACTGTGACATTTTGTGTTTTTTGTTAGAATTACCGTGGGGGGTGCGTCTCACCCCATGTTACCCTACTCCTGGTAAGCTAAATGGGATCAATATAGGAAATTGCAATCAATAAAAGAAAGCTTATTTCTATGTGCTTTTCCCCCAGTCACTCAGGGGAAACATATTTGCAGGTCAACATAAAAAAACAAAGTCACACCTTTTTTTGTGGTGTTTATCAAAAATATCACTGGTAACAAATGATGCACAAACACATTCAGCATGACTTTATTCAACGGTTACATTCTGCTGAAATAAAAGCAGTTCAGTGATGAGTGACTCAAGTCCACGACAGATTTGAAACCAGATTCTGTTGTTCATCAGGTGAGAGAGCAGAGAAAAACTCCTAACGTCCACAAGAGGCCGCTGGGAGAAAACTGACTGTATTGATGTGAAGGAGAAAACCCCCCAGAATAAAATAATTATCCCATTTCTGCCAAGTAAAGTAAAAAAGGCATAATGTTTAATTTTTTAGAAGACATTTAGTCTTAATTCTGAGATGAGGCAATATTTACAGCTAAATCAAAAAATGTATCTCAAAGTTATTATTTAGCATCCCATAATTTTGATTTACTTTAATATAATTATTATAGTATAATTTTGACTGTGTCAAGATTAAACCTTAATATTACATAGAAAGTGAAACTTTGTGTCAAAAGTTTTATTAGTTTTATTATTATTTTTATTAATATATAGTTGTGATTTAAACTATAAACATCTTGTGTTTTTGTGATTCTTTAACTTTCCATCATTTGTTTTTTTTTCTTGACAGAAATGAGCTTCCATATAGGTTCCATTCAGATTGAACTCAGATATTTTACACAGATTTTAGGTCCCATATCGGTTCTGACCTCCTCCTTTTAAAATGATCTGCATTTTTCTGACCCATTAATATATTTCCAATACGTACAGTATGTTTTAATAAACAATCCTACAAATCTGAACTTTCCCTCATGGGGTCTGGGCCCCAGGGTTAAGAAACTCTGACAGCAAATTAACAACCTGGAACTTCACGAAGCTCTCGCCAACGTCCAACAGCTTTCTTTTTCTCTCTCTCTTTTTGTCTTCTTAGCTTCCTCTGTCAGCGTCCTCTCCTCCTCTGCCATTAATGATACTGATGTTTAAAACTCAGGATGTGCAAATGTGAAAGAAAACAAATATTGGCCACACTTTTTCTGCTCTTTCCTACCAAAAGCACATAAAAATTAAACACTTGGCCTGATGTTGCCTTTTTAATGACGAATACCCAAAACATTCTTGTTTGAAACACCAAAGCCTTGCAGGTTCTTGTGGTTTGAGGTTGTTAAGTTCCCGTGGTGGAAAAGAGTTCTCAGAGTACTATCAGGTAGAGGAGCCACAGCACAACACACAGTGTCCCAAACCAGGTCTGCCAGTCCTCACTGATGATATCAAACACTTCGGCCACCAGCCACTTATCACTGCTGCTGCTGTTAGCTGCCCGCCGCGGGTCGTGATGGTTGGCAGCCCCGGCCTCGTATAACCCGCCACCTGAGTCAGACGCCTCTGGGATAAACAGGAAGTGTTTCTCGTCCTCGCGGGCCGGTGCTCGGCCGGGGCCGGCGGCGGACGCGTCTCCATCTTTAAACCTAAAGCGACCATGATGACAGGAGGTAAGACAGAGCACAGCCTCACTCTGGGCCAGGGGGGGGCCACTGCACACGATGGACCCCCTGACAACAGCTCTGACACAACACATAGAAACAGGTCCTGGTTCACTGCAGGATCCCAGACCGCGTCACCAGACAGCCAGACTACAGATCTGAGGGTTCAGTAAAGTTGTGATGTGACTTGTTACTGTGCGCACAAACATAATACAGAACACACTGTTAACGAGCAAACTAATGTTAATCAATTATTAAAGTCAGATCAAACGGAGTGATGAAATAATCAAACACTAACACACGTTAAAATGTCACTTCATCTCCAAACTACGGCGATTCAGTTAAAAGTGAGAACTAACACACAGCAGCGTGATGTGCATCAGTTTAAACCGGGAACATTTCATCACGCCAGCTCTCTGGATCAGCATCAGCTGTCTGCACGGGGCGTCCAACACGCCTCTCTGTCTGCACGGGGCGTCCAGCACGGGGCGTCCAACACGCCTCTCTGTCTGCACGGGGCGTCCAACACGCCTCTCTGTCTGCACGGGGCGTCCAACACGCCTCTCTGTCTGCACGGGGCGTCCAACACGCCTCTCTGTCTGCACGGGGCGTCCAACACGCCTCTCTGTCTGCACATGAGGTGAACTTGCACAGGTGTCATTCAGAGACCCAGTTGTCTTTATACTAGTACGGACTTATGGTGTAATTAACATTTTGAATCCATCTTGTGGCAGAAGATGTTTCAACCGATCAGCAGATTTGGGCGTTACGTGACGAAAAGAACGATTCAAAACAACTCGTTAGGGCTGGTGTATACTAATATATATATATATATATATATATATATATATATATATATATATATATATATATATATATATATATATATATATATATATATATATATATATATATACTAACACTGGTGAAGCGGATCGTAGTTGATCGGTGATCCCCTCCCAGGATTCAGCATGCATATGAACCACAGAACGCAAAGTTTAACCTTCAAAGTGTGAGAAACAGTTTTACTGCCGCTGCTTCTTTTTAAAGTACTGTATTGGTCCAAAAATAAGACGAGTTTTGTTTCCCTCAAAAATGTCTAAAAAAAGTGGTGTCGTCTTGGATTCGGGGTCTAGACAGATGAGGCATAATAAGGTGGTCTGCCGGTCTTTATATAACAAGCGGACCTCACATCTCCGAAAACGTAGCAAATTTTTAAATCAGCTCTGTCTTGAGAAATCAGCCACATATTTGGAGTTTAAACAACTATATTCCTGCATAAAAAACTCTTAAAACTACTATATGTGACACAAGAACAGCAGGATTATAAAAAGGTACAGTTGTGAGTTTTCTCCTCCGACATTTCCACTTTTTGGCGGCGAAATGCATTCTGGGATATCTGGCTATCCCAAAGTCCGCACAAGTCACCACCGATGCAGGTTCAGTAAAACAGGCGGAGCGAGAACACATCCGGGTATTTGACTGACTTTTGAATTGGAACAGTACTTTGGCTGCGACTGATGACGTTTCACAAGAACAGAAAAGAACGCAGACTGAGAAACAACCTCTGCGTCCTTCAGTGCGTTGACCCCGAAAATCTTGTTTCACTAGGTACAAGTAGTTTTATATTATGTCCGTCAGCTTTTGTTCAATGTCCCATGATCATTCTTTTCAAATAAAATAATACTCTATAAAAACAAGATCTGGTCTTCAAAAAGCTGTTGAAAAATGGAGGGTAGTGTTTTAGTCAGGGTCGTCTTACATTCGGGCCAATACAGTAATAATTCTAGAAATAGATAAGATACAAGAGCAGTGACGGGGTCAGGGCAGAGAGACCGATTAAAAAGCAGCCGCTTTGAAACCCTGTGGCATTTTCAAAACCACGACATGATCCATCAGTGTTGTGATTCTTTGCACCCCTATTAAGCAAGCTAGCACGGCTATATAGCTTGTTAGCATGTTAACACTATCTTTTTCCACAGCCTCTGTTTAACTAACTAACTACCTACTTCTACTAAGCATACAGTTAAATGTGCAGTTTAGACAATAGCGCATTAACTGATGGAAGGCCGTAGGAAGCTAGAGTCTGGTAAGCCCTGGATATACTTGCTTTTAACTACGCGTTCGCACAATGGTCACGCGTATCCTGCGTTCCTTTGGAGCGTAGGTTGTGCACGTCTCCAGAAATTAACGCTACGCGTATGCGAGATGCAATTGACCCTTTGCTAAGCCACACCTCCCTTAATTACTGTTGCTAAGTCCGACAAACTGTGGAGCTGTTAGACTTTTATCATGGCGCTGCCACTGTCTGTTACTGCACTCCCCAGAGAAATACTGACAAATTTGTATTCAGGCTGTCAGACTGACTCAAACGGAAGTGAAAAAAAAGAAATATAGAAGCTAAAGCCTACCAATGACACAGTACAAGTGAACCACCGCATGCCCCGTGGCTTAGGGAAGGGTCAGTTCAGCACATGAACGTTGGGGCAGTATGTTGATCTGACCGGCAGGTCAGCAGCGCCCTACTGTTCCACACACCGGCCCAGCTGATGGCGGTATGCAGTATGTTTGCCAACCGCCATTAAACGTAATAGAAGGTCAGCGGCAGATTTAAAAAAAGATTTATGGCGGGATGTTTACAGTAAAACTCCTGGAGCTAGTCTGCAATTACCGAGATCGACGCCTGTCTACGCATTGTTGAAAAGCAAGTATTTCCAGGGCTTTAGGGACATAACCTTTCCAGCTAAGCTAATTCTACCTCGAAATGTATTAATTTAACCCTTTACAGTAGGCTTACAGCAGGATGATCAGGTGTTGAGGAGTATTTATTACTGTGTGGATGAACACGGGATAAATCTCTAAGTCCCTTACACCTGCATCAGCACGGGTCTTGAAGTGGGGTGACACGGAGAATAAACTTTCCATCAATCGTTGCTTTCAGTTTACGCCATAGTCTGCTTTAATCACTGTTACCAAAAACCAACAAACAAGTTAAAGGTGATTGTACTTTGTGTTCTCCTGCAAGATTTATAATCAATCAACATGAAATGTTGCCCCTGATCTTGAGAGCCTCACAGCCAGGTATAACTATGATCCAGATTTAGACATAAGCCACGGGCCACATGATAATGCAGGTGTAAAGGGCGCCTCGAGGTGAGCTGTATAGGTAATAATGTCATGAAGCTTGTGTGTTATCATGGAGCTGGTTATATGCTACCCACCAGGTGAGCGCGGGCTCTGGATGTCCCGTCACCTCCACCTCTAGTGTCACTGGAGAGCCCCCCATGACGGTAGCTCTAGACAGGGGCCTGGTGAAGCAGGGAGGGCCAGGTTTAGAGGCTTTTCCCTGGGGAAGAGACTCTGCCTGGGCCTGGGGAAGAGGAGGAGGAGCAGGAAGGGCAGGCCCTTGGATCTGAGGAGTAAGCCTGATCTCCTCACGGATGGCCATGGGCTGACAAATGTTTGAGTCTTGGTCTGGAGTTAGTAGATGAGGTTGAGAGGAAAGGGGGGTGACATGCAGATTAGCCTGCCGGGCCAAAGCTTGGGTCTGTGCTTCTGGCTGTGGAGGAGCAGCGGGCTTGGCAGTACTGCTGGGGGTCATGCCAGAGTCATGCACACACTGCTGGGTACAGGTGGAGGTCAGGGACTTATGGGGGGAGAAGACTGTCTGGTGGCTCTGCTTGCTGCTGAATCTGTTAGTGCTGTTGATGGCACTGCTGGATGTAATGATGGTGCTGACACGGTTTGGTTCTGAAAGAATCGGGGCATGGACCTCAGGTAGACCTCCACCAGCCTGGTTGAAGGAGCTGCTAGCCGGCGGCACATCGCACTGACTGTTTGGAGGGAAGGACTGACGGTAAACGGTTTGTTGGGTGACGGTGGTTGTATTAAGGCTGCTGCTTTGGGGAATGGAGACTGAGGATGTTTCCTTGCTGGTTCGGGAGGAAAGTAAATCCAGATCAACACCACTCCTGGAATCAGGAAAAGACTGTGGAAGAATGTTGTCCTGAGGGATGATTGTGCTGGTTTGTGGGCAAGTTGCACGGAATTTGTCTTTAAGCAGAACAGAGTCTGTGAGGCTGGGGCTCTGAGCAAACCCTCTGGCCTGGGGGACCGGATCGACCCGTGGCATGGTCTCATTCTGGGATACGGGGCATTCTTGGGGTGAAGTGAGGCTGCTGCTAGCCTGTGGCAAGGTGCTACTATTGACTGAAGGGGAGGACTTGAAATAAATGGTCTGCTGGCTGATTGTACTGGTGCTGATGTTGGCAACACTGTCCCTTTGAAGTTTGGTGAGTGGGAATGTTTCCTTCCTAGTTTGGAAGAAATTTAAGTCCTGATTGAGGTCATGCTCAGACTCAGGAAAGGACTGTGGGAAACTGTTGTCTTGAGGAAAAGTAGTGCTGCATTTGAGGATCCAGGTGTCTTGTGGAGGGGTCTTGTCCTTGCAGGGATCATGGTCTGGACCATCAAAGGGCTGAGGACAATAGCTGGACTGGGGGAGGGTGGGGCTGTGGTTTAGCTCTGCAGCCTGGGGAATGGGATCAGTCTCTGGCAACGTCTCACCTTTGGATGCAACATTCTGGATGATCTTACCCTGGGTATCTGTACTCCTCTGAGGATACCTGTACTGACTGTTGTGATTAGTTTGTGAGGGACTCCTCTTCTCAGGGACGTCGTCCTTGTTGGAGCAACTGTCTTGGGTGTTACTTTTGTGGCCTAGGTTAGATCCAGAGGGGAAGCTAGGCTCAGAGCTGCCCAGAATGTTGGCTGTGCTGCTCTCTACAGTCTTCAGTATGCTGGTGACCAGGCTTGGAGCAGAAACCATTACAGGACTCTGGACAAACGAACTGGACTCTGATCTGAACCTGTAACACACACACAACAGGAACTAACTCTTACAGTGCTACAGTTCATACCAAGAAACAGAGAGTTGGTTTTCTGGGTTTGGTGTGGAAGACCTTGAACAGCCAGCACAGAGTCCTGTTCTTCCCTGTCCAATAGTTTTTGGGCTGAAATAAAATACCAACTGAAAGCCAGACCTGATCACCCAACACCAGTGTTGGACCTCACGAATGCTCTTCTGATTGAGTGTGAGGGTTTGGCTCGTTGGCCATTTAACATTAGCTGTATCGCTGCATTTAGTTGTTCAACTTTTCACAGAGCCGACGTCACTTTTCGTCAACCAACCAATCACAGCCTGGATGGGGTGGGACATTAAAGTTAAATATTGTTTAACTTTGTTCAAGTTGAGAAATACTCATTTCAAAGTCAGTATTTTGTGCATTTACCTTTATAGTTAAGCAAGTCTCATACTACCAGCTGTTCCATTATAATCGAATCACAAATCGCACCATTGTCCACAATAACCGCAATATGACTTTTTGTCCAAATAGTGCAGCCCTACTGCAGATTCAAAATCTCTCCACACACTCTTTGCCACCTAAGGCTCTCTCCCATTGCTGGTATCAGCTCCACTCGCCTCTACTCAACACGCTCCGTCCTCCGTCGCTGATAGAACCCCCACAATGTTGCTGGTCATCATGGTGACACCACTGCCTTGAGATAATCTTGTGTGAGTATAATGAAGAGACACACGATTCAAGTTCATAACAAGTTTAATAGCAAACTGGAAGAAGCCAATCACGTTCTTAAAAGAACTCCAGTTTAGAGAAAGAAACAAACATCTGGGGCGGCTCCGGTCCAACAGCACGGCCCGATAAATAAAGAGACACCATTTTTTAGGATGAAACTACTTTAGTGATTTGTTGTCGACTCTCTGACCAATCAGCAGTCTGCAGTGTTTTCACGTCGCCTATTGGTATCGCCTCAGCTTGGTTGAAACTTCAACTGAGGTGATACCAAAAAAACAGGTTCTTAATGGAAAATCAAGAAGGCAAGTGGAGGCGAGTTGAGCTGGTACTGTAGCTCGCTAGTGATGTGTTGCTCTGATGCAACTGGGATCAGACCTGGTGTTGCTGTGAGGACCGGTGGGAGGAGTTGGACAACTCCTGCTGGACTCTCTCTGTTGTCGGACCGCACCGGCCCCACCGTGTTCTGACTGGGCACGGTACTGGTGGCTGTACTGGTTGACGTGGACGCTGTGGGAACTGAAACAGAAGCCCTCCTCCACGTCTGACTGAACCATGAAGGACTCTGGTGTCTCCGCTAGCGGCGGCAGAGAAATGTCGTCAGGCGACACGCACTCGTATTCATCATTGGAGAGAGAATCCTCCGTCATCATCTCCTGTTGCTGGAGCTCCGCCTCCGACAGGGCTCCTGCTGATGCATCCTGGGTAAAAAGGATAAAGTATTAGACTGATGAATCACTGCTGCTTGTGTCAGGAACAAGGATGTGTCCACTTTGTCCATATATATTTGACTTGAACACTAACTGGAGTACACTCACTGAGGTCTTGTTGTTCCACAAACTTTACTAAAGATTTCTGCAGACCGCAGTGTTTCCCACACATAGGCTTTACTTGGGCGAGCCGCCCAGGTCGATTAACAGCCGCCCAAGTAAATTTGCCGACCCATATTAAAATCTTTCTTGATTGCAGCGCTGCGCATATTCGCTCCACACATCCTCTCACTAGTTCGCTCGCTCTTTCTCGCTCTCTCTTTCGCTTTCTCTTTCTCGAAAACACGGACAACAGACCCGTCTGTGAACTGAATGGTTGGTATCATAACCACCGCTGCACAAATCTGTCCAACCCAACGCTGTCAATGTCGGAGACCCATCTTCAAAACAGTTATTAGCAAACACGTAAGGAGCCTAGCTAATAAGGAGAGCTATGTTAACTTTGGGAAACAGCTGTCGAAGTCAGCACGCTGTGTAACTGGTAGTCAACAGGTGCGTTCGAGATAACTGACTGACTTTCGCCGACTTGATAGATTGGGGAATAAAAACGGCGCCCTCAAGTCAAAAGCAATCTACTGTACCTCTGGTAGACTGTGTGAGCTTCTAACCATGATCAGGCCCTGTTCCCACAAGGTCTACTGACAGTTTGCAGCGCAGGTGCCTGCCGTGAATCGCATACACCTCACGAGAGGCAACGCTCTTTTATAGTGAGAAAAGAAGTGGATGCAAATTTAACATCCGTTTTGCCGAATTATGCATTCACTTATTAAGGTCCTTTTCAGACACTTTGCTGTTTGAACGCCACATGCTTTTGCTGAAATGGTAGCCTACTTTTACTAAGTGTAATAATATGTTAGTTCATTAAATATATGCAGATCATTTATCACTGTTGATGAACCCCACAAAGAATAGTATAGCATTTAAAAGCGCCCCCCCCACAGTTACACTGTCAATCTGTGGGAAACACTGAGAACATCTCAGTTTTACACAGATAATAATCCTTCTACTATTATTACTACCAAGGAAGAACAATTGAAAGTCGGTGCTCAGCTTCAATCAGTAATGGTAAGAACCACAAACCTAACCAGACATCTTGTATTGTGTAGTCATGAATTTAAGGAGCCACATTAGGACAATTGTGTTTCAACAGGACCTGGAAAAATGTATCAATGCATTTATCTTCAGTTCACTTGACTACTGTAACGGTGTCTTTACAGGGCTCCCTAAAAATCCATCAGACAGCTGCAGCTGATTCAGAACGCTGCTGCTCAAGTCCTCACTAAGACCAAAAAGGTTGATCACATCACTCCAGTTCTGAGGTCTTTACATTGGCTTCCTGTCTGTCAGAACTGATTTCAAAATCTTCTGCTTCGTTACGAACCATCCAGACCTCTCAGGTGGTCTGGGATCAGGTCTGCTTTCTGTCCCCAGAGTCAAAACTAAACAAGGAGAAGTAGCGTCCAGTTTTTACGCTCCATATGAAAATCAGAGTTGTCTTTACTGTGACCCGGTAGCTGGATGTAAATGGAAAATAAAAGAGGATCTAAGATTGACCCTTGCGGGACACCACATGTGAAATGACCTCTTAGATAATTCACCTGAAGTGGTGCCATGTTTGATCCACTGGAAGCAGAGTCGGGCTTCTCCTTCCTCTGAAACTCTCTCTGGATGTCAGAGAACGACGGGCCAATCACAGAGGGAGGGGGTGTGGTCTGAGGCTCCATAGCGAAAGGCTGTGAGTGGCTATGGATGGCGTGGATCCGTCGGTTGGCCTCCACAGGGGAGCAGGAGAAGCTGAAGGTGTGGGTGGAGCAGTAGGAGGAGGTCAACCTCTCGTTGTAGAACTGCTGTTTGTGACTGAAGGAGAGACGACATCATGAACCTTTATTTATGTAGTCAGTACAGATAATCATGTTTTCCAGAGGAATACTAATACGTTTAGTGATCACATGACATTTAATCAGCACCACCAGCAGGGTGTTTTTACTTTTTACTAAAATATCTTAACATCTACCTGATGTGGCACTCTGTTTGATACAGACTCTCATGGACCACATAGGAGGACTCAAACTGACTTTGGTGAGCTGCTAACTTTTTTCTAGCCCCCACCTTACTGTTTCGGTGGCACTGATGCACCCTAAAGCTGGTTGAAGAAGAGTAAATAGTTAGCAGGCTAGTGAGTTACCACACAATGTGTGGCGACTACTGACGATCAAATCCCATGAACAGCCAGCACAGAGCCGGAGGACATGGCAGACGAGAGCGAGACATTCTACCAGCGCCTGAAAAAGTTAGCTCGCCAGTGTGGGAGTTTTTCCGATTCCGTAAAAAAAGACCTTCAAGTTCTCCTCGGGATGAACTGTAATAACTTTGGTGATTCTCTGACTTTTCATCTAGCGCCATCACCATTGTGTCCAACACTTTGGTTTTATGACCAAATACCTACAGATCTGATGACATTCCCATCAGCCTCAGCTGTACGCTGTGTTTACTGCTAATTAACTAATGTTAGCATTAGCATGGATTTAGCTAGTATGGCTGCAGACTTTGAGTCTTGTGTCTTTATCTTACTTCAATATCATTCTGAATTTTATAAAAAAAAAAGACTCTAAATGAGAAGGTTGAACCATGACAATGATTATTTACAGCTGTCTTGTTGTTTCCGTCTAAATACAGAACAAATTTTAACTTAATTTCCACAAAATCCTCAAATAAACCCCGACCTGCTGCTGTGAGAACACCAGCTGATTGGCTGACGGAGGTTAACAGCTGGTGGAGCTGATTCTCCAGTCGCTGCCTTTAAACCACCGCAGAAGAAGAAAAGGACACAGGGAGGTGACGTCATTAAAAGAGTCAAACGATGGAGAAGCATGTGAGGAACACGATGAACTCAAACGCTTACTTTCGAGGAGAGGTCATGTGGTTAAAAGAAAGGGAGCAGGAAGCTACCTGCTCTCTGCCTCCTGACTGCGGTTCTTCCGTAACGGAGGCTTCCTACTGGCTGCAGTCTGCCTCTTCATGGGAACCTCCTTCCCATCGTGTTCGGCGGTCAGTTCGGGGGTGTGGCCTGTCTCCTTCAGCTCGTACTGGAAGCACAGGACTTGGATGAGCTTCAGTATTTTAATAATTATGACAACATATTTTAATTGTAGCCTTACAGTCAAATGTGAATAATAATACAATTTATATTTATTTATTTCAGTTCTTCTATTCTTTATGTTTTAGTAAACATAAATTCAGTTAGCGTTATTTTCACCATGTCAGCCGCCTCCTGTGAGCTGCGGTTATCTGACTCCTCCTCCTCCTTCATCTTTCTGTTTTCCTTCTGCTTCTCTTTCTCTTCGTCCTTCTCTTCTTCTTCTTCCTCTCTCCTTCTCTCCGTCTCGTCCTTTATCTCTTTCTCTCCGTCGCTCTGCTGCTGTTTCAGACTCTCCAGCTGAAAACACCACAGTGATGTCAGTGAGCATTTAAACAGTCTGCAGGTAACGTAGCTGATGGAGCAGCACACACACGGAAATCACTGCTACCGGGGCCAAAACTGAGATCTAACACGCTTGTTGAATGAGTTTTTAATCCAGCATTGTTTACGTCCATGTTTACTTGCTGGCAGTCTTTGTCGATGCACTGCTGCACGCATCGGCTTGTTGCCTCCACCTGTAGATCAGTGGAGGAATGTTGGCAGGACTGTTCATCGTATCACGTATCATGTTTGTGCACGAGATAAACAAAACATGGTTCGCATTCAGCTCCATGGCTTCATGTCCTCACAACCTTTAGCTTACAGGCTTATACTCAGAAATCAAACTTAGAGCTCAGCCTAAAGGCAGCGGGCCCGACTCGAGGACCCTCAGTGGGAGCAGGCTACAGGCTTTACTTTGAACACGACCACCTGTTTACTATCACGAAAGATAAACGGACATTTATTTATTTCATCAACAGCAGATCTGTAATATTTGAGACGGGTATATTTTCCAACACCGATAAAAACAATATGCATGTAACGCGACAAAAGAGGCAGCTTGTTTTAGGCACTGCAAAATCTGATCGTTTTTATGTTATATTTAAATGTTCAAATGTTCCTTATTGTTTTAAAACCACCTGTCCTACACTTTGAGTTGTTGAAGGCTGAAAGGTTTTAAAGTCAGACAGGACATTTTAACAACTGCAAAACGCTCACTCGTCCAGTCAGATCTCCCGTTCGACACCCAGCATCCTGGTAGAAGCTCCTCACAGAGAAAACAACCTGCAAATCAAACCTGCAAACAAAATCACATCGCCTCTCAAACCCGACTGTCAGATCTTTACAGCCACGCAGTAAAAAGAAAGGCAGACTCCGTCACTGAGGACCCTTCATCTCTCTTTTCAGCTGCTCCATCAGGCCGCCGCTTCAGGGCCAAAACTCTTTTATCGGCTGCACGATCCATGTTAAAACAAGTTTTAATGCAAGCAAATTGCCAGTGTTTCCTTACAGTGTACCAACGACGTATTAGTAAACACTAAACTATCTATTAATACCTGCATTATGTTTTTGCATATATAATCTTGGTCTCAAGTGATGTTTTGAAGTAATTTTATCAGAACTGCAGCACATCATCGCTCAGTGTTTCTGCTGAAAGTTAACTCTCAGAACAAAATGAAAAAGCTGTACCAGTCTGTGTTGCTGTACCTTCAGTTTGGCCTCCAGCTGCATCAGTCCATCACTCAGCTGTCTGATGGACTCCACCATCTCCGAGTGTTTACTGACCGTCTTCTCGATGTACCGCCGCCCCTCCTCCACCCCTGAAACACACATTTTATTTTCTGATGAAAGTCGTGCTGCACAGTTTTGCGCCCAGAACCCTTAAAGTCATCTTAATGTTGCTTTAAACACACGTGTTCACTATCGTGTTCACTATATATTCCTCTACGTGGAACTCCCAGGATAGAAAGGAGGGGTGAGTCTATGAGTCTAGCTCTCACCCGTCCTCTCGGGGAGGAAGATGTTGTACCCTCGATAAAGTCTGATCTAATCTATTGGATGCATCTCCAGCTGGGTTCTTCTGCGTCGTCTCTCACCGTGCAGTCGGACAGCCAGCTCCGTGATCTGACTGATCCTCTCCTCCTGCTGAGGAACCGTCGGCCAGACGAACTTCTCAAACTGCCGGTAGAGGACGGAGACGGCTTCTGTGCTGCGACACTCGGTGGAGAACTTCCCGACGCGAGCGATGGTGGCGCTCGCCTCCTCGCACCAGAACTGATACTGTTGAAATGCAAATCATTTAAAGACACGCACACTGATAACGTGTAGATTTGTACAGGTGGATTAATTCTTGAACAACTCTGCTGTGGCTTTAATCCACCAAAAATACGTCATAATAATCTCATGTTTGATCAAAATATTAATTTAAAAAGGTCACCTCCTCCATGGCCTGCTGCAGTCTGCAGGTCATCTCCAGTGTTTTCTGGTGTTCGCCAACCCCTCGCTCAAACTCTCCCATCTGCCTCTGCAGCTCGTTGATGGCGTCCTCCACCTCCCGGGCCACGCCCCCGTCTTTGACCTCTGACCCCAGCCGGGCCGTCACACCCTGCAGACGTTTCCTGAGCGCCTGCAGGGTCAGACAGAGAAGAGCATGACTGACCCGCCTCTCTCTTCTCAACTGCTAAATTTAAGATAAGCTATTACATTTCAGCTGTTCATAACAATAATTCATCCTTTTTTTGGGCGGTTTTGCTTTTATTGGGGACAGTACAGCTGAAGATAGACCAGAAATGTGGAAGAGAGAGAGAGACATTCAGCAAATGAGCTTGAGGTTGGATTTCAAACTGGGCCACTGCGGTAAAGACGTTCTACGAGGTGAATGCACCTCTAGAAAGTGGATGTAATGATAAAATGTACTATGTTTTGGCATTTTGCCTTTACTTGATTAATAAGAGAGGTTTATGACATGCAGCAAAGGTCTCAAACCAGGAACGCCGCAGGTATGTGGAGTACACCCTAACCACAAGGCTACCGAGGCTCTCCCAAATCCCATCCTGTTGCTTTTCACTGTGTCCCAACACAGGCTCAGATCAGGAGGTGGACTTGCCTGCAGCTTCTCGTCGTACATCTCCACCTGCTGCAGCTGGTTCCTGGCAGCCTTCATGTTTCTGCTCCGGTCGTTTCTCTTCACGTAGTTAAACTTCAGGTTGCTGAAGCGCTTCTTCAGCTCCTTGAAGGAGTCACGAAGCTGAAAAATGAATCATCAGAAAATCAGTCCAATGGCTGCTTTTACATAAAGACGGTGTGTGTTTAAACATCACACATCCGTCTGCCCAAAGAGTTTCATATTGACAGAAGGACTTCAAATGGCTGCTTTTACATAAAGACGGTGTGTGTTTAAACATCACACATCTGTCTGCCCAAAGAGTTTCATATTGACAGAAGGACTTCAAATGGCTGATCATGTAATTGGATCTGTGTTGCAGTCAGAAACAGAAGGACAGTTACAGTTTCTTTAATGTTCCATGTTTAGATGTCTTACTTGGTCTACCAACAGCAAACCCTAATGTATTCAAAGACAAGACGATCTTAGCACTTTTTTAATCTGTAACGAACAAAGGTTTACTATTTTTAGCCATGTAAGCGTCATGTTGGATGTACGGAAATGTCGAGCAACCGGTTCACCAGATCAGACCGTCAGATGGTTGTTCAGATATTTCAGACACTGCCATCCCGGCGGCAATGCTGGTAACAGGGACGACATTTGTTTTTTTACATAATATCTTGTTGTACGCATGTATTATCTTATGTTTGGTCAGATCTGTTCTAGCAGCGCTTTGCTCAGCTTGGTGTTGATGTAACTGCAAGTAGCCTTGAGCTTTCATAAGATTATTTTTAGAGCAGGAGGGTTTAGATCCAGAGGGACATTTTCAGCCTCTGATGGGAGGAACAGCGGTGTCAGATGGCTGATCTGTCAGCCGAGGACAGCTGAGAGAGAGTGAAGCGGGCCGAGCCGGTGTAGTCTATTCGTCGAACAGATGAAGAAGTTGGAGGTCTTTGTTTCAAAAGTCGCCTGGGGAAACCCTCGATTGAGCCAGAGTAAGGAGCACTAAAATAACAAAGGTTACAATCAATCACATTTATATGTCACGTGTAATCACCTAACGTGGAAGATTACCCATCAGGAGGTAATACAATGAGTTTACCATGAAGTGCCTTAAAATTATGCTGAGAACCATGAGGTACCTTTGAGAGATTAACTCAAAGTAGTACCACGAAGTGACAAGAACTATCCCAGACTATCACGAAGTACACCAGGAGATCACAAAGTACCTCAAAATAATACACTCAAAGTACTACAAAATGTACCATGAAGTAACCCACTGTGACCCATCCACCAATGTGTCCCTGAGCAAGACACTTAACCCCTAGTTGTTCCAGAGGCGTGCGACCTCTGACATATATAGCAATTGTAAGTCGCTTTGAATAAAAGCGTCAGCTAAATGAATAAATGTAATGTAATGTTATGTAAGAAGACCACAAAGTGCCTAAAAGTATTACAACAAAGTACTGTAAAATACCCCAGAGGCCATTACCATGACATATCCCAAAAGACCATGAAGTACAATGAACTACTCCCAACGACCGAGAGACTCCAAAAGAGATGACCATACAGTACCAAGAACTACCACAAAGCCATGAAGTACCCCATAGGACCATTAATACCCGAAGGTATAATAAACTGCCACAAAGTACCATGAATTATCCTGGAAGACCAACCAAAACTACCCCTAAGGGCTATCTACTACAAGTACACCAGAAGCTTGTTAGGAGCACTAAAATAATAAAACCTACACAGATGATTACCAACAACTACCACGATGTACCAGGAAGTACAACAAAGAATAACCATGAAGTACCAGGAAGTACATTTGAGGACCATAAAGTACTCTAAAGAGAATACTAGTAAGTACCACAAAGTATCTGATGGAGTAACCCAGGGGACCATTAAGTACAATGAACTACCATCCATCCATCCATCCATCCATCCATCGTCAACCGCTTATCCTGCGTACAGGGTCGCGGGGGGGCTGGAGCCAATCCCGGTTGACACTGGGCGAAAGGCGGGGTCCACCCTGGACAGGTCGCCAGTCCATTGCAGGGCTACAATGAACTACCCCTCAATGCAATTAAGTCCCCAAAAGAGATTATCATAGTCTCAGGAAGTACCTTTAAGTAGTATCAAGAGCTATCCCCCAGTATCATGAGTACCCCAGAAGGTTGATAATTGAAATCCCTGAACCATAAAATAAAACCAGGATGTAGCAGGAAGTAACACAGAGATAACCATGAAGTAGCCTACCCAAGGAGACCACAAAGCACCCAATGGCATCCTGCAATATCTAAAAGATAGAGAGATCATTAGTGTACCATAAAGTAACCCAGATTACCATAAACTACGAGGAATATTACCATGATGTATCATAACCCTGAACCCTGTGGTACCTCAGATAACTAGAACATGAAGTACCATGGAAAACCCTCTCTACTCTACCCACAGTAAACACTTCAGCTGTTCAGCTGACGCACTCTGATGATGAAGTACTGTACCTCTGGGGATCCCTAATGAGAACCAGAAGTACTCTGAATGTCTCTGGTGATAATAACCAACCCACCGATGAACAGAAATAGAACCAGTCCTCAACAACAAGTTGTTTTTAAAAAACACCTCATCACCTTCCAGAAACTAATGACTGTAGATTCCCTTCAGGTGACGCAGCAGTGTGGACACAAACAAGTCCAAAGGGTCGTAGTCATTCGGGGTCTCATGTCTTCTCTTTACCCTGGAGCTCACCCCTCGTCCCTCTGACTGAGTGTTCATGTAGACTTGTGGTGGTGTCTCATTACAGAACTTCCCGACTGACAGTATGGGTCAACTGAACAAACTTTCTGGACCACAGAATGTCTTCACAAAGTGTAGAGACACTTTATGCACACTTGATGAAAAAGTTTGACCAACTCTTGACAGACCTTCACAGGTACCTTTACGGTCTGTAGTCTGAAAGGTCATGGGAGTCCTGGATTGACCCTTTAGCTGCGTTTTATTTCAGGCCTCATTGCCGCCAAAGGGCGTGGTCAAGGAAGGCGTTTCCTTCAGAGGACTGAAGTTGCCTCTGTACCCAAATGACAGAAGAAGATTAATGATTCACATACATTGGCTTTTGGGATTCTGAAGACAAGAAAATGCTCAGTCTTGACATATTGACTTAAAAAGCTGTGGTCCCAGCTTCAGTAGCTGGTTTCCATTCGGCTGCTGAATGTCATCTCACAAGCATTTCCCATTTTGTCCTGAAGTTATCTTACCACCTTCGTAGCTCTTGGACGAAAGGTCCAATCTAAACCAAAAGTGACTGCAAAACAAGGCCAAATGTGACAAAACCTTATTCTGAGTCTGCACTGGGGACATTTACTTTGACAGAATCCACTATACGTCCCTGCAGATGGAGGTCCAGCCTGGCTTCTGCCCACCATTCCCAAAGAGAAACTTTGCCAGCTACCACAGAGATGGTGCAAATCATGACACCACAGAACCGTCTTAACGGCTAGCAGCCAGCTTTGCTGCGTTTTGCTGGTGCATTGCTTGCTACTCTTGATGCATCAACAGTTTCACATAAAACCTTGAAAATGTTTCAGAAAAAATGGAGATCATGCAAATGCGGGTCATGATGCAACAATAAATGAGATATGATACAACATATGAACAAAGTGAAAAGTTCTTCTTCCTTGTCTGACTCGCTTCATTATGTTTCTTGATGCGTTATTGTTACCGACTGTAGATTAGCATGTAATGTTGGCAGAAATGTGCATCTCATCACCAGTGTACTTCTGCTTGTGCATACTTCATGGTACTCCTGGGATAGTTCAGGTGCGGCCTGGTGGGTGCGCTGGAATAGCACAAGTAGGGGTGGGGGTTGGGCTTTGAGAACTGGCTCCAAGTTGGAACCACTACCAAATTTCCAAGAACCGTGGTTTGGGTAAGCCCCGTGCGTTTGGATTCTTCTCCTCGGGTTCCTGACTTCCTGCATATCTCAGCTCCTGACTGAACTGCAGTGAGCATTTTACAGTCCATCAAAGTGTCTCCTATCTGCCAGGAGCTGCTACGCCGACCTAACGTCTCCTCATGTGTTCCGTCAACAAAGCGTGAAGAAGAGAGTCCTTCTGGTTCCGGTCCTGGACCGCAGCAAATGCTCCACAGTTTGGCTTAGCTTCACTAACAAACTGCACCAGCTGCAGTCAGGAGGTTTGGTGCGAGGGAGGAAGCAGCTCCAACATGACGAAGCGTTTCCTTCAACACGGCATGAATCTGAAGGAACGCTTCACCGTGTTCAACGTGTCGCGCTTTCCCGGCTACAACGACGCCCCAGATCCAGCTAACGCTAACAGCAGCAACGCCTCATGTACAAAACACAGGTGAGCCGACGGTCACCTTTTATACTGAAGGGAAACCGACGATGGCTCCAGATGAGACGAGTCCCAGAGACGCCGCTCTAGGACAGAGACTCACTTTAGAGACATGAAGGGGAAGAGGAGCGAGGAGGAAGAGGATTTGGAATGGATACGTTTGAACGAAACCCATCCCTAAACACGACGAAAAACACAATGATGGACCTACTCATCTAAAAGTTGCTCCATAGCACCGCTAGAGGTGAAACTAGTCTAGCACAGTCAGTTCTGTGGAGCTTCAAAGACTCTGGAAGATCTTAGACTTTAATTTGAAAGCTGGAGAAACAACATGCTTTCCTGTTTCAACACACTGCTCTGCGAGTGGCTAGTGGCATCTGTGTGTGACAGAATGTGTGAGAACAGAACGGAATACTTCTTAAACCAGTACTGTGCAGGTGGCCACTCTGATCATTGAGCATAAAGTCAGATTAACATGTTTTGGCCCAGACTACATGATGATCTTATAAATCCTATTTGTGACAAACTCAGTGAAAGCAGTCTGTTAGTGTAGCAGTGAGTCTCTCACAGCCACCCCAGCTGCTCCTGCTGGTGACATGCGGCACCAGGTGCATGATGGGAAATACCCGTTGGCTGACTCTGCCTGTATTTCTGATCTGTCCAGCTGACTCGCCCTCTCTCTCTCTCTCTCTCTCTGTCATTCCTCCAGCAGCTGCTGCTCTGCTGTTTAATGACACAGCAGACTGAACCAGTGAAACCAGTAAAATGTCAAGTTTGACATTTCACAGATTTACCTAAAGAGTGCGCCACCACGCCAGACTACCATCTTTTACTGGAGCCAGAAGATGATGGCCAAGACGTCCCACCCCCCCCAGGCGTACTAATAACAGCCCTGAGGCCCGGACACGCCAGAAGGTGGCGCAGCAAAGTTCATCTGATGCTGCACTGACTCCTGTCTCCTACCTGTGTGCAGACTGTCCTCTGTACCTGCAGCAGGTTATAGTCTAACAATACTCACCGTAAATACTAATCGTTACCTAATCATATCATTTATTAGTCCTTGTACGTTGTTCACTGACTTTGCTGCTACACAACTTCATTGTCACTTTAGCCTTATAATCTTGTCTTTAATTGCTCTTGTATATTTTATATTTTCACTTCTTATTTTAGTTTGATATACCTCTTATCTAGTTTTTACTCTAGTTATCTGTACTTTTTCTGTCCTGGTGCCAAGGCAACAACCAAAATAAAGGTTTATCTTTGAATCTGAGGGGTTGGAAGACTAGAAAATCCATTTACCCCCATTAAACAGAGCAGGGTTAGTTAGAAAGCTAACAGCATAGTTTCCATTTCGGACTCTTCAGCTTTTCCTTACAGGAAATTTCACCACTTAAAATTCTGGTGTATCAAGACTTTAACTGCCTTCATCAATGTTCTTTACTGTTACACGCTCCAAATACACATAACAACGTCTACAGGTCACGGTAAAAAGCTATAAATACTACATCAATGTTTTAATGACTCTAAATGAATTCATGCTAACCAGTAGCACCTCCATTAGCCAGCATATTTCTAGTACCAACTGCTAATACATATTTCAGGTTTCACATATTTCAGGTTTCACAGTTTCACCTGTGAGCCACAACGTCTTTAATGTTCCCGAGACTTTATACTATATTCTGTTACCAGAACAGTCCAACGTGTTCTCACTCCCAACTCTCAACACACATGGACGCAACATCAAGACGTGGCGTCAGTTTAAAACACAGTGGGGAGCCCTTTATTGTAATAGTTCAACACACTTTGGAGGCCCTGTAGTGTCAGTTTTGAAGGCTAAAACAATGTAGGATATTTAACAAAAGGCAGAGCAAGGAGCTGGTTGGGGTGGATCAGAAACTGGAGCTGGTGTTCGATACGCGTGTGAAAGAAAAAGACAACATTAAATGTTTTCATTGAAGTTAACCAAGTTACGCGGCATTACTTAACTTAAGGGACGTAAGTAATGTAGTTATTTTAACCCAAATCATGATGTTTTTCTAAACCTAACTGCGATGTTTCACAACGTAAACCACTAGTTTTATTTTGAAAGTCTAACCGAGTGTTGCATCTTTACTCGTTAACTTGACCTACACATGTACAGCAGCTGTAAGTCGCTTTGGATAAAAGCGTCAGCTAAATGAATAAATGTACAATCCAGAAACATGAAGAAACTTTATTTCAGTTTTTTGTATTTACTAACCCCCCCCCCCCCCTCCAAAACACTCTGCTTCTTTAAATTGTGCTCTGATAACGGACCCATCAGGTCCAGTTTCTGATGCAGGCTGACTCCTGCAGAGGGACTTTATGGACTCCAATAAAATCTAAATATGTCCTGTTGACTTCAGTTATATTTAGACTCTGATAAACCCGAGCGAGTGGCTGCCTCAGATCAGAGTGTCCGAGTCCAGGCTGGTAGAAAAGTTCAATTAAATAACTATCCATCCATTTGGAGAAACAAGTCAGTCACTTAACTCAGCTGAGCAGGTTGATTTAGCTCCAGGATGTTAAATGCATCAGTTTAATCAGTATCTACAGTGTTACTCGTCTGTACATTAGTCTAAAACTTGGGACGCTGATGGCAAAGCATTTCAGCAGCGTCCCCATTTTCAAATTAATTTCCTAGTTAGTGTCCTGGAAAGAACTCTTAACTTGGTACTGACTTTAAGGAAAATAAAGTCTGTGCTTCATTTATACAATTATGAGTTTGTTTCTGATAATAAATAAATAATAAAATAAAGTTTCTTTCAAGGAATTTTATTAGGAAACTATTATTTATTACAGACCTGTAAAATAAAACATTTTACCAATCAGCAGTAATAGATAGGTTCATTCTTAATAATAAAATGAGAATGAACCGAATTGATCCGAGTGAAACCAGGCTGTGGCTGCTGAGAAGTTTACTGGCAGTCAGCTGACAGCAGCCCCCCCTACAGGTCATTCTGAGGAACAACACCCACACCTCTGGAACCAGGAGGGGTCATTTTAGTTTTAGACCTTAAGGTTTTTGAAACTGTCAATGTAATAACCAGAGGTGGCACCAAGTCACTGTTTTACAAGTCTGACTTTTAGTAAATTTAGTAAATATGACCTGAGAGGTATTTTTAAGTTTACTTCAAAAAGCAAACAGACATTAAAGGAGATGGATTTGTGTTGTTGGGGTAAAATTATGAAACAATTTAAAATGTGCAGTTCTCTTTGGTGTTCGAGAAAATGGTTTGTAATTATATTTTTGATGGTAATAAATGTGAATAACTGTTTAAGTACAATTTCCTTTTTCCCTTAAGGTGAGTGGATTTGACTGAATGAACAGAGGATAGGCATATATAAGCCTGTTACTGTTTCACATCTTTACAATTATTGTTTTGTGATGACTAACTCCCAAGTCAAGTCCTAAACTATGAGTTTTGAGTCCTAAACAAGTCATAATGTGTCTTCACTCATTTTAATACCATTTCACATTTTTAACAAGAGTTAAAAGAATAAAGCGTTAACCTGTAAAGGAACAGGCAGAGGCGCACTTTGATGAACAGATGTCGACAAATGTTATGAAGTAACTGAAGTTTTTTATTTATTTCCTAATTTATATTGGGGGTTGGTCAAGTCAGTTCAGGTCAAAAGGCTCAAGTCCAAGTGAAGTCACGACTCATTGGTGCTAAAGTCAAGATCCAATCGTAATTTTTTGATTTTGTTAAGTCGAGTCTGAGGTCATCGTATCTGTGACTCGTCTCTTTTAATTGATATCTTTTATTTGAACATGTAAATAAAAATAAATAAAAATCAGTGAAAAAAAAAAAGAGGGTAAAAAAAAACAGATGAACAACAAAGTAAAACTCCATAAGTTCCTGTACTTAAAAACCTCTATTTACATGTAGGGAGAAGTAAAACTTAGGTACTCCTACTGCTTTACACCCTTACTACCATATTTAAGGAAATAGCTACAAAATAATAATTCTACAGAGATAATAAATCTACGATCAATTAAATATTCAAAAGTTCAATTCACATTCATATATTACACCTACAACTATATTTATCCACATAGTACAAATTATTCAATATAAGCCCAGGTTATTGTTAACACTGTTGCATGGAACATGTTTGGATGTTGCTTTAATTCATTATTTAGTTTATTCCACAATTTAACGCCACTGACAGATAAACTTTTCCTAGTAGTTCAAAAACTGGGAGTCTTAAAATTTGACTTTCCCCTTATGTCGTAGCAAGTCATGTCCAAGTGCAGGTCATGTGACTGGAGTTCTGGTATTAACATGTAGTATTTATCTCTTATCATCCTCGCGTCCCCGCTGGAAGGAGATAGCACCTGGTGAGGAGACCTGAATGGAAAGCACCCACACTGCACGCGGTAACTCACGCCTGCGACCAGGTGAACTCACCTGGTTGACGTCGCCGTTGAGCAGTCGGGTGAGCGTCTCTCTGCGGAGCTTCTCCTCACGGCGAGCCGCTTCATTCAGCCACGACACACGGAGAGAGTCCAGAGAGAGGAGACGAGTCTCCAGCTGCTCCACTCTGAAACATGTCCAGCCCTGACAGAGTATTCAGGTCCAGTACTTAAGTACAAATACTGCAATAAAAAATACTTCAAGAGTCCTGCATTAAAATCTTACTAAAGTAAAAGTACACACGTGTTAGTAGCTTCATGTAGTATCTGCAGGAAAACTACAGACTGTGACTGACTCTGACAATAATAGTTTGCTAACCGAGGGGTCGGGGCCCCTCCAGAGGGTCACCAGATAAATCTGAGGGGTCATGAGGTGATGAATGGGAGAGGAAAGAAGAAGAAACAAAAGGTCTGATTCACAAATCCGTTTTCAGTTTGTGGATTTTCTCTTTTTGTTGAAGTGAATAAATATGATCTATAAAACGTTCAGAGGAGAAATGTCTCTGCTGGAACTGAGACTAGATTTAATCTGTAACTATGGGTTGTATTTTATAAACTTATCCTGTTTTTAAAAATCTTCTTCTGTAAAGTTACCAGTAACACTGTCTGATAAATGCAGTGAAGTGAAAAGTGAGAGCAGTGGAACAATCAAGTAGCATAAAAAGGAAATACTGTAGTGCAAATACTTCCAAATTGTTCAATTACAGTACTTAAGTGGTTTCTGTAGTAATGTTTTCTGATGTGTGCGTGTTCCTACGCTGTGGTCGATGGCGGTGCAGATGTCTGTCTTCAGTGTTGAAGCCGATTTAAACAGACTCTGGATCTGCGGCTCTCTGTGTCGATTCTGCCCAGCCTCACCGGATCCACATAAACCAGTGGAATCAGTTGAAGGGTCTGACTGCAGCAGCGCCTCCAGCTGGACACACAGAAAACAATTTATTCATGGAACACTTTTCTAAAAAGTCGGTGGTTTCCACAGGTGAGATCAGTGACAGCACATTGACCTGGTAGCTGCTTTACTTGTGGATTCCTGATTTCCATTTTTGTGAATGTGCTCAGTCGATTTCATGGTGACGAACAAAAACCAAGATCACAACAGAACATTGGTGAGGAACCTCCAGGTTTAAAAAGTGAAGCGCCTTAAACCTGCGTCCTCTCCGGCAGCCAGCAGGGGGCGACTCCACCGGCTGCAGAAAGAAGTCTGAGAAAATGTTTCTACTTGTCAGCTGATTTATTCCCTCAGTAAACACTTTCCTGATGAGTTTATGGTCTCAGTCGCTAGTTTCAAGTCTTCTTCAGCCTGATTGATCCCTGCTTCCTGGTCTCTGTTCCTCTAAATGGGACCATGATTTACTAAATGAACATCATGCTGTGTTGAAGACCTAATGAGAACTGTCAACTTGAAGGGTGTTTTGTCACAGCGCAGAGGTTTAAAGGTTTTGCTGATCTAAAACAAATACATGTAGAATAAAATATCTTTCTTACTGATGTATCTTGGCAGAACTACTTCCTCCACTGACCTGTTTGGTTGAGAGGTGGAAGCTGCTGGCCAGGTCCAGGATCGACTCGCTCTGATGGATCTTGTTCTTCACTCTCTCCTGAAGCTCCAGCAGCTCTGACAAATCATCCTCCGTCACTTCTCTTCCTTTTGACTCCTTCACCTCCAGCCTGTCCTGGACTTGTCTCAGAGTCTCCCGGTTCCTCTCAAGGTACTCAACCTCAGCGTCTAGTTGCTGGAGAAAGCAAGGGAGTGTGTCTGATGCTTGTCACATGGCGGCAATAGAATATTTACGTGTGGTTTAGTAGTAGTTGGTTTGCATTTACAGCTTTACCTACTCCGTACCAAAAAAGATCAGACTGACGATGACACACTGAAACAGCCACAAGCCCAAATGTCCCAGGAAACCCAAGTGTCTGCAAAGTCTCATCTACAAGTAGTCCTAAACATCTCCACATAGTCCTCCCAACAGTTGCAGCAGTAACCACAGGTTTCCCAGGAGTCCCAGTGGTAGGGGTTCTGGACCAGTCCAAAGTCCCCAATTCTCCCAACAGTCCGACCAGTCCAAAGGTGCTAAAAGTCCAAACTGCACAAAGATCCCAGTGATCTCAGAAGACTCCTTCAGTCCAAATTAGAAGATGTCACAGCACTCCTCACAGTTCAAAACTCACAACAACAGGGTTTTTCCTGCATAGACACATTTCTGGCGCCCCCCAAAGAGGTTTTAGCAAGCGCCAAAGGAAAATCACCAGAAAGTGATCAGAATTAGGAAAAAAGCGTTTCAAATAATCTGCGTGTGTATTAATAGTCATTTATCAAACAACTGTTGAGCAAGCAGAACATAAACTTAAATACGAGGTCACGTCTCCTCTCATCCACAGCCGCTGTATTTTACACCTGCAGCAGGCGCTGGATTAATAAACCAGCTGCTGCGTTGGTTTGACTGCGCCTGAACGCTCCGCCACGAAGCTCGCGCTAATGGTAGAGAGCACTTCCTGTTATTTCTCACAATATAAAAGCCGTTTGTGCTTGAAGTGGGCCAGTATTCACCGGTACTTTTACATTTTACTTTTGGCGTACCGGCACCGGTCCTCTTCTCTGCCCTCTTGATCAGGTTCTCTGGGCACTACGTGACGCTCACCTTTTCTCTCCTGCCCGCTAATCTCAGCAGGGAAATCGGGATCAAGTAACTTTCATGCAGCTGTGTGCAAAGTCACTTTGATGAACCGACCAATCACATCCAGGAGTAGGCGGGACATAAAAAAAACCGCAGCAAAGTGTAGAAATGTTGAACTCGTTCTGTATGCACGCTTTTTATTACTGACAAGTTAGTAATTTCTATAAACAAATGAGACAAACCAACATGTAGCGCATTTTTCATGCCAATAATTTAATGACTGAAAACAACCCACAAAAATGAAAGTGCTGTTTTGTTCAACTGGAATTAATATTATAGGCTAATAATGGTAAACTATGAGAAGCCGCCTAGGCCAAAATTTAATTCTTCGCTTGTATGTATGTATGTGCAAGCGTAAGTATTCAATTTTGGCCTAGGTGGCTTCTCATAGTAAGCTATATAGTAGCCTATACTATTATCTGAAATTATAATGAATACACCAACATTAGCAATAATCAAACCTTAACCTCAGAGGTGTAGGCTAATAGAGAATGTTATTTTTTGTGAAACAGCTGAATATCTACTATTTGTAGGCAGATAATCCAAATGTGTAACCTGTAAACATATTATTATACTAACATTATACAATTTAATGTTATAATATTTATTAATACAATGATTTATCTCTTTACTCCTCCAGGTATTTTGTTAATCAAATGGTCAGGAATAACAAGAAAATGCGTAGATTTTGGTCATGAGGTAAATCATTGCCTTTACTGTACGCATACCGATCATGCCGTGAAGTCACCCCCCCAAAGGCCCATTCTGAGCCAGGAAATACCCTGAACAATCCAACTTTCCCAATAGACCCAGTGGTCCCAATGGATCAGACCACTCTGACTGGGACTCCTACACTACCAGTAGTCCCTGCAGATGGAAGGACCTAATGTTCCAAACAGTCCCACCAGTCCAAACCACCCAAAGGTCCCAGCAGTCCCATTATTCGCTACAGTCCAAAACTCAAAATGGTCCCAACAACTCCAACAGTCCTTTCATCCCAACATTTAAAGCATATCCATGAGTCTCAGTGTTCCCACAAGCCTTGTGTCCACAGTCCAAGGTCCTATTGGTCTCAGAAGTCCCCACAGTAAAAAAGTCCCAGTGTTCCCTACAGTCCAAATTCAAAAATTCCCCAGCACTCGCCACAGTTCAAATGTCCCTTCAGTCCTAACTTTCCCAATGGTCCCAGTAGTCCAGACCCATTCCCATTGGGAGTCCACCACTACCATTAACCCCTGCAGTCCCAGCAGCCATGGTACAAAGGTTATAATGCAGTCCTCATTATCAAAAAGTCCTGATAGGCCTATGTCCCGGCAGTTCCAAGTGATAAGACTCACTGTAAAATGTGGTCTGGCCTGGCTGAAGTGCTCCAGCAGTCTGGAGGTGTGCAGGTCTGAACCCAGATCCATCAGAGTGCAGGAGTCCAACAGTTTAGAGACACAGTTCAAGTCCTGCAGGGCCTGAAAACATACAGCATTCAAGTGGTGGAAGTAACTAAGTACATTTACTCAAGTGCAAATTTGAGATGCTTGCACTTTATTTGTGTGTTCCTATTGTCTGCTGTGTGATAATTACATTTTAAAGGAAAGTATAGTTTTTACATTTATTTGGCAGCTATATTGTTACTAGCTAATTGCAGTTAAAGATTGTCATACAACAGATTAGACTTTAGATAACCAGTAACATGTTCACTTTTCTACAGTAGTTAGTACCTTGAGCAGTCTCTCCCGGTATTTTCTACAGGACTCCTGCTGCTGCTGGGTCTGGATTTGCTGGTGACTCAGCAGCTCGTTCACTTCCTCTTTGGTTCTGCTGAGTCGCTCCATCGTCTGCTGCACCATCGACACCACAGACTGCAGGTTCAACCCTGCTCCAGACACCTGACATACACAAAACATAAAAACCACACTCGATATAAATTTTTTTCATCCACATAAGAAAAGCAAAGTTATTCTACATTAAATTTATACTAGAATTTGGTGTTGTGGTACTCAGTCTCAGTCTTGACTTGGTCTCAGCCCCTAAAAAGTCTCGGTCTCTTGGTCTCGATACAATCCGATCTTGGTCTTGTCTCGGTCTCTATACAATCCGGTCTTGGTCTTGCCTCGGTCTCTATACAACGGTCTTGGTCTTGCCTCGGTCTCTATACAACAGTCTTGGTCTTGTCTCGGTCTCTATACAACGGTCTTGGTCTACAACGGTCTTGGTCTTGTCTCGGTCTCTATACAACGGTCTTGGTCTACAACGGTCTTGGTCTTGTCTCGGTCTCTATACAACTGTCTTGGTCTTGCCTCGGTCTCTATACAACGGTCTTGGTCTTGTCTCGGTCTATATACAACGGTCTTGGTCTACAACGGTCTTGGTCTTGTCTCGGTCTCTATACAACGGTCTTGGTCTTGTCTCGGTCTCTATACAACGGTCTTGGTCTACAACGGTCTTGGTCTACAACGGTCTTGGTCTTGTCTCGGTCTCTATACAACGGTCTTGGTCTTGACTTGGTCTGAACCCCCATTCCCGACAGTATAGTTACCGTTCTAACAGCATGGACGTAGTTGTTTCCCAGATCCTGAACATCGAGGAACCTCTGTAGCGTTTCCTGCTGCATCTTCTTTGTGTGTGACCTGGAACTGGTGGTTGTCCTGATGTTACCGCTACCAGCTTCCCACTCCTCCTCCTCCTCCTCCTCCTGTCTCCTTCTGTAGATCTCCCTCAGTTCCTCCAGCTCCTCCTCCACCTGGAGAACAGGAGCACCATCAGCACAGTTACCTTCACCACCATCACAGACTTCTCTGACAGACTGCATGTTACCACAGGGGCAGCTGATTTTGCATTGTTTAGTTGAGAACACTTTGGTCCACAACAAGATATTTACTGCCATATATCTCTGTCAGCGCTCCCTAGAGGCTGAAATGTTCATTACATCCCAATGATGCACAGAACAAGCAACATACTGATGATTTAGATATTCTTAGAGCGTTTTTACACCCATTCTGCACACTGTAAGTACTTTAACTGTTAATACTTATGTACTTCTTTCAAACTAGTGGAAAGTCTAACGGACGCTAGAAGAGACCTGCTGCGCCGTCCTGAGGAAAGTGACGTAGGGTCGCAGCAGCTGCAGGTTTGAGTCGATCTTTCTGTTCAGACTCTGCAGCTCCTTAAAGATCAGATTAACTCGCCCAGCGAGTTCTGGACTCGGTAAACCGTTTGGGTCAGCGGCAGGTGGACCGGGCTGAGCGCTGCTGGTTCTGGTCTGGCTGCCTCTCTTCAGCTGCTCTGTCAGGGCCTTCAGAGGGGACATCTGTCTGCTGGGTTCACTGGGAGGATGGGGACTGGTCGTGCTGGTTGAATCTGTGTGCAGAGCTCTGATCTGATCCAGGATCTGCTTCATGTTCTCTGCATCGTGACCTGCAGACTGGAGACAAACATGGACTTCATGATTTGTTGGACTAGTTAACAGAACACAGCACCAGAGTTGCAGAAATCATCCAAAACTGATCCAGAATCCCCAAATCCACACCAAGTGAACTAAACAACAGCTGTGAGAGTGACATCTATCAGAGACCCTGTAGATCCGCCAAATATATTCTCTCCCTATAGATAAATCTTCTGGCAGAGATGTTTTCACAGTCAGCAGTCGACCCGTCTGACAAATGAAAGAAGTCCGTGTGAGAGTTTTTAGTCTCATAAGTATCATCATATCATCTGGTCTGGTGAAACCCCTACAGATGGTTCAGAACTCAGCAGCCTGTCTGGTTTCTGATCAGCCCAAAAGGACTCATGTCCCTCCATTACTCAGTGACCTCCACTGGCTCCCTGGGGCCCTCAGAATCAGATCCAAGTCCCTAACGCTGCATACAGAGTGACTCCTGGGTCTGCAGCATCTACCTAAACTCCATAATCCAAGTCTACGTTCCTTCTGGGCCACTGCGCTGCTCCAACGAACGCCGCCTGGCTCTGCCATCCCTTCACATAAAGCGACCTCAGTCCCTGTTCTCATCTGTGACACCACGACGGTGGAACGAGTGACCGCACGCCATCAGAGCAGGGGCGTCCCTCTCTGACTTCAAGAAGCTCCTGGAAACTCTGCAGAGAACACTTCCTCTGATAACACCTCTGACATCACTTCCTGTGCTCTTCTTCTATCCCCTTACAATTCTTTTGTACTGATCGAACTGTTCGTTAACTCTTACTTCTTCCTGTGATGCTGTACGTGCTGACAGCTCGTACTAGCATCTAGTATCTCTTACTGTATGGATGCTCTGTTGATGCTTGGATGTTGTTCTTCAAATGTAAGTCACTTTGCATAAAGTGCCACATGAGCAAATGTAAATGTATTCATGATTTGCTGTGTTGTAATCACAAGAAATACATTGAATCCGAGACACAGAACCCCGTAACATAAGAGAGTACCAAGCTAACAGGATATGTGACATCAGTGAGGATTTCAAAGTAAATTTGTCTCTGTCTGTAAAATCATTTTGTCCAGTTTAATTCAATCAACTTAAATAAGTGTCGCTAGTGGGTTTAATGAAATTGATTGAATTGGATTAGAGATTTACAACTATAACTTCAGCTCGTCTACTTCAACCGATTTCTTGATATTTGAAAAGTTGTTGTTTGGAGCAGCTGCACAAACTGTACTTTTTCTTCAAGGGAAGTAAAAATAACTAAGGTGTGTGTGTGTGTTTACCTCAGCCTGTGTGTGCAGCTGCAGGTGTGTGTTCAGAGTGTCTTCGGCCTCAGAGAGCTGCCGTCCTGCTTCACAGCTGTTAGCCAACACACTGCCGCCCTGCTGCAGCCAGCTCCAGATCTGCAACACACACACACGTTTAGTTAGCTCACTTCCAGGTACATTACATAGTGTAAATGGCAAAGAATACGGTTTTAAATGTTTCCTGTAATGCTTTGTCTTTATTTCATGCTTCCTGTTTAACCAAAAATTAGCCATTTCCCAGTTTGGTACTTATGTCTCCAGTTAACTGGTCTTTAGTCTGAAATGTGTCCCTGAAGGCAGCTGATACAGTCTCGAGTATATCACGTTGTCTAGTCGTGTTCTGTACTGTGGGCGTGGCCACCGTGACGTCCCCAGTGGGTTTGTGGGCTACAGTTTTGGAGCCTGGAGTTTGCCGTTGGTTTTTTGGAACCAGACGAGAGGGAGGAGCTAGCTAGCTTGGTTAGCAAGGTGCATCTGTAATTCACGTTAATATTAGCTGGGATGCTAATTTTAGCTAGCGACAAACAGGCTTAAAACTAAACGTACTTACTGAAAAATGAGCAGCCGACTCCTGATGAGCTTTTTCAGCCGCGCTGGTTAAATGTACGCAGAGCAGCCTCTATTCTGATTGACAGGTCGCCATGGTAGCAACTTGTCAATCAGCTTGTAGCCCCGCCCTAAAGCCTCCCCTGTATTTAAATGAAGCAGCTTCTTCTGTTCTCATAAACAGCTAAACGGTGAAATGAAGCTGCTGTAAAGAAGAAAAAGAAAATGTCACCTTGTCCACGAGGAGTTCACATGACGACAGCAGCTGTTGCCTCTGATTGGTCAGAAGGTCTTGGTGGGCGTGGTCTTCTCCACTTTGAGTCTCTTTTCCCAGCATGCCCTCCAGCCTCGCTGCCTGCCTGCTGCACCAGAGAAGAAGAACATAACGCAGATTTCTTCAGGTCCCGTGTTTCCAAATGAAAAGTGGAACTTTAATTACGGCGAGTTCGTTATTTTATTTGCTTTATTATGAACGGATCTTTAAACTGCCTCAGAAAGGGTTTGTTGGGCAGGTGAGGACATTTCTGCAGCACGCTGACACACCTGGCGGCAGGTGTAGCAGCAGCTCTGTGCCGTTTGCTCTCTTCCTGTTTCCTCCTCAGGTCCGACAGGTTGAGGTCTTCAGCCTGAGGAAACACCAGATTAAATCCACCAACACCCAGACAGGTACCTCAGAAACTACAGACCAGATCTGCACCGTCCTGCAGCGCCACCCTCAGGACAAACCTTGTAACAGAGCACAGACAACACTGCTGCCCAGGCAGCAGGGACCTGGTTCACATGTGTCTGAGTCTGGCTGCTGGGGCAACTGGGAGACCAGTAAAGACCTGGACCAATAAAACAGGATCTGATTCTTTCTGCAGACTGGTGGAAAGTTTCATCCTCAAGCCTTACCTCTAACTTACCTCTGATCTGGATCCTGACTGAAGGTCTCTGGTCTCCTCTGATCTGGATCTAGGCTGTGCGTCCTTGGTCTGTTCGAGTCTGGATTCAGGCTGCAGGTTTCTAGTCTCCTCTGATCTACATCCAGGCTTCAGATCTGATCTGGATCCAGTTTTCAGGTTTGTATTTTCCTCTGATCTGGATCCAGATCTTAGGTTTGGACTTTCCTCTGATCTGGATCTAGGCTGTGGGTTTATGGTGGCCTGTGATCTGGATTCAGGCCATAGGTTTTTGGTTTGCTCTGATCTGGATCCTGACTGAAGATCCCTGGTCTCCTCTGGTCTACATCCAGGCTTCAGATCTGATCTGGATCCAGTTTTCAGGTTTGTATTTTCCTCTGATCTGGATCCAGATCTTGGCTGTGGGTTTTTGGTCTCCTCTGATCTGGATCCAGGTTTTAGATCTAACCTGGGTCCAGGTTCAACGTCACTGGTTTCTCTTGTCTTCAGGTCTGGGCTCTCTGCTGGTGTGGATCCAGACTGCAGGTCTTGGTCCAGGATCTTCTCCACAGTGAGACTCCAGTGCTGTAGTGAAGACAGTTGTTGTCAATTCATGGACTACTGCAAATACTGCGTCGGCTACACTGCGAGCACAAATACTGCGTCGGCTACACTGCGAGTACAAATACTGCGTCGGCTACACTGTGAGTACAAATACTGCGTCGGGGCTACTGTGAATACAAATACTATGTCGGCTACACTGTGAATACAAATACTGCGTCGGCTACACTGTGAATACAAATACTGCGTCGGGGCTACTGTGAATACAAATACTATGTCGGCTACACTGTGAATACAAATACTGCGTCGGCTACACTGTGAGTACAAATACTGCGTCGGGGCTACTGTGAATACAAATACTATGTCGGCTACACTGTGAATACAAATACTGCGTCGGCTACACTGTGAGTACAAATACTGCGTCGGGGCTACTGTGAATACAAATACTATGTCGGCTACACTGTGAGTACAAATACTGCGTCGGCTACAAAGTGAATACAAATACTGCGTCGGCTACACTGTGAGTAAAAATACTGCGTCGGCTACACTGTGAGTGCAAATACTGCGTCGGGGCTACTGTGAATACAAATACTATGTCGGCTACACTGTGAATACAAATACTACGTCGGCTACACTGTGAGTACAAATACTGCGTCGGGGCTACTGTGAATACAAATACTATGTCGGCTACACTGTGAATACAAATACTGCGTCGGCTACACTGTGAGTACAAATACTGCGTCGGGGCTACTGTGAATACAAATACTATGTCGGCTACACTGTGAGTACAAATACTGCGTCGGCTACAAAGTGAATACAAATACTGCGTCGGGGCTACTGTGAATACAAATACTATGTCGGCTACACTGTGAATACAAATACTGCGTCGGCTACACTGTGAGTACAAATACTGCGTCGGGGCTACTGTGAATACAAATACTATGTCGGCTACACTGTGAGTACAAATACTGCGTCGGCTACAAAGTGAATACAAATACTGCGTCGGCTACACTGCGAGTACAAATACTGCGTCGGCTACACTGTGAGTGCAAATACTGCGTCGGGGCTACTGTGAATACAAATACTATGTCGGCTACACTGTGAATACAAATACTACGTCGGCTACACTGTGAGTACAAATACTGCGTCGGGGCTACTGTGAATACAAATACTATGTCGGCTACACTGTGAATACAAATACTGCGTCGGCTACACTGTGAGTACAAATACTGCGTCGGGGCTACTGTGAATACAAATACTATGTCGGCTACACTGTGAATACAAATACTGCGTCGGCTACACTGTGAATACAAATACTGCGTCGGCTACACTGTGAGTAAAAATACTGCGTCGGCTACACTGAGTGCAAATACTGCGTCGGCTACACTGTGAATGCAAATACTGCGTCAGCTACACTGTGAATAAAAATACTGCGTCGGCTACACTGTGAGTAAAAATACTGCGTCGGCTACACTGTGAATACAAATACTGCGTTGGCTACACTGTGAGTACAAATACTGCGTCGGCTACACTGTGAATACAAATACTGCGTCGGCTACACTGTGAGTACAAATACTGCGTCGGCTACACTGTGAGTAAAAATACTGCGTCGGCTACATTGTGAGTACAAATACTGCGTCGGCTACACTGTGAGTAAAAATACTGCGTTGGCTACACTGTGAGTACAAATACTGCGTTGGCTACACTGTGAGTACAAATACTGCGTCGGCTACAAAGTGAATACAAATACTGCGTCGGCTACACTGTGAGTAAAAATACTGCGTCGGCTACACTGTGAGTGCAAATACTGCGTCGGGGCTACTGTGAATACAAATACTATGTCGGCTACACTGTGAATACAAATACTGCGTCGGCTACACTGTGAGTACAAATACTGCGTCGGGGCTACTGTGAATACAAATACTATGTCGGCTACACTGTGAATACAAATACTGCGTCGGCTACACTGTGAGTACAAATACTGCGTCGGGGCTACTGTGAATACAAATACTATGTCGGCTACACTGTGAGTACAAATACTGCGTCGGCTACAAAGTGAATACAAATACTGCGTCGGCTACACTGTGAGTAAAAATACTGCGTCGGCTACACTGAGTGCAAATACTGCGTCGGCTACACTGTGAATGCAAATACTGCGTCAGCTACACTGTGAATAAAAATACTGCGTCGGCTACACTGTGAGTAAAAATACTGCGTCGGCTACACTGTGAATACAAATACTGCGTTGGCTACACTGTGAGTACAAATACTGCGTCGGCTACACTGTGAATACAAATACTGCGTCGGCTACACTGTGAGTACAAATACTGCGTCGGCTACACTGTGAGTACAAATACTGCGTCGGCTACACTGTGAGTACAAATACTGCGTCGGCTACACTGTGAGTAAAAATACTGCGTCGGCTACACTGTGAGTACAAATACTGCGTCGGCTACACTGTGAGTACAAATACTGCGTCGGCTACACTGTGAGTACAAATACTGCGTCGGCTACACTGTGAGTAAAAATACTGCGTCGGCTACATTGTGAGTACAAATACTGCATCGGCTACACTGTGAGTACAAATACTGTGTCGGCTACAAGCTCAAATACTCACATCTGTTAGTGAAGTACAAGCAGCAGTACTACTCAAAGGACTGGAAGTAGAAGTACTCTCTCAGAAGTACAGGTGAATATCAAAAAATCAGAATATGGTGTAAAAGTGTGAACCAGACAGATGAAACCTCTGCAGGTGTGAACCAGACAGATGAAACCTCTGCAGGTGTGAACCAGACAGATGAAACCTCTGCAGGTGTTCGCGACGTCTCTTTTAGAAATGATTTAGTTCAGCTGCTTGAAATGAGAGTATTTTTAAATCCAGCCGTCGGCGAGGGGAGAATGTAGCTGCAGGCAGGAATTATATTTATAACGGGAACACTAGACGCTGACAGAAGAGACTGATGACTCTCTGCTCTGATACCTTTAATACTGCAGGATATCACACAGAGGCCTCTGCGTCTGGTCTGCAGCTCTGGTGATGGACGAGACAACGAGATTCGCATGAGCCGGACGCTCACACGCTGTCTTCAGGCTAAAAGGATCCTGGTTTCTCTCATCCAGCTGATTCTTTGAACACAGGATTGATTTGTAAATCCTGGATGAAGTTATCCTCACTAACGGTGCGCTCCCATCTCATTTGTATTACTGGTTGGCGTGCTGATCGTACGCCAGAGCCTGAATCACATTAAAACTCACATGAAACAAACTAAAGCCACGTTAGCAGCTGCTTTTTACTCTCACGCTTGTGTTTTTTGGACGAATATCAGACACCACCAGCTGGTCATAATGTTACGGCAGATCGGCTGAGGCACGGACTCCACTGTGTGTTCTGACCCCTTTCTATCAGAACCTGCATCAACTTCTTCAGCAGTTTGACCTGCAGCAGCTCGTCTGTTGGATCGGACCACACAGGCCAGACTTCACTCCTCATGTGGACCAGGTCCAAGACCCTGTCGCCCCTGACCCCTGCAGACCGGTTTAGACTGTTCTGACCCAGTTATCCATTCAGCTGACGCTTTTATCCAAAGCGACTTACAGCTTTATATTTGTCAGAGGTCGCACGCCTCTGGTGCAACTCGGGTTTAAGTGTCTTGCTCAGGGACACATTAAGTCCAAGACAAAATGTCTCACAGTGGATTCGAACCCGGGTTGCTCACATTAAAGGCACGTGTCTTATCCACTGCTGTCAAAGCAACTCAAACCCTCCTATTTTGCACATTTTTCCTGCTTCTAACATCAACTCTGAGGACACATGTTCACCTGCTGCCTGTTAGATCCACTGACAGGTGCCATGGTAACCAGGTAACCAGAGTTATTCACCTGTCAGCGGTCATAATGTTTTGGCTGATCTGTGTATAAACATCTGCATATTTCATGAATGTGTTGCTTTCTGGCTTCTAATTTTTGGTGTGAGAGTAAACCTGTGAAAAAGAAAACTCAGCAGGAGAAGCTGAAGTCTGTAGTTAGAGACATAAATGGAGAATATCAAAATAAATATTGTTCCACAAACACTGAGAAAAAAAAAGGGGAGTTAGTGAACGTCTGAGATTCACAACTTTTTTTTATTATTTTTATTTTCATGCTCTCAGTGTGTTTTCATTTTTAGCACTTACCTGTAGCACTTTGGGATTTGCGTAAATATAAAGTGCATTACAAATTAAATGTATTATCATTATTGGTGTGAAACATTTAAGATTTCAGGTAGCAGACTACCTGCGTCCCCGTGTTTACTCTGCGTTCACACAGTCACTTCTTTCTTCTCACAGTCTTTGTGGAACCTCGTCGGTCAGATCATTTGTTCACAAAAGGCCGACCCACAACCAAAAGCTCTGAAATTATTCCTGAACGTGGTTTCTGAAGGTGTAACTGCAGAACGGAAAAGTGTGGAGCGTTCGTCATCCTGAAACGTTTTCTCTTCAGTTATTTATTTAAATAAAGATGAACACTGTGGCGCTCATGTCATCTTACATCAGGGCCGGCCTCTCTGGACTCTTCCTTGTGGACCATGATGCCGTTCTCCGCCTGTTGGAGCTGCAGCCTGACAGCCTGATCCGCCCTCCTCCTCCGATCCTGCAGCGTCTCCACCAGCTCCTCCAGCCGTAACGCCACCCCCCTGCTGCTCCGGGAACTCTGGGAACTCTGGACAATAAGTTAGATTATTACTGTAAGATATTTATTAGTTACTCAGGTAATAATGAAGCTCTGAATACACCAACAAGACTTTTTTTAAGACACAGAGACACTTTCACCTCGTCCTCCTCGTCCTCCTGGTCCTGCAGGACTCCTCCTCTCCTCTGGAGGGCCTCGGTCCTCTGCAGCCGTCTGAGTTTCTGCATCAGAACGCTGCTGCTGGTTAAAACCTGCAGGGACTTTCCCAGAAGATCTGGAGTCAGAACACAAAGACACAGCGACTGTGTGATTATATAGTCACAACACGTCACTCTGTCAACTGCAGCCATCAGACAAACCAGTTTAAACAGGTTTTCAGTGGACCCCCCCCCCCCAACACACCAGTTAATGGGCAGTGTAGCTATAAGGTTTAAAATACCTGCAGTATAGAACTGAAACAACCTAGTTTGAACCAGTTTATAGTCGTTCAGATTATTTAAACCACTAAAACTAAACCAGTTTAAATCTGTTTTTAATAAGTTTAAACCAGTTTATCTAAAGCTTTCACCAGTTTAAATCACTTTAAAGCACCTAAAAACTGTCTCAGTGGTTTTAACCAGTTGATCGTTACTACCGTAAAACTTTGAATAGCCCGGGCTTTTATTTGCTAAAATCACTGAATTGACCCACAGGCCTTTAATTCCTTTTGCACAAAACTGAAACTTCTATGAAACAGTTTATTTATTTCAAACAGAATAATACTTGTATAAAAATCATCAAATAATGTCAAATACACGTCATTCATTTGATCTAGCTCCGACATGCACTTTTATTTTGAAGTAACATCACGTCAACCACACGGTGCAGGATGAGAGACGGACTTCACACGACAGGATTCACAACTTGGATTCATTTTTATGGAAAGCTGTTTTGATTCTTTGGATTGCTGGACGCTTCCAGACTGAAGGAAGATAAATAATCAGAAACGGACACACTCGGACATGTTCAGCATGTTCACCCTGACATATTGATCATCACGTTTAAGCATTAATATTTGTATCAACGATCTAAGCAGCTTAGAAGCAGCTAAAGAGGCGACCCTGCGGGTTTCAGAGGTTTCATACATCCAAAGAACTTCTATAAAAACCAGACCAGGCGTTTAAGTGTCACCAGGCCAGTAAAGGAGGCAGGCGGCTGTTTGGGACTCGGCTATTAATTGAAGTTTTACGGTAATTTAAACTAATTTAAACTGCTTTAAACCAGCTGCAACTCTGCAGCTACAGCAAGTTGGACTGAAAGGAAGGTCCAGGTCAGTCTAACACACATAAATGAAGACAAACAAACACATTCACACAACAGAGCAAGAAATTAAAACTAAATTAGTGATCATTTATTTAATATGCGCTGCAGATGTGTATAGTGCTGACAATTATACTACAGATACTAGGACTGATACCAAGGTTACCTCTCCTCATGGAGTCGTACGTGAGCTGCGCTGCAGCCAGTCGGTCGTCGTCCGGTCGGATCTGCAGATCCTCAACTCCGTCCATACTGACAGCAAACTGCAGACAGAGTGTGGAAGTAAAACTGAAGAACTGCCAATGTAAGCAAGACAAAACCATCTAAAGCTTTCTTAGTCCTTACAACTCTGTGACGTCTCGTATTTACACTCAGGTTGTTGCATTGAGCGGGTGGAAATAAATGTTTTGTTTGTGAATAATGAGCTGTATATAAATAAGGATTTGAAAACTGAGCTTTGTGGACAGACAATGTTTAGTTTAAAAAGGCAGGTTCAGTCTCTGACCCAGAGTCAAAGAAGGAGACATCAGTTTCTTCAGGTCCAGGACGAGTTTAACTTTGCTAGCTTAGCATAAAGACCAATAGCGTGTCTGCTGTTAGCGCCCTTCTGTACTTACACTTAATATGTTCACACTGTACGGCAAAATGCAGTGCACTATGGGTACCCGGATGGTGCACTCATAATAACAACAATAAAGTTGGCTGCGATTGTAAAAGTACTTTCATTTTTAATTAGTGAGCAAACAAGTCGGCAGATATTGTGGCGGGCGACAGTCACGGATGGCGATGATCCTCCCGGTTACCGTTCACCATTCAAGAAGACGACAGTTCATCCTGAGAGAAACATGAATCACAATCCATCCAACAGCTGCTGAGAAGTCTGAGACTGGACCACCAATGAGAACCTCGTCCACGGTGAGGTTTCAGGTCTGTAAACCCAGCCGACTCTCGGGGGGGGGGGGTGACCACGCATTTCTGTTTACAACCTCTGTGTGTGATTGTCACTTCCCCCGCCCTGGAAAGCTGTGTCTCGTGCATGTTGCTGTGACGCACAGAGGATTAAAATAGAAGCAGGAAGCTCAGTGTTGGACCGTTTCAGATAAAGGCTGCAGCTGCACACTGCGGCCCGGCGGCAGGTGTTGCTAATGAAATGGCCGCCAGCCAATGAGCACAGATTACTGAAGGAATGTGACCCAAAGCTGCAACGGAGACACGAGACGAGGACGGATCACATCCAAAGTGCACAGAGGACGGCACGCTTCACGTTCCCGCCCACAGGGAGGGGGTCAGGGGTCAAAGGTCACAACAGCTGAGACGAACACAATGTTCCTGTGAGAGTCAGATTACACTGAGCTGCAGCTACAACGTCGACACGGAGTCTTCATACAGCTCAGCACCGTAAATACACTATTAAGCATTAACAAGTTGTAAATCTGTGATGCAAGTTCAGCCATTTATTGTCAAGTGACCAACTTAAACTCGCTTTCCTTCGAAGGTCGAGCAACATGTAGGGAAGTCAAAAGAAGGAAAGAAAAGGTGAGGCAGGCAACAAAGGGAAGGGCAAATCACCAGACAGAAGGACCCACCTTTCTGTGCGACCAATCCCCATCACTCTACTAATGGTGAAATCAGAAGAGACCAAAAGCCAAAGCCTGTGATCATCTTGGGGGGCCGAGCTCCAGACAAGGGGGTCGTAGACCAGAAAGGAAATTCCCCTGGGTCATCCCAGGAAATAAAGACACAATACAGAATACACAGAACCGAACCCGCCAGCCTCAAGAATCTGGACAACAAAGACACAGCAAGTCCCTGAGACTAAATCTAAACCAGGATCTGTTTTTGCTTGTGACCCCCTGAATATGAAGAAAAGTCTCCCCGCGACCCCTCGATCATCATTATTTTTTTTTTCTTACATCTGAACAAAACAAATCATCTCGTGACCACCTAAGTTTATTTTGTGAGCCCTTGGTGAACCAAAAGACCTGTTTGTGCGTTCGTGTTTGCATTTCTGTTCAGAACTGGTAAGACGACGCAAATAAAGAAAAACTCTGAACGACACTAAAAGAGTCTGTAGCTGCTTGACACACCCCTGAAAGAGCCGACAGAGAACGTGATTCCCCTGAATGTCCTGAAAAAGCGTCCGTAGGTTGATGCATGCGGATCAAACACCGAAACACAAACAGTGCAGCACGTCGTGATCGGAGGAACATTCGCTGCAGAATCCATTTGTTGAAGAGAAAGAAAAGAAGTTGTCTCAAGGTGGGATCAAACCCTCAACCGGCGAGCGCCACACCTTACCAGCTGAGCTAATCAAACATCATGTTGATACCGGGCAATATTATACCTTATATTCTCATCCACCATCTAATGGTTGAAAATATTGCTCTAAAACTCATTTGCCAACCCCTGCTGTATATTATTATTACTAATGCTTCTTCGTCTTCTAAGTAGTAATGTTTCACAACTTTGACCACTAGTTTTATTTTGAAAGTCTAGCCGGATGTTGCTAACTTAAACAACGCAAAAAGGGTCCATATGTGACGAGATGGGAGAATGTGTTGGTGTTTGGAGATGAGAACGGGCTGGTAGTTTTAGCTCCACCAGAAGCACAAATCAAGGTGCACCAATGTGGAGAAGAATTTTACAGTAATACATTAACTCACAATCATAAGAAAGCCGTTTCAGTAAAACTGCTTGAGAAGATGTTCACAGGAGATAAGAAGCCTTGACACATCATTAGCAGCTACGGTCGCTCTTAGCTTGGCTCCTTTACAAGTTCAGTTTAAACTGTAAATAAAGTAGTTTTCTGACGTTGTTCCACATATTTAATAAGCTTCCTACCTCCAACGCTCGGTGGTAAAAGTCTGCAGCCAGCGTCAGGACTTCCTGGCGTCTCTCCAGCAGACGGAGGAGCAGCGACCACCCCTCGTTCAGAGACGCCCCCATGGCCTTGTACACTTGCTCCTCTTCCTCCTGTCTCTTGTCCACCACAGACAGCACTTCCTTCTCATGTTTCTGGCACAAAACAAGGAGAAACAACAGATTATATAAAAGGTTTGTATAAACTCTTAAGGTAAAAATAAATCCGCTCCTCTGACGGTCTTGTTACGTTAGCAAGAATTTTAACGTTAGCCTCAGGCTTCCTGGTGTGCAAAGCTAACTCCATATGGAAATAACAAACAACAAGGACAACAACAGTAGCTAACTCATTGTTGCTTAGTAATTGTAAAGATACCATAGTGGTTTAAAGTTTTATTAAATAATTTCCCACAGTCCAAAACTAACATTATTTTCTAGTTGGCATCTTGCTAACTTATAGCAGTTAGCTCACTAGCTAGAGCAACTGCGATAATTAACAGGAATAAATACATGGTAATTAAGAATATAGTTTACTCGATGTTTTCAGCTGCCTTTAAGAAACACCATTTCCCATAAGCCCACAGACCCCCGCAGGTTAAATGCGGCTAGTTCAAATGTGTTGTGTGTTATGTTGTGTGTTAAATTTTATTTATATACCAGTTCATAAAGTTATCCCACTGCACGTTTACAGAGCAGGTCTGGACCGTATGCTTTGTAATATTCTTTACAGAGACTATTCCCACCATTAGCAAACACTTACAGTGGGAACGAAAAACTGCCTTTAACAGGCAGAAACCTGGAGCAGGACCAGGACCGGTCTTGGCGAGTAACCAGTTTCATGTAATTTAGTTACAAAATAAATGTAACACTTACTGGGAAAATTACATTACAGCTACTGATGGTTCATAATTACATGAAATAGTTACACTACTATCACATTTTAAGTCGGGTAACTTCTAATCTGTAACTTTTACATTTCAAGTTACATCGATTTAAGTACCCGTGCTGGTACATTTGCATGGGAGCCGTAGTTTTTAAGTTAAATTACTTTGAGCAATAATTATCTATCTTTGTTAAATCATGAGTTTCAGTTTGCTGTGGAGCTGATTTATCTGATAAAATGGAAAGTAAACGGCAGGAAGGAGCTTCGCGAGGTCAGAAAGACCGATGAGAGATTGTATTGGCTGGAAGAGAGTCTGGACAGGAAGTGATGTCATGACTTGAGGCAGCGTGACGTGTGTGTTTCTGTCTGTTTGCACCTTGAGTTTCTCCATCAGCTGCTGATGCTCCTGAATCAGCGTCTGGTTTTCCTCCTGGTTCGATCCGATCTCACAGAGGCCTGGATGGACCTGGACCAGCTGGAGGTGGACCAGAGACCCACTCTGCACACAAACACACGATGTCAACTACAGTGGACGGATTTTTGGACGCCACTTTGAGCCATTCAAGTTACATTACTGTGTCCTAACCACCACGTGGCCGACCCCCAAAGTGTTTTCTACAATTCCGTTAGATTACGGTCTTGTACATCTCAGTCATTTTGATTTATTGCATTATAAATTCAAAATTTAAATAGTGGCGGGAAATGGAAAAACACTAAGTAACGCAGCAATAACTGTAAACTAAACTAAATAAGATGTCAGAAATACTGTTATCTAGATTTTAATTATGTATTTCTCGTACATTTTGTTCTGACTGAAAATACATCTGTCCACTCCAGAGGACGTTCTGCGCCAAAGGGTTTATTCTGCGTTATGTTGTGTGTTTTATTTAAAATTAAATCATTTGCACTTTAATAACATTGTGTATTTATACCACTTGCTTTTAGTAAATGTTTTAAAAACATACAGTATCTCACAAAAGTAGGGGTGTCCTCACTTTTGTTGCCAGCGGTTTAGAGATTAACGGCTGTGTGATGTGTTATTTTGAGGGGACAGCAGATTTACACTGTTATACAAGCTGCACGCTCACTACTTTACACTGTTATACAAGCTGCACGCTCACTACTTTACACTGTTATACAAGCTGTACGCTCACTACTTTACACTGTTATACAAGCTGTACGCTCACTACTTTACACTGTTATACAAGCTGCACGCTCACTACTTTACACTGTTATACAAGCTGTACGCTCACTACTTTACGCTGTTATACAAGCTGTACGCTCACTACTTTACACTGTTATACAAGCTGCACGCTCACTACTTTACACTGTTATACAAGCTGTACGCTCACTACTTTACACTGTTATACAAGCTGTACGCTCACTACTTTACACTGTTATACAAGCTGTACGCTCACTACTTTACACTGTTATACAAGCTGCACGCTCACTACTTTACACTGTTATACAAGCTGTACGCTCACTACTTTACACTGTTATACAAGCTGTACGCTCACTACTTTACACTGTTATACAAGCTGTACGCTCACTACTTTACACTGTTATACAAGCTGCACGCTCACTACTTTACACTGTTATACAAGCTGCACGCTCACTACTTTACACTGTTATACAAGCTGTACGCTCACTACTTTACACTGTTATACAAGCTGCACGCTCACTACTTTACACTGTTATACAAGCTGCACGCTCACTACTTTACACTGTTATACAAGCTGTACGCTCACTACTTTACACTGTTATACAAGCTGTACGCTCACTACTTTACACTGTTATACAAGCTGTACGCTCACTACTTTACACTGTTATACAAGCTGTACGCTCACTACTTTACACTGTTATACAAGCTGTACGCTCACTACTTTACACTGTTATACAAGCTGCACGCTCACTACTTTACACTGGAGCAAAGTGACATTTCTTCAGTGTCGACACATGAAGAGATAGAATCAGATATTTACAAAGATGTGAGGGGTGGACTCACTTTGAGAGATTTTAGATGTACACTGAGTTCTATTAAAACACTTTATGCCATTGATGCATGGTGTCCTCTGCGGGGGACACCTTTCAAAATAAAATATATTGAGAATAAAAGTTTATAGGCATAGTTTAAAAGTAAAAACTTACTAAAAACTTAAAACTGTTACTTTGTGATTTAGTAATTCATGCATGTAATGGATATATATATTTACACCTACACCTGTGTATTTATACTAGTAGTGTATACTATTATAAATACACAGGTGTAGTGTTTTACAGCTATCATAAAAACTTACCACTAAGATTCAGATTAATGAGGCGACAGCAGCTTGTACAAGCACTGATACTAGCAGCTATTAAAGAAGCTGCCTCAGTGTGTGTGTGTGTTGCAGCATTCGCCAGGATGATACAGCATCTCTGGCATGTCGACCAAAAAGGACACAACATGACAAGTGCGCGCACACACAAACACACCTTAAAAACAATGATTTTAGTGCCCAAAACTGTCACCCCACATACTTACACACATGTGAGTACTTACACCTTCACACCTGCAAAACACTGAGAGGCATCAGCTGTTTCACACACACACACACACACACCATCAGTAAATAGTTTGATCTAAAACAGGAAACCACATGGGCCGACTGGCAGATGAACTGAAAAGCTTGAATCTCCTGACACGGCCTCCAAAGGAAGAACCGCGCTCTAACGGCCTACGAGCTATAAACTACGTGTAAGGCAGATATCCAACCAACACCAAAATAACACCCGTCTGCACAGCTACTTAAAGTCAGAGCTCACAGAAGGTAACAGTCTGAAAATCATTTAGATGCACATTGATTCTAACAAAAGCCAATTAACACCTCAACTCGCTTAAGTCTGTCTACGATCAAGCTAATGCTAACAATTAAGTCAGAGCTCACAGCTGATTGTAATTGGAAAACTTCCACACATTATTTAAAGATATAACCTTTGTAGAAACACATTCATATATGAACTTCATGTCTGAGTCATTTTTATCAGGTTACTTGAAGCGAAGTGACACCAGGATTTTGCACGGTCATGTATGTAATAAAAATCATTGGACATCGATAATTATCAGGATAAAAGTCAAATCATTATTTCTTTCAGGTTTAAAGGCTGATTTTTGCTCCTGAGTGAAAGTTAATGTGGTTTAAAACTTTTCTTTCTGCTCAGAACAAACTCTTGATGCCAAACAGAGGATCATTAATCTGAAGCAGAACATCCAGAACTATTCTCATAAAATCTGTTTTCAATAAATATGCATGAGCCAAATTAAGTAAAATCTCTTTTCAGTCCCTTTTCCTCCACGAAATAAATTTCTAATTGGAAACATTTAGTGCTGATTCGTTCATGAATCAAATGAATTAAATCAAACATTTGTTGAACATTTGTTATTGAGGAAAATTCCATCAGGTTTATTATCATTATTGTTTTATTGCCCGGCTCTTTGTCAGCGCAGCATATTAACGAGCTTCATCCAAGTTAATCTGGAGACTTGGATCCTCGGGGTTTTAGCAGCTAACAACTAATCATCACAGTAACCTGCAGTTTACATACCCTGAGGACAGAGACGACAATCAGTGATTGGCCGGCCTGGATGGCGATAGTGCTGAGAGTGGTGAAAGACAGAGGAAGCTTCGTGTTCCCTCCTCCTCCTCCTCCTCCATCTCCCCGTCCTGCCTTCATCTGTCCTCCACATGTCTCAGTGTCTTCAGGCTCTCCGGTCGTCATGAAGAAAAACTCTTCCTGTTACTAGGTTAGGAATTTCCTTCTGTCCTACTCTCTTCCACTAGGATCACTTAAAGACTTTTAATCTATAAAGTGGTCTTCTTTGGGTAGACGTGAAGTTTTCTCATAGTTCCAACACTCTTTTCCTCATCAAACCTCTCTGAAGTTCCCGGCTTATTCTCTGTCTCCTATTTCCTGTTATCCTTTGTTGGTGGCTTCACAGCGACATGCCGAGTTCTCCAGCTGAATCTGTTTGTGTTAGGAAGTGTGAACCCCTCCAGCCAGAGTGACTCCGGGAACAACAGCTGTTGGTGGTTGTCCGGTGTTTCCAGTTCTTTAAATGAATCTCCTGCAGGACAAAGAGAGAAACGTTGTGTATAGTTTCAGAGAAAGGTTTTAGAGAATTAAAGCCACGCTAACTGAACCAACTACAGTATCTCACAAAGTGAGTTCACCCCTCACATCTGTGAAAATATCTGATTATTTCTTTTGATGTGACAACACTGAAGAAATGACCCTTTGCTCCAGTGTAAAGTAGTGAGTGTACAGCTTGTATAACAGTGTAAATCTGCTGTCCCCTCAAAATAACACGTCACACAGCCGTTAATGTCTAAACCTCTGGCAACAAAAGTGAGGACACCCCTAAGTGAAAATCTAATAATGTAATAATTAAATATTTACAAATATTTGGGGGGCGTCCTCACTTTTGAGAGATACTGTAAAAAGTCCACACAGGAAGTACACAAATTCAAACAGCGACAATGACCCTTCAAAACACCCTGAAACCTGAATGTCCCCCAAAACCTCAAGTGCAGGATCAGCGGTGTGAGCAGGCTTCTCAGTGTGATATTAAATAAGCTGCATCTCATGTCAGTCTGTGTTAAAAAGGTCAACCTTTGTCATAAATCAGACGTAAGAGATCTTGGCCACACGCCTGTTTGTCGGAACTGAAGATCCTATAGATGTTTGTATTACAGTTTTTGATATGTGTGTATGGATTAAAATATTATATGTCGACGTATCCCCCCCCAAAAAAAGCCTCTCACGCCAAAGATGGCGGTTGTGCTCACATGTCCAATCCCTCCTGAAAAAGATGTTGTGGTGGTGTGTGTCCAGACGTGTCCGCCAAAATAGTGTGAAAAGGCGCCAGATTTTATCTGCAGTGCTTGCAGTATGTGTTAGAAAGTACCAGGGTGCCTTTATAAAAGTAGACGGTATATGCTGACTGTATCCAGAACATCAGTTAGTTTAGCGTTTGTTCAGGTGCTCCAGTGGGAGGAGCTCATGGCTTCACGTCACCGGCGCTCTGGAAAGACCCGTAAATGAAGTGGTGGAAGCTCGTGCATGTGTAGTAGAAGTACAACCTGCGGGGTTAAAAAACGCCTTATTTTGGGGCAAAGTCATCAAACTGTTTCAGATTTTCCTGCTGATTCTCTACATGCAGGTTTTATGTGACCAGTGAAAGTGCAGTTATGGCTCTCTGCCCGTACATTCAGATAGAGACCTGATCCTGTTAGTCCCTGATAACCACCTGGAGGGTTTACCAAGATGGCGGCGAGTGGCGGGACCTGCCTATATAAGGACTTTGATTTAACTCCTCAAACATGAGGCCTGCAAGCATTTTTCTGGTCTCCTTTGATAGGTCAGAAGCTAAAGAAGATGCATCCATCGTACAGGAACATATTTCTGTTACCATGCCAGAGTAAATGGAGATGCAATAAAGGAAAAGATGACTTTTTTTTATCATCGCCTAGTATAAAATCTAATTTTAAAGCCAAGATCACCATTAGACCACAATACTGCAGATCATAATGCAGCTGAATATCTTCTCCTCCTCCTTGACTACTGAACATTTATGACACAATTTATAAAGATATGTCCTCAACACTACACACCGTGTGGATCAATGAGCCAACACAGGCCAGCTAGTTCTTATACGGACTTCTATATTTACTGTATTAGACCAACAGTTTGGGCACAGCTAAGGTTGATGGAGATGACAGTCTGATGCTGCTACTGAATGAATAATTCTGATCATATAGAATGAGAAGCAAATGAAATGAAAATCTGTCAGATAATTGTATAAAGCAAACTCTCAAGCACAAAAATACCAAAATGTAAAATTAAATGAGCAGAAAAACTCGAGCAGCGGACCCAGTTTGATGTTCTAAAGTCACAAATTTTCATTAATCAGATTTAATGTATAAATAGTTGGTGTAGTAAAAACTGAGAAGCAAGAAGCGATGATGAAAATGTTTTGCCAGATCATAAAAGTTTTTATCACTGACTTTTTCTTATTAAAGTTTGTGACATTAAACAGCCAGTTCACAGAGAGAGAGAGAGGAAAAATCAGAAGCTGTTTCAGTACCTTGGACTCGTTTCTGGAGATCCGGACGTTTCCCTGCTGCGACTGCGGAGCCACGAAAACACTGTGAGAGGAAACACAGCTGAGAGACGGAGAGGAGGTAAAAATAGATGTGGTTTCCAGTCGGATTATCACACAGCTGAGTGACAGAGAGACGTCTGCCTTCCATAAACAAACACTCCCCTCTTTCTATTTCAGTAACACAGAGTGTAAAAATATCTGAAGCTGAACCTAATGAAGACATAAAGTTATCTATCAAAACCATTAATAATGCAGTAACCCTGGTGGAAAGTAACATTTACTCAAGTACTGTACTGAAGTGCAGTTATTAGGTACTTGAGTTTATACATTTGATACTACTTTATATTCCTGCACTACATTTATAGTGTCTCACAAATTGAGACACTGAAGAAATGACCCTTTGCTCCAGTGTAAAGTAGTGAGCGTACAGCTTGTATAACAGTGTAAAGTAGTGAGCGTGCAGCTTGTATAACAGTGTAAAGTAGTGAGCGTGCAGCTTGTATAACAGCGTAAAGTAGTGAGCGTACAGCTGGTATAACAGTGTAAAGTAGTGAGCGTGCAGCTTGTATAACAGTGTAAAGTAGTGAGCGTACAGCTGGTATAACAGTGTAAAGTAGTGAGCGTGCAGCTTGTATAACAGTGTAAAGTAGTGAGCGTACAGCTGGTATAACAGTGTAAAGTAGTGAGCGTGCAGCTTGTATAACAGCGTAAAGTAGTGAGCGTGCAGCTTGTATAACAGTGTAAAGTAGTGAGCGTACAGCTGGTATAACAGTGTAAAGTAGTGAGCGTGCAGCTTGTATAACAGTGTAAAGTAGTGAGCGTACAGCTGGTATAACAGTGTAAAGTAGTGAGCGTGCAGCTTGTATAACAGTGTAAAGTAGTGACAGTACAGCTGGTATAACAGTGTAAAGTAGTGAGCGTGCAGCTTGTATAACAGCGTAAAGTAGTGAGCGTACAGCTGGTATAACAGTGTAAAGTAGTGAGCGTGCAGCTTGTATAACAGTGTAAAGTAGTGAGCGTACAGCTGGTATAACAGTGTAAAGTAGTGAGCGTGCAGCTTGTATAACAGTGTAAAGTAGTGAGCGTGCAGCTTGTATAACAGCGTAAAGTAGTGAGCGTACAGCTGGTATAACAGTGTAAAGTAGTGAGCGTGCAGCTTGTATAACAGCGTAAAGTAGTGAGCGTACAGCTTGTATAACAGTGTAAAGTAGTGAGCGTACAGCTGGTATAACAGTGTAAAGTAGTGAGCGTGCAGCTTGTATAACAGCGTAAAGTAGTGAGCGTACAGCTGGTATAACAGCGTAAAGTAGTGAGCGTGCAGCTTGTATAACAGTGTAAAGTAGTGAGCGTACAGCTTGTATAACAGTGTAAAGTAGTGAGCGTACAGCTGGTATAACAGTGTAAAGTAGTGAGCGTGCAGCTTGTATAACAGTGTAAAGTAGTGAGCGTGCAGCTTGTATAACAGTGTAAAGTAGTGAGCGTGCAGCTTGTATAACAGTGTAAAGTAGTGAGCGTACAGCTGGTATAACAGTGTAAAGTAGTGAGCGTACAGCTTGTATAACAGTGTAAAGTAGTGAGCGTACAGCTTGTATAACAGTGTAAAGTAGTGAGCGTGCAGCTTGTATAACAGTGTAAAGTAGTGAGCGTGCAGCTTGTATAACAGTGTAAAGTAGTGAGTGTGCAGCTTGTATAACAGTGTAAAGTAGTGAGCGTGCAGCTTGTATAACAGTGTAAAGTAGTGAGCGTACAGCTTGTATCACAGTGTAAAGTAGTGAGCGTGCAGCTTGTATAACAGTGTAAAGCAGTGAGTGTGCAGCTTGTATAACAGTGTAAATCTGCTGTCCCCTCAAAATAACACATCACACAGCCGTTCTTGTCTAAACCGCTGGCAACAAAATTGAGGACACCCCTAAGTGAAAATGTCCTAATTTGGCCCAAAGTGTCAATATATTGTGTGGCCTCTTGGGCCTGGAGTTCAGCAGAGCTTCACAGGTTGCCACTGGAGTCCTCTTCCTCTCCTACATGACGACAGCTGGTGGATGTTAGAGACCTTGGGCTCCTCCACCTCCCGTTTGAGGAGCCCCACAGATGCTCAGTAGGGTTCAGGTCTGGAGACGTGCTCGGCCAGTCCGTCACCTTTACCCTCAGCTTCTTTAGCGAGGCAGCGGTCGTCTTGGAGGTGTGTTTGGGGTCGTGATCATGTTGGATTACTGCCCTGCGGCCCGGTCTCTGAAGGGAGGGGCTCTGCTTCAGTATGTCACAGTACATGTTTGCATTCATGGTGCGGCGTATGGTCTGAGCCCTGACAGGCTGACCCCCCACCACCCCATTAACCTCTGCAGTAATAATGGCAACACTCATATTTCCCAAAGACAACCTCTGGATATGACGCTGAGCACGTGCACTCAGCTTCTTTGGTTGACCACGGCGAGGCCTGTTCTGAGTAGAACCGGGTCTTGGCTGTCTTCTTACAGCCTCTGGCATCTTTATGTAGAGCAGCCATTCTTTTTTTTCTACTCAGAGAGTTCTTTGCCATGGGGTACCATGTTGAACTTCCAGTGACCAGCATGAGGGAGTTTTTAGTCCAATTTGGACATTTTCACTTAGGGGTGTCCTCACTTTTGTTGCCAGCAGTTTAGACATCAATGGCTGTGTGATGTGTTATTTTAAACAGAGATTTAAAGCAGAAAACTGTGGGACACTGAAGTTAGACATGATGATCACACACTGAAGGAACTAATACAGATGCTGGCTCTGATTTGATACAAAATCCACATTTGACACAAAAGCACTCCCTCTTTGTGTAACCTCACTGTTAACGTTATTTGTGTCGGTTTATAAAAGCAGTAAGATGAGTTAAAAACCACTTCATATCAAAATAAATGGGAGGCTGAAGCCACTAAATTGCAAAGCCTGTGGTTGTTTATCAGCTTCTGTAAACCTGTGAAAAAAACTCTGGAGAAAGTGAAGTTGGTCGATTTGCAGAAAAGCTTTTTAGATGTAGAAAAACATTGAGAATATCAATATAAAATTTGTACACAAATTAGATCAACGATGAGGTCACACAGAGACTGAGAAATGTTGACATACTGCAACTCTTTTCTACATATTCCCAAACTGTTTTTCACAAGTTTAAAAAGGGTCAGAGACAACACAAGCTTTAAAATGACTTACTGACACTTATTATTTGAGCTCACACACGTTTTACAGTAGAACAGTAAAGCTGATGAAGCAGAGGGGTTTATCTCTACCTGAAGTGGGCGATGGAGACGATGACCATCAGGTTGAGAGTGGCACTGAGAAAAGAGATGAAGAACAGCAGGATGTAAACTGACACAGCCTCAGACTGAGGAGGCTTCGGCCTCCTGCAGGAGGCGTTGAGGAGCTGAGGAAAGCAGAGTTCGTCTTCTTCCATCGTCAGAGAGAAGCTGCTGAGCTCCAACAGCTTATAGACCAAAGCTCTCCGTCATACAGCTCATTTATCTCTCTCAAACCCAAAGGGAGGGTGCATCTCACCAACGGGAGGGAGCTGGAAACGACGGGCCGCAGTGCAAGATTCTTTATGGGCCCTACTCTCCATCAGATGTTTGTGTATCTGACACAACTCTTGGATTTTATTATCAGCCTAGGCTTTCACAACACAAGATTACTTACAATTCAGTTGAAGCCTCCTTTCCAGCACCCCAGCGTAAGCTTAACCAGCGAGGCTAAGCAGTTAGCGACCCCAATAATTTGAGCAATACCTCTTTAAAAATGGAAACCACCAACCCTGTCTGCCCATTGATATAGAACTGTCTCAGACTTTCACACAGCATCAAAGAGGTATGTCAGTGCAACACTGTCCAGAGCCTTCAGATTCTCAGGGTGAATCTTATCCACACTCTCGCCACTCAGGAGATCCTTAACTACCCCAAAGACCTCTGGCAGTGACACAAGTAAGTTTTCCAAACCCTGTCTCCTCCACAGAGGTCGGGTTCAGGAGTTCCTCAAAGTGCCCTTTCCACCACTCAACAATATCCCCAATCAGGATCAGTTCTCCTGACCTGCTGACTACAACCCTGCTTCCCCTTCCTGAGTCTACAACTGGCTTGCTAGAACTTCCTTGAGACCAACTGAAAGTCCTTTCCCATGGCTTCCAGCAACTACTCTCATACTCGGGTTATTTTCTTTGGTGACCGCTGTCTGCTGCTTCAGGAGACCCCAACAAAGCCTGAAAGACCTCCTTCTTCAGCTTGATGGCCTCGATCACCTCCTGTGTCCACCAGCAGGTTTTCAGGTTGCTGCCAAGGCCTCGAGGACAGGGGCATCCCGCAAATGCTCCCAGTTCACTCGCACTACAGGTTTGGGTTTACCAGGTGTGTCCGGTAGTCAGCCCAGCCATCTGATCCAGCTCACCACCAGGTGGTGATCAGTTCACAGCTCAGCGACTTTCTTTACCCGAATATTAATATAACAGTCAGAGCCTTCTTCTCAAGACTCCACTCAGGAAAGGCAACAGACCCTGATGGCCTGAGCATAGATACGGTCAAGGCATATGGTATGAAGCTGTGTGGAGTCCTGGAGCAGATCTTCAACCAGGGTGATACTCTCCCACCTCAGGTCCTGGATAACGGGTTACCTGACCAGCCGCAGTTTGGAATGAGGAACTGTGTGTTAGAAACTGTAATTGTAACAACAAGATGTTGCAGATGTTCTACCAATTTGTGGCATCATCTTTTATGCTGCCATATGCCAAGAGAAGCTAACAAGCTCAACAAGACAGTTAGAAAGGCTGGCTAAGTGATTGGAAGAGGACATGAGCTGGACTCTGGAGGTGATGATGGAGAAGAGGAGAGTTTCAAAGTCGGTTAGCATCCTGAACACATCTCACACACCCTGCACACGGGTGTCAGATTGACAGCGGTATGCACAGAGGGGCTAGAGTTCGTGACTGGGTTTTTGAATTACTTCAGGTATGGGAAAGACTTTCTTTCACCCCAAGTCATTTCCGTGAATGAGAGCAACTCCCTGTACCGGCAAATGTGAGAATATCGCAATTTTCATTCAGAGAGACTACCAATTTTTAGGGAAGCCACATTTTAAACTTGTTGAACAAAGTTTGTCACTTTACTTGCTGTGCACCATTTAGCTAACAACAGTTTTCTTTGTTGCAAACTCTACATACTGTAAGTGTGGTTGGCAGAATTTTCTGACGGTATGCCTCAGCTACCATTTCATTAACCTGTACAACTATGGCCTTAACAACCTGATAATTTCATCAAGCGATAGACTTGCCCACACCTGTAGTGCTTCTTCCACCAGTTTACATTGCAATAGCAAACTCTACACATCTTTGGGCCATCTTAAGGTTGCTGCCATGCATTCAAAAGCAGTGAAGTAAAAATGAACTTAGATATTTGCTGACGTTAAATTGCTCAGAGTAGGCAGATGGAGAGACGAGAAGATGTGACTCAACCCCACAGGGTTTTTGTTCCACCTCAGACCTTCTGTCTCCACCCCAGCCCATATCAGAGTAATCAAACCTGTGCTAGAAACCTGAGCGACAGAAGAAGCCTTCAGGACATATGTTTGTGGAGTTGCAATTGGTTCACGAGGGTCTTGCAGGGGTTTGGGGTCATTGAACTCTGGAGAAAAGAACGCAGTGTTGTTTAGGGAATGAGTCTGAATTGCGAGTATCGTGCCGAAGGTCAAGACGAAGGGGAGATGCAGGGAAGTGAACCTGAGCGGGCGTGAACGTAGCTTCTAAGGTTCAAGACGACTGAGTGATACGATTACGTTGTGCTAGTTGTGACGGTGGGGGGAGCTGGCCTGTAGCACGAGAGAGAGCTATGCTGTTAAATTTAAGGTTTTGGTGACCATTCCACTGCTCTATCCTTATAGAACCCCCAAACCCTGGACAAGGAGCGAGCAGCAGAAGGCTTTGCTATCCGGTGCCGAAAGCTCCTTCTAATTTGTAACGACTGTTCCCTCGAAACGACTTTAGTTTCAAACCTCTGTTCGCTTGACCAGTGGCACAGTCAGGTTGGCTGGGAATGAGCCGCGGTGGGCTCTGGCATTCCAGTGCCGAAAGCCCCTTTTTAGTTCGAACGACTGTGAGCCGGATGTTAGCTCGAAATGGCCGTGACCGGATGTTAGATAGAAGCGACTGTGAGCTCGAAACGACTGTTAGCTGGATGTTAGCTCGAAACGACTGTTAGCTGGATGTTAGCTCGAAACGACTGTTAGCTGGATGTTAGCTCGAAACGACTGTTGTGTCGAAACAATTTTGGTTTAAACGACAGTTTGATGGACTATTAGCTGGATGTTTGCTCGAGACAACTGTTAGCCGGATGTTAGTACAAGATGACTGTTAGCCGGATGTTAGCTCGGTTAGCTCGAGACGACTGTTAGCTGGATGTTACCTGAAACGACTGTTGTGTCGAAACAATTTTGGTTTAAACAACAGTTTGATGGACTATTAGCTGGATGTTTGCTCGAGACAACTGTTAGCCGGATGTTAGCTCAAGATGACTGTTAGCCGGATGTTAGCTCGGTTAGCTCGAGATGACTGTTAGCCGGATGTTAGCTCAAGATGACTGTTAGCCGGATGTTAGCTCGGTTAGCTCGAGATGACTGTTAGCCGGATGTTAGCTCAAGATGACTGTTAGCCGGATGTTAGCTCAAGATGACTGTTAGCCGGATGTTAGCTCAGTTAGCTCGAGATGACCGTTAGCCGGATATTAGCTCCGTTAGCTCGAGACGACTGTTAGCCGGATGTTACCTGAAACGACTGTAGGGTCGAAACTATTTTAGTTTAAACGACAGTTTGATGGACTATTAGCTGGATGTTTGCTCGAGACAACTGTTGACAACAACTGTCCAGTCCTGATGGATGTTAGCACAAGATGGCTGTTAGCCGGATGTTAGCTCGGTTAGCTCGAGATGACTGTTAGCCGGATGTTAGCTCAAGATGACTGTTAGCCGGATGTTAGCTCGGTTAGCTCGAGATGACTGTTAGCCAGATGTTAGCTCAAGATGACTGTTAGCCGGATGTTAGCTCGGTTAGCTCGAGATGACTGTTAGCCGGATATTAGCTCAAGATGACTGTTAGCCGGATGTTAGCTCAGTTAGCTCGAGATGACTGTTAGCCGAATGTTAGCTCGAAATGACTGTTAGCCGAATGTTAGCTCGAGATGACTGTTAGCCGAATGTTAGCTTGAGATGACTGTTAGCCGAATGTTAGCTCGAGATGACTGTTAGCCGAATGTTAGCTTGAGATGACTGTTAGCCGAATGTTAGCTCAAGATGACTGTTAGCCGGATGTTAGCTCGGTTAGCTCGAGATGACTGTTAGCCAGATGTTAGCTCAAGATGACTGTTAGCCGGATGTTAGCTCGGTTAGCTCGAGATGACTGTTAGCCGGATATTAGCTCAAGATGACTGTTAGCCGGATGTTAGCTCGAGATGACTGTTAGCCGAATGTTAGCTCGAGATGACTGTTAGCCGAATGTTAGCTCGAAATGACTGTTAGCCGAATGTTAGCTCGAGATGACTGTTAGCCGAATGTTAGCTCGAGATGACTGTTAGCCGGATGTTAGTTAGAGATGACTCTGTGCTTGAAATGACTGAGAGCCGGACGACCAAGTACCTCAGCAATAACTGTAAAATCCTTTTAATCTCAGAAAACCAGGCCAACTAAATAAGATGTCAGAAATACTTTTATCCAGATTTTAATAATATATTTATTGTACATTTTGTTCTGTGACTGAAAATCTGTCGACTCCACAGGACGTCTGCGCCTAAAAGTTTATTCTGCCTTATTTTGTATGTTTTATTTCACTAGCAAGGACCACACAATCAACAGGTACGATTAAATTAATTATTGGTGATAAATAAAGAGAGAAAAGAGAAAGGGTGATGCAGAATACTAGATCGAAGAAGAGGAGCTGGGACGTGTGCAATCACCCCATGTGAAGACCACACCCACCAAACACAGATACAGGTCTACCCTGTTACACAGGAAACTGTGTTTAAAAGAGTTTCATACTTGAGGCGGCTTGTGTCCCACATCATGGAAAATGTAAATGCGCCGTACTTGTATAGTACCTTTCTAATCTTTTCAACCACTCAAAGCGCTTTTACACTACATCCACCCACATTCACACACTGAGCCTAAGTGCTCAAACAGAAACTAACATTCACACACTGGCGGAACAGCCACCAGGGGCAATTCGGTTCAGTATCTTGCCCAAGGACACTTTGACATGCAGCCTGGGGATTGAACCGCCGACCTTCCGATTAACAGCCAACCCGCTCTACCTCCGAGCCACAGCCATCAGTCAAAGGCTGAACTTTATCAGGAGAGTCTTGTGTTTTGCTGGATAAGATCAGTTCTTTGCTTTCACCTCCATTTATTAAACACACTCTCCTCACAGCACTGCTGCAGAGAAACTACATGATTAAAATATGGGCCATCTTTTACAGAGTCCCCCTCACACAGAAGGCCAACCGGGGCCACATCGTCAGCACGCTGTAGGAAGTTCAAGTGGGAGTCACTGCTTTACAAAGACAACAACAAAGGGGAGAAGATGGCAGCTTGTGATGCACCTGTGATTAGAGTCCTCATCTCTGACTCCTTTTCCACACATTCTAGGACTGCATGCTTTCAAATCAAAAAGCTGAACTGATCGCCTTTATTAGTGGTTGTTTGGCTTCTGATTCTCACTGACTTTAGTTTACACTGCAAAGAAGTGAGAACGTGATTATACAACAGTTTAAGGATTTGATCACACGTTAGTTTGATTATTGTCAGTCACCTGGTCTGAACCAGTCAAAGGACACTGGCTGAGGTTTCGCTGGAAATGAGGAAACAAAGAATCCACAGAGCCACTCCTCTTCCTGGAATGAGCGGCAGCTTGATGACCCCTCCCTCTGCTTCCTGCTCTCCAATCACAGCGAGCTCCACTCTGTCCATATATTTCCTGGTTCCCTCCCCTTCAGATCTACAGTTTGAAGATGGGTGTGACCAACATGTGCTGACGTGCAGCAGCTGACAGGCCCCGTTCACTGCAGAAACACATGCTGTTCAGATCAGAGCTCAAACTAGCTGCACTTCTGAGAAAGTGAAACTCAGACAGTCGTTGCCACTGAGAGGTGAAATGGCGCAGAAAGGAGTTCAGCTGGACCGGGAAACCATCTCTTGTTCCATCTGTCTGGATCTACTGAAGGATCCGGTGGCTATTCCCTGTGGACACAGCTACTGCATGAACTGTATTAAAAGCTTCTGGGATGAAGAGGAGGAGAAGAAAATCCCCAGCTGCCCTCAGTGCAGGCAGACCTTCACACCGAGGCCTGTCCTGCTGAAAAACACCATGTTAGCAGTTTTAGTGGAGGAACTGAAGAAGACTGGACTCCAAGCTGCTCCTGCTGATCACTGCTATGCTGGACCTGAAGATGTGGCCTGTGATGTCTGCACTGGGAGAAAACTGAAAGCCCTCAAGTCCTGTCTGGTCTGTCTGGCCTCTTACTGTGAGAAACACCTGCAGCCTCATTATGATGCTGCTCCGTTAAAGAAACACAAGCTGGTGGAGCCCTCCAAGAAGCTCCAGGAGAACATCTGCTCTCGTCACGATGAGGTGATGAAGATGTTCTGCCGTACTGATCGGCAGAGTATCTGTTATCTCTGCTCTGTGGATGAACATAAAGGCCACGACACAGTCTCAGCTGCAGCAGAAAGGACCGAGAGGCAGAGAGAGCTCGAGGTGAGTCGACAAAACATCCAGCAGAGAATCCAGGACAGAGAGAAAGATGTGAAGGTGCTTCAGCAGGAGGTGGAGGCTATCAATGGCTCTGCTGATAAAGCAGTGGAGGACAGTGAGAAGATCTTCACCGAGCTGATCCGTCTGATGGAGAAAAGAAGGTCCGATGTGAAGCGGCAGCTCAGATCCCAGCAGGACACTGAAGTGAGTCGAGTCAAAGAGCTTCAGGAGAAGCTGGAGCAGGAGATCACTGAGCTGAAGAGGAAAGATGCTGAGCTGAAGCAGCTCTCACACACAGAGGATCACAACCAGTTTCTACACAACTACCCCTCACTGTCAGCACTCAGTGAATCTACAGACTCATCCAGCATCAACATCCGTCCTCTGCGCTACTTTGAGGACGTGACAGCGGCTGTGTCAGAAGTCAGAGACAAACTACAGGACGTTCTGACAGAGACATGGACAAACGTCTCGCTGACAGTGACTGAGGTGGATGTTTTACTGTCAGAACCAGAACCAGAGCCCAAGACCAGAGCTGGATTCTTAAAATATTCATGTGAAATCACACTGGATCCAAACACAGCAAACACACAGCTGTTATTATCTGAGGGGAACAGAAAAGCAACAAGAATGAGTCAACAACAGTCTTATTCTAGTCACCCAGACAGATTCGCTGATTATTCTCAGGTCCTGAGTAGAGAGAGTCTGACTGGACGTTGTTACTGGGAGGTGGAGTGGAGAGAGAGAGGAGTTTTTATAGCAGTCACATACAAGAATATCAGCAGAGCAGGGAGGGAATGTTTATTTGGATACAATGACAAATCTTGGGCGTTATATTGTGACACAAACAATTATAAATTTTGTTACAACAAAGTCCAAACTCCCGTCTCAGGTCCTCGGTCCTCCAGAGTAGGAGTGTACCTGGATCACAGTGCAGGTATTCTGTCCTTCTACAGCATCTCTGAAACCATGACTCTCCTCCACAGAGTCCAGACCACATTCACTCAGCCTCTCTATGCTGGACTTTGGTTTTATTTTTATTCTCCTGGAGACTCTGCTGAGTTCTGTAAAGTGAAATAGTCAGAAGTCCTTTCAGGGACAGTGGGTTAAACTCTGTGTTTTAATCCTTAAACTTCTTTTGTCTTCATGTTTGTTGCTGAGAGCTGATTGTTGGGGCATTTCTTCACCTGTCAATCAAACACTGTGGGCGGGACTTTGACGTCTTCTCATCAGCTGCTGTGGAAATGTTGGAGCTCCTTCCTGTGTCTGTTTAGCCATGGAGGCCATCACTGCTCAGGATGACTTTTGTTTCTCTGCATGAAAATGGAAACTTGTCTGAGCTCTAAATGTTTGTTGAATATTTGGATTGATGTATTTGTATGTTGTTGTTTCTCTTCCACTGCATGGGTCTGAAGAGAGAAAGCAGCAGAGCTTCCTTTACTTTGGAAAGAAATCTAGAATTCACATTTATTTGTTTGGTAGAGCAAATGTTGTTGTTGTTGTTGTTGTCCAAATGAGGGACTATGAGGGATTATAAAGTGTAATTCTGCTGATCAGAATCAATAAGGAGATGCTTCATCAGGATGATACAGCATCTCTGGCATGTCGACCAAAAAACACACAACATGACACGTGCACACACACACACACCATCAGTAAATAGTTTGAAGTAGTATAAAGTGATTATTTTACAGTAATGTACTGTGATCCTACAGTAACCAGACACAACATCATAGTTACTGTAAATTCACAACAATCTACAGTAATATTACAGTAATGTATTTTCACAGTAACAACCCACAACATTACCGTAAAACTATTACTAGCTATTTTATTGCTAAATTACAGTCTGGAGCGGCACACTAATCACAGTAATTACTTGTAATTTACCATTTTTACTGTATTAATACCGCAACTCAGTAGCCAGTAAATTCCTGTAAATTTACAGTATGTGTACTACATTAAATTACTGTAACTTCACATACAATCTGTGTTTTTACAGCAACTCATAGGCCCATATTTTTCCTTAGATACAAAGAATACATTCAAAAATTTTAAAATTTATCACTTTTATTGCAAATTTACAAGACATTGCATACATCTGAAGACTATCTTCAAAATTTATTATGGAAAAAATATGCAATGAAAAATACATAAAATCACATCACCAATATAGAACATTTCTATCAAATCATGAAAATAGGGTTGAATGATATGCCATAAGTTTAATATAATGATTTATTTAGCATTTTTAACAGTAATAATATGTTATATTTGATTTGGTTGTAACAAAATCTAAAAAAAGTGTTGCTGTTGTTCAGGGTACCCCCAGGATTCTCACAGTTAAACTGAAGACTTTTTAAGGCCTTTTTAATACCACCTAGGATAAAATTTAATACCAACTTCACTGAAAATCTGTATGAATTTTAAGCCCAAGAAAATTATTTAGGAAGTTACATGAATTTACTAAAACATTTTATTATAATACATTCGTATTTAACACACTATAGCTCGGGGTGTGTTTGTACTCTGATGAGATAAAATGAATCAAGGACGTCACTTTGTGTTGAAAAGTGGTGGGACATAAGGGTTCAGATTAGCGCTGTGACGATACACTTGGCTCACATGCACAATTCACAATATTGGGTTCACGAGAACAAGACAAGAAGATATTTTAACACTATTTGATGAAATATTCAATGCTGAAATATATTTAAATGGGGGTCCCTAGAAAATTTTGAGCACTGAACACTTAATTTCCTGCATTCTGGAGACATTTTCTGCACCAATTTATGGTAGAATTATCTTTATTTAAATAAAGTCATTCAGATTTTTTTAGCTTAAACTTTTCTGAACAACCAGGTTCCGGTTTGTTTTTCCCTCGTCCCCGTGATCGGTGCATCTGGGTGATGTAAGTTTAATGTGCGTTAGTTTGATGTTTCCATTCTCATAATGTTAGCCTACAACAGCCTACTCGTCTCAGACTCACCCGTCTCTCCGTTGCTGTCGTATCATTCACTGACCAGTAACCTGCAGGCGGGCCTTCCAGCTCGCCGTAGTGTGAGCGCCACCGTCCTCGGCCTCAACCGCCACAGAGTCTCTGGCTTTCTGAATTTCAGACACTTTCCCATTCTCAGGTAACGAGCTAGCTTTAGCTAGGACTGAATCCCAGAGCTGCTGCACCGTGAACGCTCCACAGTCCAGAGCGTAAAGCTGAACACTGACGTGAACGTTACCGTTACTGCTGAATAACAACAGTCACACCAAACGGAGTAAATCATAAAGTCACACACATAAAAAGTGTTTATTTAGGACATTACGGCATTTTTTAATCCTACGAAAGGACAAGAACAAATTTAATACTTTAGTAATGACATTTAATACTTTTAAGACGCCGCGGGTACCCTGTTTCAGCAATGTGGTGTTTCACTACTAATATCTTATTACAAACTGAGACTGCAATATTATTTAAGTGGCTTCATACCCTAAATTTACCTGCTCATATAATCAGGGAAGAGTTCTAGTCCGGGTCTTCACTTGTTATCAAGGTTTAGCTCACAATATCTGATAAAGTGATCAGTTCTTTAACTGCTTCAAGACATCAAGGTTACCCTGATTTTATTTTAAAACCCATTGATCTGGACTTAATCTGAGTTTAGAAGAGCACAAACAAAATACAAAGAGAGATGAGCAGGAGGTCTATGGTGTTCAAGTTTTTTTATATACTTTTAACTTCAGTTACAAATTTGGGAACAGATAATGTGTTAAATGTGTCTACGTCCGTGATGAGACCTGATTTTTAGGCACATTTTAAACATTTGTTTTACCTGAACACCTCAACTCAAAGTATAGTCTTTAAAAATCTTGACCAACTTTTATACAAGACTCACATGTGTGTATATAACTGACTTATAGAATTTAGAAGAACTATATTTCTGCTTGGCTGTAAATTATATAGTGTTGATGAACAACTTTGTCCAGCCTTAATAAAACAGAGCAATCCACAATAAAACCAGAGGGCTCATATAAACTAAACTTAACTATTTAATTAATTCTTTTGTCCCATCTCATTCTTATCGTTTACTTAAGGCTACTTCAGGATAAAGACGAGCACCGTTTCATTAAGTGGAAGACCCTAGCATCTTTTTAATGCTCTGTCACAGTACACAGCAAAAATTAAGTAATGCTGAGAATTTCTCTGAAGGCAGCCAACAGGGTACACAACGCAGCAGAAGGCGGTTTCTAATTTTTAGATGAAGGTATGAAGTTATGAAAACAGGAAAAGGAGAAAATACCTTGCAGGTTTTGAAGACCTCTGATGAATCCTCCTTTAAGTACAGCGGTAGGCCGGCCAGGGCTGCTGTGATGTTGTTCTTGTCCTGTTGCACAAACAAAGACAAGGTATGCATGTTAGGGTCTGCAGTTCTGTTCACATTCAACATCAATGTAATGCAGTAATGCTTTAAAAATGTTTGTACCTGTTCCTCGTATGCCATCAAAACATCTTCCATCGTCTCGCCAAAACTTCCAGTCTTCCTCTTTTTGTAGCTTCAACAGCTGAGGTGTGTGCATGTCAAGTGCAGCAAAGAAGGAACACGGTAGATTTTGATCCTGTGGAATTCACTGTAGAGCTGCATAAAAAACAAAGGCACAACTCCTATCATTCATTAACTTTAAGCCATATAAGACTCTATGGGAAGCTACTTTAGACATATAGACAAAACCATGTTAACACTAATAATTTTTAAGCTCTTTATCCAGATCAAACAGTGCTGCAATCCTGATTTTGACAATTTCTTCACGTCTGAGTGCAAAGGTGCGCTGCATATGTTGATGGATGATAATCATATCTCTATCAGTCACTGTCTTCTTGAACTGCTCCACCATCTCAGGCCTCTGGTTCTCCAGTGTGTCCTTAGTTTCTCCTTGGGGATAATTGGGCAGGAAGTTTATTTCTCCTCTTGCGGGTCTTTTGATGTTGGCCCTGGATGCTGCACCTTCTGGATAGGTCCTGCTGCGCTTTCCCACATTCACAGCCACACCCTTTACGCCAGCCCTGCTCAGTTTGGTCCTGTAGTTGCCCATCTTGAAGCGCAGGCTGTTCGTCCAACCCTCATACCTTGTTTTGGAAGCTTTTTCTTTTAGACAGGGGTGTTTGCTCACCAGAGCCTCTGCAGCCATGGCAATATTTTTGGTACTGGGATATGCCTTATGCTTACATATTTCAGCAGCCATTCCTTCCAGTATGTTGTGTTTTTGATCCCTAGTCAAGCTTACAGTTTCCCTCTCTTAGAGCATGCTGCACCTCGTAGGAGAATGTTGGAATAACAAAAACCTCTGGCCATCGGCAACGACGCTCTGGTGAATCTGTGTTATCAGACAGTAACTCTGTATCGTCTGTGCTGGTTGAACTGAGATCTGGTTTAAGACATCTAACTATCTTAATGGTTGCCTTGGATGGTAGGTCCTCCATGTTGACTAAATTGCATAGGGCACTGTCAAATTCTGGGTCTTGAAACTGAAGACGAAGGTCATAATCAAGGTTCAACTTATTTTTTATCTCAGTTATGAGGGCATTTACACTCTCGGGACGAGAGGGCAAAATAAGCCTCTCAGCGTTGACATCATCAAGGATGACCCTTAGTTTCAGGACATCGGTCGCTTCCATTTCCACTGTGTTAGAGAAACCTGTAACATGAAACAGACAGAGCTACTCCAGGTGCTGCTGCTATTTTTCACTAGCTGCCTGGACCAACCACACATTATCTATCCATTCAGACAAGAGAGTGGTGACAATCTAACATCACACTCTCCCAAAGTAAGTATTGGTTAAACATTTTAAAACAGAGTATGGTGTAAATGGGATATCCCAAGTGTACTCACATTGACAGTTAACCACTACATTGCACGTATTTACCTTTGTGATGACACATGGGTCATAGTGGAAAACAGAAATGACCTTTAATTATTTTGTCCAGTGTGTCCATTAAGGTGATCACTAGTGTTTATTGAAGGTCCAGACAGATCTGTGGCCTCCCTCAGGTCCCTGAGAAGAAGGCTGGGGATGTGCTTGTTTGAAACCCTGTAGGCAAACAGTGGCATTCGGTCAGTTAGCTGACACACAGAGTTCACCGTACGGCCCTTGCTTTTATGATCTGTCAGCTCATATGACCGCAAATGCCCAACATGCCAGGCCTCATAGTCCTTCAGTAGAAAGAAGATGTCGTTTCTGATAAGTAAGTTTCTGATCTCTTTAAACACAGGCAAGGCAGCATGTGCCCCAGTGCAAACAAACATGCCAGCCACAAAAGTTGCGCCTTCAATGGTTACCTGTTTTGTGCCATATACACTGCTGCTGTCTGTGATGCTCGATATTAACGCATGTGTATCAGTAGGCAATGACTCAACATAGACAGACTCCACTTTTGAAGTCTGTACTGGTGGCTTGAAAACTCTTGGGGATGTTTTGGTCTCTCTGCCAAAGTTTTCAACACATTTTTGTAGTTCTTAGTGCCACGAGCAACTGCCTTGAAGACTTTGTGCTTCCCCTCAAATCTCATTGTCCACAGATGCACCAGAGGACCAAAGCGCTCTATGAGATGAGGATAACGCTCAATGTAACGATGCTTTGGCCGTAATCGTAAGTTGGGGAATACTTCCTGAAGCAGCTGCCTGTGATCTGAAATCTTACAGGCCATGTACTGAATGGTATCATCTGCGAAAGTATGACACATGCCAAGCTCAACTACATCTTTTATTTCCATTAGCACCTCCCAGAATTTGTCCCCTTCAGGGAAGCAGAGCGTGGTTCTCATGCCCATTCCCGCCGATTGCTCCTCGAGTGAGGGCGGTTAACCTTATCAGAATGTTGGAAGGGAAATGACAGTATCGCCCTATTCAGCTCTTCCATAGTGAAATACTTCCTTGCAATCAAACCCTTCAAAGAATGTGCCAACTGGACAGGAACCACACCTTCAAACAGGTCATGAAGGATGTCAGGTGGAAATCC